AAAAAGAAAAAAGAAAAAAGAAAAAAGAAAAAAGAAAAAAGAAAAAAGAAAAAAGAAAAAAGAAAAAAGAAAAAAGAAAAAAGAAAAAAGAAAAAGAGAAAAAGAGAAAAAGAGAAAAAGAGAACGATAGGGAGAACCCTCACAGCTAATCAAGGGCTTGCGCCTCGCACATCTTGCGATACATCCCCCCCTGCGCCGTGAGTTCGGCATGCGTCCCCATCTCCACGATGCGCCCGCCGTAAAACACGCAAATGACATCCGCGTCCTTGATCGTGCTGAGCCGATGCGCCACCGCAATCGTGATGCGCTCGCCCTCCTTCGCCGCCTCCGCCAGCGCGCCCTGCACGATCTTCTCGCTCTCCGTGTCCAGCGCGCTCGTCGCCTCGTCCAGCAGCAGCACCCGCGGGTTGCGGACCAGCGCCCGCGCGATGGCGATCCGTTGCCGCTGGCCGCCCGAGAGCTGCGTCCCGTTCGAGCCTGCCGGCGTGGACATCCCCTCGGGGAGGGAGGAGACGAAGTCCCATGCGTTGGCGGCGCGGAGGGCCGCTTCGATGGTCGAGTCGGGAATGTCAAGCGACAAAGAGGCGGGAGAGGGCTCGCCGGCCTTGTTGTCAGCGGTAGCGTCGTCGGCGAGACCCAGGGCGACGTTTTCGCGGATCGTGCCTTGGAAGAGCGTGGGTTCCTGCTGCACGAGGGAGACGATGCTGCGGTAGAGGCGGGGGTTGAGGTCGGTAAGGGCGGAGCCGTCGATGCGGATGGTCCCGGTTGTTGGGTCGTAGAACCGTTCGAGCATGGCGACCATTGTGGATTTGCCGCAGCCGGAAGCGCCGACTAGGGCGACGAACTGGCCCTTCTTGATCTGATGGCGACGGGCAAAAATCACTGGTTAGTTACGTTACAAGTGACCGAAGGGAGCCAGCCAGCCCCATTAGTATTTTCCTTGAACTCACATGTAGGTCAACACCACGGAGGACAGTCGCATCAGGACGCAGAGGGTACGAGAAGTGGACGTCTTCAAGAGCTATGGGACCACCAGACTTGGGACCATTCTCCCGATTCTCAGCCGTCTCTCGGACGGTCGGCTCCAGCTGGTGCAGCCAGAAGATGTAGTTGGCGGCGTTGATTCCCTTGGTGATGCCTACGCGTAGCACATGTCAGCCCTGAAGATACCCATGCAATGGGGGTCAAGAATGAGAATGCTGGTGGAGCAAACGTACTGGTCGAGAACTGGAATAGCTGGGCGCACGCCTGACCAGCAAGGAAGACGCCGAGGAAGGCGATCATGAAGGCATACATTGTGACGTCGCCGTACGACAAGAGGCGGCAACCATACCTGAGCGGGGAAGGACAAGTCAGTAAACAGAATCATAGACGTTGGGGAATACGAGAGATTCAAGTTGAGGGTAGGGAAAAACACACCAGAAGCCCAGGGCCATAAACCAGTATTCAATAGCCTGGGTGAAGGCGAACCAGATCATCATCACGACCAAAGGACGCTTAGCACCGGAGACGGCATGTTCCAGCTCGGCCGTGTACCTCGTGAGGACGCTCTCCTCGATAGCCAGGGACGAGACGGTGCGAATGGCGTTCACGGCCTCGGAAGCAATCGACGCGCTGGTGCTATGGCGATCCGAGACTTCCCGGTCCAGCTTGGCATCGGCGCGGACTTTGAGGTAGCCGGTGCCGACGAGCGGCGGCAGGCCGGCGCAAACGACGACGAGACCGAGGCGCCAGCTATACGCGATGGCTAGGATGCTGCAGGCACTGAGGTTCAGAAGACCCATGCAGATGAGAGCAATGTTGTACCCCATCAGCTCCAGGATGGCCTGCGGGTTCGAGTCGACCCGGCTCGCCATGGCACCGGTGTTGTTCTCTGGGCGGTCGAAGAACCGGAGGTCCTGACGGAGCATGTCGTTCAGGCTCCGTCTCCTCATTGTGTGATTCAATTGCTGTTGCGAGGGGGAAGAGTCAGCATATACGATCTTGGGAGTGTTTGAGCACGAGATAAAGGGGGGGGGGGGCGAAGAAGAAGAAAAGAAAGAAGAAGAACAGAAAGAAGAAGAAAAAAGGAAGAAAAAAAGAAAAGAAAAAAAAACCTACCTGTGCGACAATGTTACTGGCATAGCCGAGTGAGAAGTAGGCAATGAAACATCCAGCGGCCAGGACGATAAACATGGTGGCATAGAACTCGCCTTCCCGAATCATCTCGGATCCCGTCATGGCAAAGACCTCCATAAAGCTGCCCAGTAGGATGGCCTGACCGGGGAATGCGGCAGCTAAAGGGTAGACAGACCCACGTTAGCAATGCACGAGAGTCGACAACATGGAGATTTTTGTTCTTCCCACCTCCGAGCGCGACGCCACCAAAGACGAAAAAGTAAGCCCATCCCAGGTCCGAGGTCTCCTTGAACAGGCGAAAGACGACGGGTAAGATTCCCAGCTGCTTGTGGAGGTCGTAGTTATCGCGGTCCTTCTGTGATTCCAGACGACCCTGGACCGAAGTGGCGTAGCGTGTCAGGGGCTTGGTGAGGTCGTGGTCCGCGTCCGCTTCTTTGTCGCCGCCGGTCTGCGCGTCGTCTTCCTCGTCGGTGGAAGAGTCTCGTTGCGAGACGGCGAGGTTCTGAATCCTGACCAGCCGGGCGTAGGTGCCGTCCTGGGCGATGAGGGATTCGTGGGTTCCCTGCTCGACGATGCGACCCTTGCTCATGACGACGACGTTGTCGGCCTTGCGGATGGTGGCCAACTTGTGGGCGATGACGATGGTGGTGCGGCCCTCGGATGCCTTGTCGAGTGCCTGCTGGACGATGCTCTCGGCATGGGGGTCAAGGGCGCTGGTGGCCTCGTCTAGGAGGAGGACCTTGGGCTGCGATACCACGCTGCGGGCAATGGCCACTCGTTGCTTCTGACCACCGGAGAGGAGACCGCCACGCTCGCCAATCTGGGTATCGTAGCCCTGGGGCAGTTCGGAGATGAAATCGTGAGCAAAGGCCATCTTGGCGGCCTCCTGGACTCGCTCCATTTGCTCCTCACGAGAAGCGTTCTCCAAGGGAGTGCCGGTCAAGCCATACCGAATGTTATCGAAGACGGATCCGTCGAAGAGAACAGGTTCCTAAAGAGAACGACCGTCAAGTCTGTGCCTTTATAATTTACGTACCGTCTCCCCACAAGCGATCGGCTTACCTGTTGGACGAGGCGGACGTTGGTTCGGAGCCAGTTGAGGTTGAGTTGCTCGATAGGGCGTCCGTCCAGCTTGATGGTACCCGACTTGGTGTTGTACCATCGCTCGATCAGACCCACGATGGTGCTTTTACCCGAGCCAGATTGTCCCTAAAGCGAAGGGGAGTAGGAGAAAACGACGATCAGCAACACTGCTACTCGTATACCGCCGGCAGATTCTCACTCGGGAACGCCTCATTACTCACAACCAGAGCGGTCACTTTGCCTGCAGGGACGTTGAGGGTGAAGTCGTCCAAAACGTTGATTCCAGGTCTCGTAGGGTAGGCAAAGGTGACGTTCTCAATTTCCAAGTGCCCGGTCGTCTCGGAGGGCCTCTCCCCGGACCTGTCGAGGGGGTTGATGGAGGACTCGCGGTCGATTAGGCAAAACAGCTTGGCTGCGGACGAGGCGGCGCGGGTGAAGTCGAGCAAGAACGGAGCTAACATGGTCAAGCTGATGGAGGCAATGACGACGGAAAGCAGGACCCTAAAATGAAAGTCGTCGTCGGGTGAGTCTTCTCATAGTGTACCGCCAGTGAACACGAAACGACGGGGGTGGGAGTAAAGTGTTTTTGCTCACGTGAAAATGTCTCCTGCAGAAGTAATCTCTCCCCTAGCCATCATGTTGATGCCCTGCCAGAAGGCGAGGGCAAAACCGAGATAGATGATGGTGTACTCTGCAGAGAAGAGAATGCCGTAAAGGAGGGAGTTCTTGCTGCCGACCTTATGGGCGTCGGCCAGGTACTTGTCGAACTTGGCCACAAGCCTGGCGCGCATCTCGAAGGCGTGGACGGCACGCGCACTGGCGAGGACGCCCTCGGCGAAGGAGTTGGCCTCGGCGAAGATCTCGAGGATCTTGGTCTCGTAGATGGCCGAGATGCTGCCGATGACACCCATGACGATGATGGTGGCGGGGGCGATGCAGAGGCAGATGAGGGTGAGCTTCCACTGGACGACGAAGGCGATGGTGAAGGCGGTGACGAAGGCGGAGAGGCCCTGGAAGGTGAGGCCGAGCTTTTCGGTGATGCCGCCCTGGATGAGGCGGCCGTTGGATGTGGCCTGGGTGGCAATGGAACCGCCGACGCCGAAGTCGAAGAATGCAACCTCTTGACTCAGGGCGGCACGCAGGTAGGCATGGCGGATGTTCCGAACGATACGGTAAGCGGCGTAGGTCAGGAGGGTGTTGTACGTATAAGAAAGGACGAAGCGAGCAATGCCGAGGTAGACAAAGTAAAGACTATGCAGCGAATCCATGGGGTGTCAGTAGTTCCGGGGCGGGGCCATGCAGTAGGATACATATGCATTGTGCAAACTCACGCGAGGGTAGCGGCGCCATTGCGGAAATCATCAGGGCTATCTAGGCCCATGGCAAAGTCGGTGATGAGGGTGATGAACTGGCCGAAGATGAGGTTCTGGAGAGCAATACCAGCCCCTGAGCAAATGGCGGCGAAGATGCCGACGGCCTGCAACGCATACTCGAGGGGTCCAGCAAAGGTGAAAATTCTCTGAGTAGGAAGCAGGTTAGCACTGTGATGAGTGACTGGTGATGGTGAATAACAATAATATGATGAGCATGACCATGAACCCAGAGATCCAGGTGACATGGGGGTTAAGATGGCGTTCGTACCTTGTAAGCACTGAAGGCGTTCATTTCTTCGGGCATGTTCGGGGTGGGAGGGGAAGCGGAGGCGGAAGCGGAAGCGGAAACGAGAGACTCGTCCTTGCTGGAACGGGCCTTTTCTTCCTTGTCGTTCACATCGTGGTTCTCGTCGGCCGGGGCCGCGGGCTTCTCGTTGTTGGGTTCGGCAGCCATACCGAAGCTGGCTATGGCTGGGGGCTGGGGGAGAGCCGACGCAGTAGAATGGATAATTAAGTAGTCTATGTGGAAGACAAACGGAGCAAGGCGTCAAGAGAAAGTTCCGAATCGAGGAATGTTCCGCCGGATGGAAGGGAAGTGAACAAGGTATGGTGATGGTTCGAAAGCGAAGACTTGCCAGTCTAGTAGACGCAAGATCCGAGTCCCATGCCAGTACTGCAATGTATCCCTTTCTTACTAAAGGAGAAAATATTAAGGAAGAATGAGTGTGAGAATAAACGAACAAAGGGAAAAGGGAGACGGCGAAGTAATTAAGTGATAGAATGCAAGTGATGATGTTTTGTAATCTTTTTCTCCGTCGGGGAGACTTTTTCAGCTTTCTTATCCCGATTACAACTTTCCACTTCCAAGACCACGCGTTGACCAATGCATGTACCTATGCATGTGCCTGACCCGCGGCCACCGAGATTGCGTGCATGTCGGACTTGCGATGTAGTGTAATTAGCGTGGGGATAGAAGTACCCAGGCACATCACTTCTCCTTTGCAGGTATTCGTACATAAGGTAGGTACGAAGACGGAGTAACTATTCTGATGTAAGGTATGATGCCTGTTGGAAGTGCATACCAAACTAAGGCATCAAACTAAGGTAGGTACCTTACCCATAAGGTAGGTACATAAAGCCGAAAGAAACACCTTGCCACTTCAAGGCTAAGGTACCTATAATTCCTTCTCAGTCAGTGCCGGAGTACTTGGATTGCTGTACTCGATACTTCAAAGTCTGTACAACGTACATCCCCTGTTCATGTACAGTCAACCGTTACACCGCGTCCGGTGAAGTCTAAAAGTTTACATCGTCAAACATCTTACAGGAGGTATGAAATACCTACCTTAGTGAATTGCGAATTGCCGCTTGGAGAACGGATACGGATACGATACGGATGAACAAGAGCGGACTTCAGTACCGTATCTGTGCAGACAGCAAGAAGTCCGCAATATGCTTCGGGGGACGGAACTCTCGGCCACCGAACCCTCTTCTTTTCGGATCCCGCAAACCGCGAAAGCCGGACACTACAACGTTCATGTATCCTTTTATTTCTCTTCCTTTGTACTCCGGCCCGTTACCGCGTCCCAATCAGACCAACAGACAAACACAGTCCGACGGAAAGGTAGGCGGGCTGACCATTATGGGTTGCGCGTCGCACCAACGATACGTACCAGGATGACGTCCTTCCAACTATGGAGCCACTCGTCGGATTCGACGGTGCAACGGTAGATTCGACGTCGGATTCAATCCGAACAGAACATCCATTTCCTCTTTTATCATGGGCCCTATGGCATGTGTCATTCTCCATCATCCGGCAGATGGCTAGAGTGCTGACGCAAGAAGGTGCTGACCGTAAGACCAAGAGTCCCGCGGTGTACGGATATGGAAAGCGTTGTTTCTGTCAGATAAAGCGTAGTCAAAATCGTCACAAAATAGGTCAAAATTAATTAAGGCAATTATATATAATTGTAACTGTCTTAGACTGTTAGGGAAACGCTGCCACCGTATTTTATATAGTGTAGATTCTGTAAGCGTCCACCCGGATTATACTCTTAGTAATCCGGCCTATTACATAACCAAAAAGACTATAGTCTATTCGATACACCCCCTAATCGCCCTAAAATGTTAGTTAGGCGATTAAAGCTATTCGTAACCAGTAGATAATCCAGCTATATAATCTATTCGCTGTATCCGCCCTTAAATTCATCCTCTAGGTCCTCTAAATATTCTATCCGGACTTCCTCTAGCTATTTCTGCTATAACCGTTCCCGTATATTTATCACGCCTACCTAAGACCTAAATATCTTAAATTTCTCGCCGTATAACGCCTTCGTTAATCCGTCTACTACTATTTCTGCGCTTATAACATATATTACGAGTATTTACCCTTATTCCTTTACTTAATATAACTAGTAGCCGTGGATATCGACGTGGCGGAGGCGCGTTATTAATATACTAATCTCTTAATTAACTAATCGAATTATTTAGTTATTATCGTATAAGATTCTTAATTCCGGATTATTAAATTCTACTCCTATACTAAATAATAGGCGTTATATAAAGATACCCTCTTTTATACCTTATACTAACGCTAATAGCTCTACTTCCATTATAGACATTATGACTATATCCTACTTATTAGCGCGCTACGCTATTATACCGCTAAATAAGCGTATTATATACGCTTAACTACTCTTTCGATTAAGGGTATTATCGGTAAATAAGGCGTTAGTATAGATTTCGATAGTATCGCTACCCCCTAGTTTTAACGTAAACGATTAGCTATTAATTAGATAAAGGATTAGATAATCGGCGGCCTTATAATAAATAGGCCCTGGATTAACGTTAAACCGGTATAGCCTAGATACTATAAACGCGATATCATAGCACGATATTACTACTACGTATAGTATAGATCCTGTCTTCCGTTAATAGCTTTTAACGTCCGTCGAGGTCCCTAAATAGGGTAGTAGTTCTACGATCTTAATTAGGTGCGTTAGGCGATAGTTACTACTATACTTACTATTTAGCTTTAAAAGACGTTCTAATTTAATAACGCAGTCGCGTTATAATAGCTAGATTTTACGGGCGGCGCGGTCGCGAATAACCTTAATACTAAGGAACTGTTATAGAGGATCGCTACCTTATAGGTTATAATAGCGTTATAGATTATAATAGCATTATAGGTTATTAACGGCCTGCTTTATCTACGCCTTATATTATTTCTTATAAGTAATAACGATATCGTTAACGTAGAAGAATAGGATTAAACCGCGGCGTAGAAAATAACACGGTTCTTACGGCACTATCTAGAAGTCGTCCGCTAAAAGGATAGCTAAAAAGTGCTTTTACTAAAGTAGTAAAGACTCCTTAAGTCTATATAACGCCTTTTTCAGGTGTAAACGACTCCTAGGGGCTAAAAAGCCTAGCGGCGGGTATATAAAGATATCGTGGGGGAGGGGCGCGTGTATAAACGCGTTTATAATATTAAATTATAATAGCGTAAGGTTAAATCGGGCAACAATAGCTATTAACGCGCGGAATAACCATCCGGCTAGTATTACTATATATATCTCCTCAAGCGAGAATTAATACTACTAATCTCCTTATACTATAAGCCCTACCTTATATTTATATAGAAACCTATACTTATCGAACTTATATATTATTACCTATATCGAATTAAGAATCTAATATCTATCTACTACGGACGCTGGTACCCGTATCCACGACCTTATCTCTTTATAGCTCTGTAGGTAATCTTCTTATACCTATCGGAATAAGTGGCCGTAAGGGTATAAGGGTATATCGTGAGGGTTCTTCGGAGGAGGAGGGAGGTCTTTACAGTGGATCTTCACGGCCGTCGGGGTAACTACCGGAGCACCCGCCAAAATAACCGCCGGGGTTATATTTCCTAAGATAGCCTCCCGGGATATACTTCCGGTAGTTACCGCTAAGGCCGTGGATTTATAGGGTATTATTAAGCGTCGCTATAACGCTATAAGCGTAGATCTTTTTAACCGTAACTTAGTTAGCGGAGTCCTATTTAACGTGTATATATTAGATACGTAACGGCTAGCGTTAAATACTATAACCTAATAGTCTCTTTTCTAGCTATCTCCTTACCGAATTAGTTACGCTCCTTTATTTAATAAAAGCCCTATAGCCGTAACTATAGGGGTATCGTAGTACCGTATTCCGTTATCCTAGAACTCTACGGCCGTAGGGGTATTACGGTTTCCTAATATAATGGCTACTATTAGCGCTATACCCGATAGCGGGGTTACTAATAGAGTAGGAAGTAATAGATCGGGCGGATATAGACGGTAATTAGGCGCTATACTGGCTAAATCACACTATTCGTGATCTAAATCTTATCCTAATTAACTCGAAATAGCCTCCTTTACCCCTTTACGGCCGGGTATTACGGACTATAACCTTAACGGTAAAGCCGTCGAGGAAGGGGATCCGGGGGCGTTTATCCCCGGATCTAATAATTCAAAATAAGTAGTTATATAAAGGGGGGGGTCCTTAGCTTATACGTCTATAAACGGCCGTGAATCTCTAGCCCTCTCCTACTCGATCTAACTAATTAGGTCTTCTAATTACTCCTCGGTTAATTAACGGAGGTCGTCCTTAAAGGTAGCGATATCGCCGTTAAAGAAGGCGTGTTCGTTAAAATCTATATCGCGCGTTCGAATAATGCGGTTATAGCGGCGTAGGCTAGGCACCTAGATACGGAAAATATTAGTAGAATCGTAGCCGACGAGGTAGCTGATATAGGCGCGAGGAGCGATACGATTTAATAGCTTATTAGCAGCCTTCTAGACGTCCTTTATTATCGCGTACGCCTTATAGCTATAAGCTTAAAGGTATAATAAAATCGGCTTCCTTTTAAAGAGGACCTTATATAGCGTTTTCTAGTCCTTATTATACTGCCTTCGTGGCGTGCGGTTATAAACGTATATAGCCGTGGGAATAGCCTTAGGCTATATAAATAGTGGTAGTTTTACGTGGATATTTATCGTACGACCCTTCGAAATAACTATAGTAGTAGCGCGTTCGGCACCCCTATTCTATACTTAAGTGTTAGTAGTAGATACCTCTAAAAGGATACCCTCGCCATGCAGGAATTAGGTGATATCGTGGGATTAAGTTAGCTCGTTATTAGATTCGAAAACGCGCACCTTATAGTCTAATTAGCGGTTTACCCAGGCGAGGAATTCCTTAATTATTACGAGGATATCCACTGCCAGCTTACTCTTTATAACGTAGGTGGCTGTAAAACCACTATAATAGTCAGTAAAAAATATAAACCTCGAGTCCCTGTCGGACGTTCGTTTAAAATCCGTGAAATTAATCGCCTATCGCTCCCCTGCATAGGCAGGTGTAGTGCGAGGACGCCTACTAATATACCGTTTTATCTTTATAAGCTCGTAGGCCTTATAGTCGATAGTTATTAGTCCCTTATTTTAACCCCCTGCGTCTACTCTTCTAGGTGCCGAAGTGGTTTAGGGCCTACGTGTCTTAGACATAGATACTATAAGATACCCTCTGCTATGCTTAGATACCGTATCGTCGATTTATAGACGGCTTTTCGGGTAGCAGAAGAAGAAGAGCCTAGAAAAGCAGCCGCAGATTAGTTAGAGGGCATGTATTTAATAACGGTTTAATCGAAGTAATAACTTAGCTAGTATAGTATAGATCTATCAGAACACCGAATATAGGTATTTAGTGGCTTCTAATCCTACTAGTATCCTCGAAGACGTAGGCGTTAGTTAGAGATTAAATTATAGGCAAAATCCTCGTAGTATACGATATTTAATAGCCTAAAATCGAGGCCTCCTATTAGTCCGTTTAATCTCACGGTCACGTTACCGTAACCTTTAATAGGCAGGGATAAACTACCGGCTACTACGTAGTCCCCCTATATAGCGGGTATAAAATTAAAAAAAACGGGAAAAATCGTTAAATATATAAATAGTAGCGCCGGAATCGAGGATAGCAGAGGTTCGAAGAGAGTAACTAATAGTAGCGCTTCTTGCTATAAAGCTAACGGCGTAAAAGACGCTGCTACGGATACTACGGACGCTACTATAGTCGAGTCACGCCTCTTTAAGCTATACTAAGTCCCGGCTTGTATCCTTCTTTACCTTCTTTACGGCACGCAGTTCTTCCACTTCCGCGCATAGCGAGGGGTTATATTTAAGGATCCGTTAGACGGTTATTTTAGTACTCTTAAAGGGTATCTAATCGTTATATACCGTATCCGGGAATAGATAGAAGTAGGCGTTAATATTATAGCTAGGTATAGCGTATACGCGGTAGATCTAACCTCTCTATAGAGTAGATTAGCGGCGTTTAGAAGAGGAACGGTTAGCTAAAGCAGCTAAAGGTATAGTTATAGATACCGCGGTAGTAGGATTCTTAGCTTTATTCTTCCCACGGCCGCCCTTCTTACGGGGCTTAGCCGTGGCCTTTAAGGTATCTTTACCCTCTTCGCTTCCGGTGTATAGTGCAGGGAATACTGTAGTGCGGTGGCTTCCGCGTTTTCCTTAGTCTTTAAGTCTGGTATTGATAGATTTCTGACCAAGGGTATAAAGATCTTCGGGTATAACTACTTGGTTATCTATAAGGCGTCCCTCGGCCTTAGTCTAATCGCGGCCGGTATAGGGACGTATACCTCTAAAGAAGTCTATAACCTATATATACGTGGCGGGCTTCGAACTGGTATCTTTATAGCTTTATAGCAGTAGCTGCCACTTATCTAACTACTTCCCGAGCTTCTTAAGGCTATTCGTAGGATAACGAGTATACTTAATACACTCTTCGTGGGTGTCGGTTTAGCGGGTAGCTAAGTACTAATCCGTATCGCATTTAACGGCTTTATACACCTCGCGCGGTATGCCTCCTCGTAGCAGTTATCTACGGCTTTAGTCGATAGTATTAACCTGCTAGGTTAGTATAGCGTTAATCCCCTTTAGGTAGCTATCGTATTACGCTTATAGGATCTTTTAGCGCGCGATTTCGACGTCGTACGCCTTCTAGCCGGCGTCTATAAGGTCGAGATATTACGTGGGGGTACGCCTAGGCGTTATAGAAGGGAAAGAGTCGTAACTCGGTATTATAGGCTCCTCCGGGGATTAAGTCGGATCGACTAGGCGGAGAAACCTCTACATGTTATTATAGGTGGTAACCGATTCGTATAGGCATTGCTAGAGCTCCTAATCCTTATAGGTTTTATATATAATAGGGCTAAGATATAATATCTTAATAGTTATTTATAGATTAACACGCGATATCGGCGTAGCTAGATAGCTTCTTAAATTGGTAGTAGTAGTAAAGGTAAAAAGGTAGGTAAAATAGGTATATCTTTACTTAGTAAGTAAGACTCTTAATTATCAGATAAAGCGTAGTCAAAATCATCACAAAATAGGTCAACATTAATTAAGGCAATTATATACAATTATAACTATCTCAGACCGTCAGGGAAACGCTACCACCGTATTTTATATAGTGCAGATTCTGCAAGCGTCCACCCGGATTATACTCTTGGCAATCCGGCCCATTACGTAACCGAAAAGACTGGTCTATTCGACAGTTTCTCCAAGTTCAAGCTTGTTCTTCTGACCCCCACACAGGTCCGAAATGCATGATTAGTCATCCGTCACCCGGATTCTGGGGAACTGTCTCATGCCCATCGCTCCCGTCTCATGCTTGACCAAGCTCGTTTGTGCTTCCATCCATTTCAGTCAACTTCACCCAATAGATGTCTTTCTGGGGGCTAACCGCTTAACTCACCTCATTTTAGGGGCACGAAGCCTCCATTGCACTGAACGCGTTCCTCGGGCCCCGATTCACCTGTTTCGTTGCACCGTCTTGTCAGCAGTCCTACATTCTGATATTTCCCCCATCTGCGTTCCCCGTCCCCTTCGGGTGATCTCATCTTGCAGCTTCTCATGGAAGAGAGCCAGACCGATGGCCAGGGGGCCAGTGGCCCTGACGAAGCACCCGAGCCTTCTTTTCCCACCCGCAGAGCTGTTAGTCTTCTTGATATTCCCCTTCGACGTACGGTCATGTACCTACTTTATATTACTGCGCTTCCACCATCCAGCCCAGGCCTCCTGTCTCGGCGCTTTCGCATGTCTCAATGCTGACACACATCGTATATTGCCGCTCTTATACTAGTGCGATGCATGTCGTTCCCGCAAGGTCTGTTCTTGTTAATCCCTCGCGACCTTCTCATCACCCATCTCGGACCTTGAGAGTCATTTTGGGCTTCCTGATACATTGCACTCAGTGTCTCACCATTCTCGAGGCCCCTAGGCGACGAAGAGAACAAGGGAACTGACATGGCTTTAGGTCCGCTGTAATCGAGAATCTCCTTGCTCTCACTGCCTGCAAGCGAAGATTGAGTGCACCCACGCAGACAGCAGGCCCAGGGAGAAGCGCACCCGTGTGCTCATCACTCCACAATAGTAAGTCGAAGCCACATAGCCATCCCAGCCCGGGCCAAAGTCTGTCTCCCTGGCCCGCAATGCTTCCTCTCCCCTTCCGGTCACGACATACCATACCACTCACACAACGTTGCCCTTACCCCGTAGTGAGAGGAAGATTGACCTCATCGACCGCCGGCTCGAGGGCGTCATCCGTCTGCTAGAAGATCTGAAAACCAACTTACCCGCCTCTAATACGCAACCACAACCTCCCACGCAAAACTTCAATGACAGCTCCCACGCCGGCGTCAAAGCCAACCCTACCGCTACCATATCAACCTCGACATGTCCATGTCCAACCCCACCTAACCATGCCCTCCCCCATATCCCCGGGGGTTCCGTCATCGAAGGGGACTCGTCTCTCACTGCCCACTCGGTCTTCGCCAACGAGTTCCTCCAAAAGGTGGTCAACACCGAGTCGTTGCAGGACGCCAGTCTGGAGATGCGCGAAACCCTCGACTCCCTACATCACATCGTCAACGCCCTGAAACAGCCGACAGCCTCGAGCGAAATGACGTATCCGAATGCAAGACGCTTGCCCCGTCCTTCCTCCAAGCACGGCTCCGAAATGCCTCCCATCACAAAAGCCGTCGCAATGATACGCCTTGCCAAGTGTTAGTTGCCAACCGAGCATGCCTCGCCCACTGAGGGCGTCGTGTGTGCCCTCTGTCTCTTATGCACATCTGGATACCCTCTTGAGCTGACCTGTCGCTGCGACCCATGTATTGCATTGCAGCTCACAGCTTAGTGTCGACCACTTGGATGTTCGAGTTGATCCCCATGCAGCACTTCTCCGAGGTCTGCCTGGGCGTCTACTTCGCCGACGATTACAGCGAGGCCGACTTCATCTCGGCTAACGCGGGTCTCCATTGCATGTTCCAGGACTACGCCAACATGCATGCCGCGGGGTCCGAGAAGGAGGAATACCTTCGCTTCGCCCGAATGTGCCGCGAGAACCTCGAAACCGCCCTGGCCAACTTGCCGCTCCATCTCCCGACGACCTCGGACTCCATTATCGCTCTTCTTTTCGGGGTATGTGACATGACGTTGGGCAGACAAGTTTTTTTTATTTGGTTTCCTTTTTCCCCCCTTTCCCCTTTTTTTCTTCTTTTTCTTTTTTCTTCCTTTTCTTTTTTCTTCCTCTTATTATTAAACCCTTTCCCTTGCCATTTGCATCTCACGACAAGGGAATCTGGAAGAAAACTAAAAAAACTGACGAGAATTGCTGGCAAAAAGACATTCTACACCATCGAAATATCAAAACCGTCCCTTGCGTGGGCCTTAATCTCCAAATCATCGGAGCTCTGCCAAACTCTTGGCTATCATCGAGCGAGCTCTTTCAAGAACGACACACCTGTGGAAAGGAAGCTCAAACTGATGCTCTTCTGGTCCACATACTTTCTCGAAAAGAGCCTGTCTCTCCGCCTCGGACGTGCGTCGACTATACAAGACTGGGACGTGACCACCCCGCTACCAACGCCGACCAGTCCCGACGACAGTCCCTTCATGGCGTATTGCAGCCTCTGGGTCAAGGCTGCCGGGTGCCAGGGCGATATATATCAGCAGCTCTACAGCCCTGATTCTCTCACCCAGCCCGACCACGTCCGGGAAGCCCGAGTGAGGAGACTGGTCTCTCAACTGGAAGACATCTCTGCCAAAGTGTCTACCATGTCTGTAAGTTTTCCTCTTCCTTCTTGGGGGCGATCGAGCAATAATCCTAGATTGAGACGTGGTTTTGAGAGGTCGAAGTTGACGTTTTGTAACCTCAACCCCCCAACACAGGCCGAATGGGTCAAGAAGGCGAAGCAAATTGTAGGAGACACCATGGTGGAGTTCTTCCTCGTTTCCGACGACGTCCTCTATCTGTCGCTTCTCACCCTCGTATATCGAGCGGCCCCTCGCCCAGCTTCATCGCCCACCACCTTCAGCGACGAGTGCATCAAAGCTGCGCGCGCGACGCTGGCTAGGCACCAGGACTGCATGGAAGTCCTGGAGAAGTCCAATTCGATCTTCTTCCCGACTTATGTCCACTGGTATGCCGTGATTCCATTGTGGCTCGTCCCTCCTTGCCCAACGCCGTACACTGTTACACTGCCTTTGTCGATTATAGCCGACCGACCGACCGACCGACCTGACCCACCCGGCTAACTTCGCCTAGGACGCTACTCTTCTCCCCCTTTATCCCGTTTATCGTCATCTTCTGCCAGGTCATTGAGACGCTGGACCAGGCCGACCTGGCGCGCCTGCACCAATTTGTCACGTCCATACAGTCAGCACCGGCCCTCTCGGAGGCAGCAGCCAAGATGCACCGCCTGTTCCAAGTTCTCTACAGCGTGGCCCTGCGCTACGTCGAGTTCCGCATCGCGACACCGCCGGCGGGGCAGTTGCAGGCGAGCGCCGAGATGGAAGGGTACCTGGCTGCTTTGGGCTTTCCTTCGACTGGCCTCGGCGACGCGCAGCAGCATCAACAGCAGCAGAACCCACACGAGGAACAGTCACAACAAACACCCGACTTTGGCAATAGCCCGTTCGGCCAGGGAGTACCGGGAAATGTGGGGGCGCTCGGTGAAGGCCAGCAGCGGGCCGTCAACCCCATGATGTGGATGGGTAACGGAGCACAGCTGGAGGATTGGTTTTACAGCAACCAGCAAATGATGGGACTGCTCCAGCAGTCAGACTTCACGTTTCCTCATCAAAACTAGACGAGTGTTCCTCTGTCACGAGACTGGAAACGAGACCACAACTTGCAACACCGACTCTTGTGGGGGAATAAGAGAGCGAACGGTCTGTGGGAAATTGAAGTCCTCAAGTTTCCCCCTCGACTCTTTGCAGATGGGTCCTTAATTCTTAGAAATGAATGCTTTTGAGTGAAACGGGCTCGGTCTAATCACTGGAACAGCGGACAGACATACATCCGACCTTCAGCAGACTAGGCTTGAAACCGACCCGATCTCCGCTCGGTCCGAAAGTCTGATGATTTTGTATGACCCTAGTCTAGTGTGCAACGACCCGGACTCTGGGAATCACAAGCTTTACTTTCGCAAAGGTTGGAACGCTCTAGCGTCTCGCCACCAGCGGCGCGTGGGACCGTTGGAACCGTTGGAACCTACGGGAGTAAGCGTTTCCCAAACGGTAGGACAACGCACACCTACCTATGGTATGGACGATGCGATGCTCCAGGTAGATATATGGGAAGGGGGGAAACACGGTGAGGGGGGAATAGGCGTATATATATACCGTGGTTACCGTCGTCTCGAGTGGTGAGAGGGGCCTGAATCTCCTCTTCATAGCCGTTACGTCGCACAAAGTTGAGCTTATATCCCATCATGGCGAGAGAAAAGACTATCTCGCTCCTGGCGGCTGCCGTTGGTCTGGTATGTCGAGTCCGAATGCGATTCCCAACTTCGTCAAGGCTCGATCCCATCCAAACGAAGTACTGAGAATATTTAGTACATCCTCTACAGGCTCTTACGAATCATCTACAACCTCTTCTACCACCCGCTCCGCTCCTTTCCAGGTCCGCCCCTCTACCGCGCCTCCCGACTCCCCATCGCCCTCGCCCAGGTAGACGGAAAGCGCTCGTTCCGCATCCAGTCGCTGCACGACCAATACGGGCCGGTGGTGCGCATCGCGCCGAACCACCTCAGCTTCACAGACCCGCAGGCCTTCCGCGACGTGTACGGAACCCGCAAAAAGGCGTCGTCGCTGCCGAAGGCCCCGGCGTCGAGCCTGGCGTCAGCGCGCAGCATACCCGAACTGCCCAAAGCAGACGAGTTCTACCGCGTCGACAAGTCGTTCCCGCGGAACATCGTCTCGGAGGAACTAACGCAGCACCGGGCGCTACGGCACGCTCTCGCGCCTTCGTTTAGCGAAAAGGCGATACGGGCGCAGGAGGGGCTTATCACGGGGTATGTCGACAAGTTGATCTCGCGCATGCGGGCGGCGTGCGCCGAAGCCGAAGCCGAAACCGAAACCGAAGGCGCGCCGCACGACGGAGGGAAGGCGGTGCTGGATATGAAGGAGCACTACAACTGGTCGACCTTCGACGTCATCGGCGACCTCGTCTTCGGCGAGCCGTTCGGGTGTCTGGAGATGGGCAAGACGCACGACTGGGTGCGTGCCATCTCCAGCTTCATCCGCGAGGAGACGCGGCTGCGCGCCCTGGTCTACCTGGGCCACGAGTCGCTGGCGGAGATGCTGTTCCGCATGGCGGTGTTCAGCGCGCAGTCGAGGCGGATACGGCGGTACACGTGCGAGAAGCTGGACGAGCGGCTGGCGGCGGTGGACCGGAACGAGGAGCGGAGGGCGGACCTGTTCGGGGAGATGCTGAAGAAGCGGGATGCGCTCGACCTCGAGTACGGCCATCTCATGAGCAACTCGATGGTCCTCGTCCTGGCGGGGTCCGAGACCACGGCCACGCTGCTCGCCGGTGCGACCTACCTGCTCACCACCCACCCGGCCGTCCTGGAACGAGCGACGCGTGAGGTGCGGGAGAGGTTTTCTTCCGCGGACGAGATCAACTTTACGTCGGTTAGCCAGTTGAAGTACATGCTCGCGGTGCTCAGCGAGACGTTTCGGTGTTACCCGCCGGTCCTGTCGGGGCTGGTGCGGAAGGTACCCAAGGCGGGGCAGATGATCGCCGGACATTTTGTACCAGAGGGGGTATGTTTTCTCTTACGAGAATTCTCTGCAGTTGAACATCCCTCACCTGATCGGTAATGGAATGGGCTAACCGTTGCCAATCCGTTAGACGTTGGTCGAAGTGGCACAGTGGGCTGCCAACCATGATGCGCAGAATTGGGCCGACCCCTGGGTCTTCAACCCGGACCGGTTCATGGACGGCGAGGCGGAAGCCATGGCCAAAGGGAACCGGTTCGACGCCCTGCAGCCCTTCAACGTAGGGCCGCGCAACTGTATCGGCAAGAAGTGAGTCTCTTTGCGTCTATTGTCTCTTTTTTTCCTTTTTTTCTTTTCTTTTCCGGAGGTATAATCACTGGAGGTGAGTGTTGGACAATGGACAGATGTGCTGACGTTGCTTTTTTTACGGCGTGTAGTCTCGCATACGCTGAAATGCGCCTCATCATGGCCCGCGTGCTGTTCGAGTTCGATCTGGAGCTTCATGGCGAGAGCCAGAACTGGATTGAACGGCAGAAGGAATATATCATCTGGAACAAACTGCCATTGAAGATTGGTTTGAAGCGCGCGGTGAACTATGGGCAGGGTAGGGGACCCAGGAGATGTGAGGCTGTGAGGCTGTGAGGCTGTGAACTGAGCAGGTATCCTGTCGACGCAAAGCCGACTTGGAGGTTTGGAGGCGTGGCTGGGAGCTTGGACTTGGGAGTAGTCAAGTCCAAAGACTTTGTCGGACACTGATAATGTTTTTATCCTATCCCACATTGGAGACTTGTCCATTTCGTGAGATGCAAGAAAGTGGTGGCGGCGTGCGGCGTGCGGCGTGCCGGGTGCGGATGAGCCCCTGAACTGCCCGTGGTCCAAGCGTTGGCAGCTGAATAAGCTCAGGTTCGGGTGCCCGTTTTCTTCCGGGCCGGATTCACCAAGTCCGGTGTACTCCGTACTGGAATGCTAGAATACCTTGCGTGGGGGAAGAACTCAATTGGCAGGGTACTTTGACTGTTAGCAAAGTTCCCTGTATCACACACCCATAATAGTTAATATTCAGTGTTGCGCCTCGACTGCCCCACGTCATGATTTTTAGCCCTCACTTACAATAAGTCAAAGCCTTACTTAAGCCTCATTATTATAGCGCAAAAGGACTTGGTAAGTTGGTTCACCCCAAGCCCACGACCTCACTCGACCTCTTTCCTCTCCACCTTCTTGCCTCTCTCTGACCCCTTCACGGATATCGAAAGCCTGAGGGCCGATTTGACCATCTTGCAGCAGAGTGACAGACTTTGGCTGGAGGCAAGCCGCATGCACATATTGCCCCTGAGCCCCTGAGTCCCGAGTCGTGAGTCCCGAGTCCCGAGTCCCGAGTCCTGCGTCCTGACTCACTCGATCAGACTCGATCTCGCACATCCTCTCCAACAGTTGGGCCGTCAACCGTCAAAAGAAACGACTTCACAATGTCTTCCGAGGCCCTCACTACTATCCCTCTAACCTCCCTTACTCGCCTGTCTCAAGGCAAAGTCAGGTATGGATGAAATCCCCCCGGGGAACATGGCCCCTTCCTCCCCACCGCGGGCTCAGCTACCCTCATGAGCGACTACTCAAGGACTCGCTATGCGACTTTGAATTGGGGGCTAATACGCATTTTTTTTCTTCTTCTCCCTGTGGTCTAGGGACCTCTTCATCTTGCCCGACGGACAGACACTTCTCTTTGTCACCTCCGGTATGATTTCCTCGTGAGGCCCCTGCCCCGTGTTGTTTTCCCCAGCTCCTGATATGATGGGACCCTTAGACCGTATCAGCGCATACGACGTTATTCTCAAGGTGAGGTCAGCCCCTGGACTACACCTACGATGCTACCAGCATTGATTCCACACTATCCCTTTCAGAACTCGGCCGCCTATTCTCTGGGACAATGTTCGTACATGTACTGACAGGAAGAATTACACAGAATGGAATCTCTTCCAAGGGCCACATCCTGACGCTTCTATCGGCGAAATGGTTCCAAGTGCTTTCCTCCCGAGTACCAGGCTTGAAGCACCATTTTCTGAGCCTTACTCCTCCTCCGGCACCTGAAGTAGTCGCTCCTGAGGAGCGGGATATGCTTCGCGGAAGGTCCATGATAGTTCGGTACAACTCCCTTGGTCTTTCAAGATTCCGTGGTGGGAACCCAGGGATGACGAGCATTCGTTCAAGCTTCTGGAATGCTGACTCTACAACCTGGTAGTCGTCTCAAGATCTTCCCCATCGAGGCAATTGGTAAGGAAATTCTCTCATCATGAAAGCAAAGAAAAAAAAGAAAAAAAAAAAAGGCATCCGTCTTGGAAACCAAGCTGACATGTCACAATTATAGTGCGTGGCTACGTCACAGGAAGCGCCTGGGCAGAGTGAGTCGTTTCCTCTCCTCGAGATGGGATGCATGAGCTCTTCTAACCTGTTTCCCAGATACGAGAAGGACCAGACCATCCACGGCCTCGCACAAACCGCGGGCCTATCGCGCTGCGAGCAGCTCCCCCAGCCCATATACACGCCCTCTACCAAGGCCGAGCTCGGCGACAAGGACATCAACATCTCCCCGGAGCAGGCCCGGGAGATCGTGGGCGATCAATATGCCTCGCGGATCGAAGAGCTAGCTCTCGCATGCTACAAAGCAGGTGCCGCCTACGCAGAAGAACGCGGCATCATCATTGCCGATACCAAGTTTGAGTTTGGCTTGGATGAAGAAACGGACGAAATCTACCTCGTCGATGAGGTTCTCACGTATGTCCCACCCTTGATGCTCCATGCCTGGTCTTGAGACCATGGGGGAAGGGGAAAACCCCTCCCCCGACAAGACCCCGTATTCCACCCCTATGGCCGGATGCTGACATGAAGCCATGCAGGCCTGATTCGTCGCGTTTCTGGAGCAAGGCCGACTACCAAGGTACGGAATTGTCCCGCGGGACCCCGAGTCGGACCGGTCAGTGTAGAGTTTACTAACATGTCTTGCAGTCGGACGGGAACAGGACTCCTGTACGTGCTAACCGCGAACCCCCCCCCCCCCCCCCCAATTTTAGCAAAGATTTATCTGAGCTATGGAGCACCCAGGGCCCTCCGAAGATGGGGCACGCAATGCTAACATACCCTTTAGTCGACAAACAGGTGCTCAGGAACTGGTTGACGTCGAATGGCTTGGTAAGTTCATCCATGTTCATTTTCTATGGCCAATGCCCGGGAGCTCCAGGACGCCACAACCCATCCGCTCGGCTTCCTGGAAGATTGCTAATAGCTAAATAGAAAGGAAAGGAGGGCGTGGCGATGCCTCCGGAAGTCGTGGAGAAGACGAAGGGACGTTACCTGGAAGTGTACGAGCGGCTGACGGGCCAGACTTTGGAAGAGGCACTGAAGAATTTGGATTAAACATGGCCATGCTACGGCGCGTTGTTCTGTCGACCAACAACGCCCCTTGCCTCAACTGGTACCCGGCCAAGCTTGGAACGACCACATCTCGGCCATATCGTATTCAATAGGTAGCTAGGATTTCACACAAGGTATCTTGGATGGAGATAGCTTCCATAAAGTATCTAGCCACTGTCAGCTGTCAGGCTTTGAGCAAGACATCTCTATGACCACCTGCCTAAATCTGATGGAAAACAGAAAGACTAGAGAGCGCGTCTCCCGGCCAAGAAAACAGAGTGTTGGACTGGCACGACGACCCCAGAGCCTGGTTGTTCATCCAAGCCGGCTCCCAGTAATACAGCCCTACACCGCGCGGGGTGCTCTCCACCACGTTCGCCACGCGGCGGATAAAGTCCGCCTGGCCCTGTGCCGAGAAGGGAATGCCCCTGAGGTCGCCGGGGAAAGGGTACGCGGGCGAAGGGCACGAATGAGGCCAGTTGATCTCGGCGACGACCATCTCCTTGCCCCAGCGGTTCGCCATGTTGCGCAGCGTGCTCTGCAGGGACGACAGCGTGGCGCCGTCGCCGTAGAAGGGGTAGTACGAGACGCCCATCATGTCGATCTCGGACAGCTGGAGGGGCCCCGCGGCGAGGACGTTGTCGTACCACCACTCCTGCGCGCCCCAGTCCCAGCCGTTGTCGAGGTGGACCATGATCTTGGGTTGCGGGTCCAGGCGCGAGTCGCGGATGCCCCAGGACGCGGAATCCAGCAGGCGCGCGATGTTGTGGAACTGCGACGTGCGGCCCGTGGGGAAGAGCAGGCCCGAGCGGATCTCGTTCCCGATCGAGATGATCTGCGGCTGCACGCCGGCCGCCTGGAAGGCGTTGGAGATCTCCAGGGTGTAGTTGTACAGCCGCCACGAGAGGTTGTCGATGTCCGTCGGCCACCCGGAGGGGATGCGCTGCTGGCCCGGGTCCGCCCACGTGTCGCTGAAGTGCAGGGTCAGGTAGATGCCGAGGCCGCGGGTCCGGGCGCGCCGCGCCAGCTGGAGGTTGTAGTCGAGGTTGTACTCCCCGTTCCAGGGGTTCACCCATACCCGCTGCCGCACCGAGTTGACGCCGTTCGCGGCGAGGATGTTCTCCAGCGGCTGCTCGTGGCCGTTGCTCCTGTAGCGGATCCCCGCCCGTTCCTCCACCAGGACGGACGACCAGTCCACGCCTTTGTAGGTGAGGGCGTTGGCCACCGAGCTGAGCGCCAGGAGCGCAGCCGACACGAAAGAGAACCGCATTTCTGAAAAGCGTTCCGCCTCTCTGTTCTACCGTGCCGAGATGTGTCACGGAAGACGTGCGGCCATGGATGAGAGTGGCTGTTGGCTGCATGTGATGAAATTCAAGCGGGGGGATGGAATGAATTTGTATGTCCTAGACACCGTCAGTCAGCAAGGGTTTAATATAATTACCCCATGTTCTTCTCCTTTTGACACTTCCTCCGAGGCAGTTCATTAAGCCAAGCCTCTCATACGAGCGCTTACCGACCCGTTCTCGGGAGAATGATGTCTTCGATGGTTGCCGTCCCATTCCACGAGAAACAAATGAACAAGAGTTTGCGGGGAGAAGCAATCATCCAATAATGACGGTCGAAATTGACCCGGTTCTGCCGTTTCCTTGCTTCGGCTCTTCTTCCCCCGTGTCCTGGATGGGATGGGATGGGATGGGATAGGATCCACTCAGCTCTGGTTGCACCCATGGAAGGTCACGAGGAGGGGCTATAGTGGTGATACTACCTAGGTAGCGGTAGTCATTGTCTGCCGTGCATTGTGTTTTCAAAAGAACTCTAGCTTCTGGACGTTGTTAGCGTTGGCGTTTTCAAGATTCCGCTTTTCACGATGCGACGGAAGGGGCCCGATACTACCCTATCGACCCCCCCCCCGGGCCCCCGAAACGTAACAAACTTGACGATACCCGTCTCTCTGTCTTGCGACCGAAGAATGCGCCTATGGGACGTCCCGCGACAGTTATCTCGGCGGCCGAGGAGCGAGGAGAGTTTGTCTCCATCGAGATACCGGGTGCCCTTGGACGAACACGACTGTCCGGATCCTATCCATGCGAAGGCAACGGGATATTTTGAAAGGCAAGTGAAACAGTTATATACACTTTCATGCCACGCCAACCAACCCGTCTCTCATGACCTGACCTCCCCACCGAGATCCATCTCGGCTCACTGCCTCTCCACGGCCTTGGGCTCCCAAGACGTCAACTTCGGCTTGGTGCTGCGGAGATGATTAGTCGACTGACAGTCTCTTCTCTTCCTCTCGTCCACCTCCGCCTCCGCCTCTAGCCCAGACTGAAAGCTGTGGAACTCACGTATTATAAGTTATGTAGTTGCCGCTGGTGGCGGTGAAATTGGGCGTCGCCTTCGGGAGATCCCATTTGTTGCCGCCTGTTCGGAGGAGGGGGTCCTCGGTGGGGGACTTGTCGACGCCGTAGGACATCCAGGCGTGCCAGCCCGGCTCGATCTGGGCGGCGTCGTAGTCGTGTTTCTTGTATTCTACCCAGCGGGTCCGGACTGCGATGTTGGGTGGGCAGGGGCCGACGAGTTAGCCAATTTTCCTGTCCGTTGTTGTGCCGACAACGGCAAACAATGCGGATGCCGACATGTGGCGAAATATATCTTCGTCCGTGTTTCTGTCCCTCGCTCTGTGGCTCTCCATGATCTCTCGTACCCCCCCACCCCCCGGGGTCTCCCATCTTCCTTCTCTTCACAATCCACTTTTACTATCCGTAATCGTCCGACGGCAATGCAACGCGCATAAGAGGCGAAAAGAACGGGGTATCAGAGGCAGGACGCAACGTACGGGGCAGCTCTTCGTTGTTCTCAAAGTACTTGTTTCCGGCACGATCTTCGCCTACCAGCCGGCCAGCCTTGGTGTCGCCAATGTACACCATCTGGATAATGTAGTTCTGTTTCCGCGTTGTCCGCAAAGTGCGCGAAGCGGATAGGTTAGCAATTGATTCGGAATTTCGGCGGTCCGGGCTGATGGCGTGGGCGGACGGGGAATGGATGCCAGCAGTGCTAAGGCGTAGGGGACGAAGGTAACTCGCGCACCTTGAGGCCAATCTTTCGCAGATTGCTCAGCGTTCGTGTGATGGTCGACATCTTGGCGGATTGAGGCGGTCGCGGTGCCGATTGACCTCGAGAAGTTGGGTTGAAATGTCGTCGACGGAGATGATTGCGGTTGAATCGAATCTCGAACTCGAGGCTCGGGAACTTCACGATGGTGACCGGGTGATCACGTAATCACACCTCCCGGGAAAACGTATCGCCGTGCCAAAATCTCTAGCCAATGGTTGAGCTCAGATTTCTTAATGCAGAAGAGTTAATTAAGGTACATATCGATATCGGAATTGATTGGCACTTTTCGTCCTGCCCCCAGGTCCTTTGTCAACTTGCAGTTACTGTGCAGTGTTTCTTGGGACTCGACTCGGTCCTGCGTTTTCTCTGTAGACATGATCGTAAGGGGAGCATGTCGGTGCGCCCCCAAACTCCGAACATCCGCGATTAGGAGTCGACCTTCGTTGGCGCAGCTGCCGCAATGTCGCCGATACGCGACGCCGTCTTCGTCTTCGACACCTGCGGCGAGTGCATCGACAGGTAGCCAAATCGGTGTCCTCGCGCCCTTCACGAGCGAGCTTGACCGGATTGCGCCTTCGTTTGATATTCACGGGTCCCAGATTCACATCATTCGTTCTCCAACGGATTTCTACGAGACGCTCAAGGTACGCCGACTGCCGGGAGATGACCGAGAAGGGATCTTCTCCTGCTTCGGAAGAGCACGCTGTCTGACTGGCAACAGGAAAGGATACGAAATGCCCGAAAACGCATCTTCCTTTCGACCTTGTACATCGGCAAGACCGAGAAGGAGCTGGTATGACCAAAATCAACACGATTGCCGTCAGTGGGAGAAGCCTGGACAACAAGACTGAGTGAGCTTAGATTGCGACGCTACAAGACGCACTGCGACAGAACCCCAATCTCGAGTTGCACATCATCACAGATGCCCTCCGAGGCACGCGCGAAGCCCCCAACCCGAGTTGCGCGTCGTTGCTTGCTCCCCTGGTCGAGGAGTTTGGCCCCGACCGAGTCGAAATCCGCATGTACCACACCCCCAACTTGACGGGTATACGAAAACAGTACATCCCTCGTCGCATCAACGAGGGATGGGGTCTTCAGCACATGAAGCTGTACGGTGTCGACGATGAGATCATCCTCTCTGGGTACGGACGACTCTTGCTCCTCTTCTTTTCCCTCTCGCCGCCGTCGAGACAAAAGACGGGCATGGGCCTTCCCTTCTAACCACGCATATAGAGCGAACCTGTCGACGGATTACTTCACGAACCGTCAAGATCGGTACCACCTCTTCTCATCCAAGGAAGTAACCGACTATTTCTGGAACATCCACCGAGGTGTCGCGTCCTTCAGCTTTCTCGTCCAACCATCCAAAGACAAGTCCGGATTCACTTTCACCTGGCCCAAGTCGAACCTGGCACCGTCTCCGCTAGAGCATCCAAGACAGTTCGTCGGCAAGACCACATCCGCCATAGGCGCCTTGATCGCGCCGCCTTCCAAACAACCCCCCCCGCGAAACACACCCGACAGCAAGGAATCCGATGCAGACACGAGGGTCTACATGCTCGCGCAAATGTCTCAGCTCATGAACCCGGACACCTCCACCGAGCTCCCCGCCGTCACCCACGTCCTACGCACCCTCGCCTCCCCCACCTTCGCCGGCTCCTCCTGGACCTTCACAGCCGGCTACTTCAACCCAGCCCCCTCGCTCACCAAACTCCTCCTCTCCACCGCCTCGTCCCACAACGTCGTCATCACCGCCTCCCCGCACGCCAACGGCTTCTACCAATCCCCCGGCGTCTCCGGCCTCCTCCCAGGCGCCTACACCCTCCTCGCCCGCCGCTTCCTGCGCGCCGTCCACCAGACCGGCCGCGACCGCGCCATCGCCCTGAAGGAATGGCGCCGCGGCACCGTCGGCCACCCCGGCGGCTGGACCTACCACGCCAAGGGCCTCTGGGTCACCCTCCCCGGCGAGGCCCACCCGGCCCTGACCCTCGTGGGGAGCTCCAACTACACGCGCCGCAGCTACTCGCACGACCTCGAGGTCGGGGCCCTGGTGCTCACGCGGAACGAGAAGCTCAAGGAGCGCTTGGGACAGGAGCAGGCTTGGTTGCAGGAGTATGCGAAGCCGGTGACGAGGGATGACTTTGCCACCAATGAGAGAAGGGTCGGTCTTAAGGTCAGGATTGCTATGTGGATTGTGAGTCTCGTCGGGGGGGCTCTGTAGGCCAACCAGGGACGTACGTGCGTGTACTTTGTACAACAGGCGGTTTTTTTCGCTCTAGAGATAGATATACCCTGGGTTGTGTGAAAGCTCGGGCTAGACTTTTAATCTTATGCTCTTGACATTCTCGTTGTCTTGTATCGTCTGCTTTCAAGATGATTTGCGCATGAGAAATTGAGCTCCTGCCGGTGGGTGAGACCATGGCGTAAACATCTCTCCTCGACCCTACAGGAAGTATTTGGGTGACAATCAGTAGTACGTATTCTATTTTCTGGCCACGACAATGATGTAGGTATCTTAAGGTAGAGAAACCAGGAGACAACCCAAGAAAATTATTCTAAATCGACTCGGCAGACACCGCTTCTAGCCACCCAAGATCCCTTGCTCGTTCCCATCCCCGTCCGTATCCGTCCTATTTTCTAGAAGAAAAAAAGAAAAGAAAAAAAAAAGAAACGAAAAAGAAACGAAAACGAAAAAGAAAAAAAGAAGAAAAAACTCCAGCCTAACCAACCCAACCCAACCCAACCCAACCCAGTGCAGTGCCATACTCGAACAGAAACAAGCCTAATGATTATCTCTCGGAGCGGGAAAGTTCTGAGCCACCCTCTGGAACTGCACAGCTCTTTTCAAAACCATGCCCTCGCTCAACCCACCGACCTCCCTGCGGAAGATGTCCTGCCAAGGGGTGTGACTCGGAGGGATTTGGTAGCCTCCCTTGGCCTCCAGCTCCTTCCGCCGGGCCTTGAGCTCGTTCTCGGGAAGGAGGATGTCGACTCTCCGCTTGTCGAGGTCAACCCTCACCCTATCGCCGTCGCGGACGAGGGCGAGGTTCCCCCCGTCGGCCGCTTCGGGGGTGGCGTTGAGGATGGAAGGCGAGCCCGAGGTGCCGGACTGGCGACCGTCGCCGATGCAGGGGAGGTCCCGCACCCCTCGCTTGAGGAGGTGGCTAGGCGCGTGCATGTTGACGACCTCGGCGGCTCCGGGATACCCCAGGGGCCCTACGCCGCGCATGATGAGGATGGTGCGGCGGCCGATGGCGGCCTTCTCGACGCGGTCCTGGTAGTCCTCCGGGCCGTCAAATACGGCCACGGGACATTCAAAGGCGTTGGGGTCGGCCGGATCTTGGAGGAACTCTTTGCGGAACGCGGGCGAGATGACCGAGGTCTTCATGATGGCCGAGTCGAACAGCGTGCCCTTCAGATGGATAAAGCCGGCGTTCTCCTTCATGGGTTCGGAGAACGGCTTGATGGTGCGGCGGTCCCAGGTGTGCTTGCCCCGGACATTGTCGCCGATGGTGCGGCCGTTGCAGGTCACGGCTTCCGGGTGGGGTAGCTTGCCGGCATCGAGGAGGTCGGCCATGACGGCGAGCAGGCCGCCGGCGCGGTAGTAGTCCTCGCTAAGCATCTCTCCGGCGGGCTGCATGTTGACGAGCAGGGGGATGGCGTAGCCCAGCCTGTCCCAGTCATCGAGGTCCAGCGGCACGCCCACGTGCTTAGCGACGGCGTTGAGGTGGATCGGGGCGTTGGTGCTGCCGCCGATGGCAGTGTTGACGACAATGGCGTTCTCGAAGGCGGCGCGGGTCATGATGTCGGAGGGCTTAAGATCCTCGCGGACCATGTCGACGATCCGCAGGCCGGTGTGGTAGGCCATCTGGGAGCGCTCGCGGTAAGGGGCCGGGATGGCGGCGGACCCCGGCAGGGCCATTCCCAGGGCCTCGGCGAGGGCGTTCATGGTGGAAGCAGTGCCCATAGTATTGCAGTGGCCTGGAGATGGGGTGCCACTGCAAACCATGTCGGTCAGCTCGTCGGCATCGATCTGACCGGCGGTGTACAGGTCCCGGGCGCGCCAGATAATAGTGCCGGACCCCACTCTTTCGCCTTGGAGCGAGCCGTTCAGCATGGGCCCGACGTTGAGGCAGATAGCAGGGATGTTCATGGTGGCGGCGGCCATCAGGCAGGCCGGCGTGGTCTTATCGCATCCGGTCAGCAGCACGACGCCATCGAATGGATAAGCGTAGAGGAGCTCGACCAGTGTGAGGTAGGACAGATTGCGGTCAAGGGTGGCGGTGGGTCGGCGCGTGGTCTCCTGAATGGGATGGGTGGGGAACTCGAGGGCGATGCCACCGGCCGTCCTGATACCCTCCCGTACGCGCTTGGCCAGTTCGAGGTGATGCCTGTTGCAAGGGGAGACGTCGGAGCCAGATTGGGCGATTCCGATTATGGGTTTATTCGAGGACAGTTCTTCCTTGGTGAGGCCGTAGTTGAGGTAACGATCCATATAGACCAAATGCAGACCTCGTTCGTCGGTCCGGTTGAACCATTCTGCGGACCTTAACCTCCTGCCTTTGCCCTCGCCCTCGCCCTCGCTCTTGCCCTCGCTCTTGCCCTTGCCCTCGCTCTTGCCCTTGCCCTTGCCCTTGCCCTTGCCACTATCGGAAGATTCGACGGTGAGCTCTGATAACTGTTCTTCCAGCGCCTTAGACCGAGCGCGCAACTTGGACAGCTCGGCCTTGTAGTCTTCGATGTCGACAAGGGGCCGCTCGGCGCACGCCGAAGAGCAATCGGCGCAGGGCGTTTCACACGTCATGGTGATGGATAAGCCTTCGGAAGTTTGATCTCTAGTGTCTCTACGGGAGGAGAGATGATTTTCTCGGACCGGTGGGATAATTGGTGAGACGAGACAGACGAGATCATAGAGAAGCGCACGAGATAGAGCATGGAGAAATCAGATTGAAGGAGAGAAGAGGCGGGTTGAAGAAATTTGGAATGGGACACAAGAAAGGCGGTCGATCGAGACAAAGCACGACTTGTTAGTCCGATAGTAGCCTCAACCAATCGAACGGCTTTCCCATTCCTGGATTACCCAAGCGGGCCGAGATGGATCTTCGACCTTGGAGTCATCGTGTCCACTCTCGACATGGCAAAAGACCGAGGATCGGAGACGGGTGTAGGGAAAAAATAGGAAAAAAAATAGAAAAAAAAAAAAGGCTGAAGCCACCGAGCTCTAGTAAGTGAGTTTAGTGCAGAAAGGGGTTGCAAGGTGACGAAGTGCGGGGATGATGGTGATGTGACGGGCTAAGGAACACAAGGGACAATGAGCTGAAGGAGGGGCAGAAAAAAAAAAGGGGAAAAGAAAAGGAAGGGAAAAGCATATGAGGGGATTGATAACAAAATGGAGGAAGGTGAGTGGGAGTTTCGGTGGGGGGAGTAGGGCAAGACTATCTGACGTGACGCCGGGGGATTGGATACTGGGTTTTCAGCCGTTTGTTTCATCCCTATCTGTTCCTCCCACATGTTATTTCGACGGCGGGGCTGGAGAAAACTACCGAGTAAGAAGTCGTTGCACCTGTCTGGCGCTGACGAAACGCTATCAACGGGTGAATTAGGTGGGGGCAGTGTATCCCCACAACCCAAATGGCCATAAGGGTGCAGGTGGGGAGCTTTGGAGTGGGTGCCTCCTTCTCCAACTGCCGCAACTACACTACGTGTACCTTAGGCATAGCTAGGCCAGACCAAACGATTCGCTTCACCTGAAGGCAAGACCCACGGGCGTACAAGACGAGCACCTACCTCGTATGTATTAGGAAGGTCCGAATGACTCTTGGTGAATGGGCTTCACAATGTCGTCATCTTTTCCCATTTCCGTATCAGCAAATCAGCGTGGTCATTGTAATTCGAACTGAGCTGTCGAGTTCAAAGTTCACCACACTGACCACAGCAGTCAATACTCGTACGGAGAAAAGCTCGTGCGACACACAAACGACAGACGGCGTTGCTGTCAGACCCTACCACCCAAACTGTCGGCTCGCTGCAGATCCCCTGTCACCCCCCATTTCTTCCCCGCAGATCCAGAGACTCAGAACGGGCCTTGACTTAATTACCGTGCCATCTCGTCGGTACTTTATTTCTTCTTTTTGACTCCTCATTAAACCCCTACAATGGTGCCTCGGTCCCAATTGGCTTCAATTGGCAAGTCGACATACGGACAAGTCGAACCCGGCCCCCGACTTGCCTCGTTGGCTCAACTGTTATGACCAATGCGCTCGGCAACCATGGTTGTGCCGCTTTTCAATTCGAGGACAATGGACGGACGATGAAAACCCCTGTTCTTTTCAGAGACCGAGACCAAACTACCGAGATTATATTACCGCACACCGAGCAATCAATCTTCTACACCTACTTGTCCCCCGCCCGATACCGATACAAACAAGCAGAAGCCCTATGTACGGTACGCAACCCCTGACAAAGGAGCCGCTAGGTTGATTGGCCTCCTCCCACCGCATCCTGATGGATCTGCAATGCAACGTAACCTTCCTTAGACTTGTGAATCCACACGCTTGGGCTGGCTTATACATATTAGTTCGACTTTGACAATGGGCGCCTGACCGATGATACTTTGCAGGTCATCCTACAGAAGTATTTCATACTCGAAGGACAGAGGCAAGTAGCCTGTATCACGGCCCGGTACATCATTACCTATACAAAACCCATAAGCCGCTGGGCTTCCGATAAATACGAAATATTCGTATCTATTGAAGATGGCATGCTTGCTTCGAGGGCGGTTGCTGTTTGCAAACAAGCTTCATTAATGCATGACCAGGGCTCGCCTGGTCGTGTCTCATTACCCCCTGCAGGAAGGACATTAATTTTAGATAAGGTGCATACCTTAATTATACCTATACGTTGCAAGTACACATTGGCAGCCTTGTGCAATCTCACTGGGGGCAACCAAGAGAATTAGAGAGACGGAGAGCCCGAATCCTTCAGCTTCCCATCTTTCCACAGTGGTCTCTTTTCCTCGGATGCTGACCCTCACACGAACATGAGCAACTCCATATAAAAAGAGCACATCGAGGACGCGAAGATATGTTGACATGTTGACATTGTTTGCGCGTTGAACTGCGAACCAGCTGCGACATCTGATACCGTCTGTCCTGATCAAGACTTTCTCACGAGGAGAAAATCCAATCACTGGTCGGCGTGTTGCATCTAACGCACAGAAAAGCAGCAACAGCAACATGCACGAGAAGGAGAGAGGTAGCAGTGACGACGTCTCGCGCGTCGCTACTCTCCAGGCATCTGTCCATGCCAACGAAGACGCTCACTTGACCCTATGGGAGTCGTTCAAAAAATACAGGCGTGCAGTCATGCACTGCATTTTCATGACCTCGGCCATCCTCTTGTACGGCTACGACTATGTCATCATCGGAACCGTTACGGCCATGCCTAGTTTTCAGTCAGTGATTCACGCAACTCGTCCTTATCTCACCAATCTCATTCCGATCCCTTCCTCTCCAATGTGCGGAAAAGAGCAATCTAACAAGCAAACCCACAAATAGGCACGACTTTGGCGAGCTACTCGGCGGCGAATGGATCTTCCCCTCGCTTTGGTTTGGGCTCTGGGCCTTCATCTCCCCCGGTCTGCAGATGGTCGGCGCCCTTCTTGGGGGGAAGTTTCAGGACCGCTTCGGCCGAAGGGCATCTCTCGCAATGGGTTCTCTCCTCTGTGCGGTCGGCGTGGCCGTATGCTTCGTATCCAACCTGCCCAACGATATCGACGGTCGCCGCGGGATGTTCCTGGCCGGCAAGGGCATCCAAGGCGGTGCGATCGGCACAGTCATGGTCACGGCCATGACATACATGTCGGAGATCCTACCCCCGAACCTACGCGGACCCGTCTTGGCCTTCTTCCCCATCTTCACCCTGCTCGGCCAGCTCATCGGCGCCCTGGTCATCTTTGCTTCCATGGACCGGCCCGACGGCTACGTCTTGGCCTTCGCGTCGCAGTGGCCCTTTTCGGCCCTGGCCTTGGTCGCGGCCATCATCATCCCCGAGAGCCCGACCTACCTGGTGCGGCGAAACCACGAGGAACAAGCGCTCAAGGCGCAGAGGAGGCTTGGTTGCATCGGCGGAGATCCGGAACAGACCCTGGAACGCATCCGGGCCGACATCGCGCACGAGAGGCGTCTCGCCAACGCCACCTACCAAGACTCCTTCCGCAAGCCGAACCGCCGCCGCACCTTCATCATTATGTTTGCCAACACCCTCCCTCAGCTCTTCGGACTAACGCTGCTTTCCAAGGGGAGCTACTTCTTGCAGGTCGTGGGGTTGAGCCCAGATATGAGCGTTCTTATCCTTATCATCGGCGTCGTGTGCGGCTTGATAGCGAATATTCTCAGCATCCTCGCCCTGGCCAGCTTTGGACGGAGGCCGCTGATCTTGACAACGCTGTCCATCGCGGCCGTTCTGTGGGCGAGCACGGGCATTGCGGGCATATTCCGCGGCACAGTGGCTGCTTGGTAAGACTTCAAGTCTCCTTTTGGATGTAGAGAAAGGGGCCGCCTTTCCTTTCGTCTCCCCGGTAATACGAAGTACTGACGCACTCTTAACTGCCAGGTACACGGCGGCGAGCCTCGTTGCGATAAGTGTAGTCTGCGGACTGGGCGCGTGGCCCGCATCCCAGGTCGTGGCGGCCGAGACCTCGGCATTGCACTTGCGCGGGAAGGCGCAGGGGATAGGATGGTTTACGTCCGGGGCGGGCTATGCCGTGTTCGGGCTCGTGCTGCCGTACATGTTCAACCCGGACCAGGGCAACCTGCGCGGCAAGACCGGCTTCGTCTTCGCTGGGCTGTGCGTCCTGGCGGCTGCGGTGTCTTTCCTTTACGTTCCGGAGATGAAGGGACGCACAGCGGCCGAAATTGACCGCATGTTTGAGCAGAAGCTGTCGGCTAGGGAGTTTGCGAAGTGGAAGAACCCGAACGTCCCCGAGAACGGGGAATAGGGGACGATCGTTTCTGGAGCACTGGCTCAATGGAGGTTGGCATATGTTATTTGAATATTATTTAATGTTCCAGAGCTCCGCGGGGTTTCCGAGTCGCTAACGTGGAAGGGAACAATGTGAAGGACACAGTGGGTTTTTTTACGGACTTTACCCTCACCATAGCATCAGAGCAAGTGCACTATAGCCTCTTCCATGTTCAAAGGCTTCATATCACAGGACGAAATCAACAAAGTCCTAGTGACCGAGAGGAGGTGGTGAGACTCGACGAACAGGCACTGACCACAGGAAGGACTGTGACCCTGTCTAGTCGTGCTAATTCGAGCCGTTGATCTGGCTCCAGTCTTCCAGATGCTCCCGGAGCAACAGAAGTCGTGGACCTACACTGAACAGACGACGTCGTATGCTGGTAGATGGACGGTTTGGGAAGACCACCTTGTACACGTGTAGTGTACATTATTCCAGAAGTTCCCGCTGACGTAAACAAAAGCCAAGCGTTCGAGTTAGGTACCTACGGTTACCTTCGGCATGTCCACAGTCCCTTTGACAAACACCATGTCCATGGTGATAAGTCAGGACTTGCGATGACGATCATAGGGTCCTCCCCTGACGTCACTGCCAAGAGCAAAGTCGCCGCACTGAACGCCACTGATGCCAACTTAGATGCCAAAAAACTCATCGCATGGAAGTTTGCAAGAAGCCAACTGTCAACAAAAAAGAGAGATGAAAACAAGTATCAACAATATGGATACTTGGCGCCATGATCAATTTGAAGGCGATTTAGCCCAGACACCCCGGAGGACACGAGTCAGTCATTTTGGTTAGCGCTCATGGATAAGTGTAGACAGGAAGGGGCCCAGGGAAAATCGTCTGATGCTAGGCCCATGGACGGTCAGAGTCAGCGCGCTTCCTTTTGCTAAGGCAGATTTTCCAACGCTGGCCTAAGAGCTAACCCAAGTTCGATCGGTTCCCCACGGTGGGTATTGGGTCGTCTGAAAGCTGGCGGACTTTGGTAGTTGGATGGGGCTCAACGAGACCGCTTGAATCGGAGCACAAACCACTCGCCCGCTGTCGCCGAACTAACACGGGGAGGGCCGGGGGGCGATGAAGGTATAAGTATGAATGCTGTGGAGTCTTTGTATGTTTTCATTGTTGTGATGAATTCGCGGCCACACCCGCAAATACCATACTCATTTCATATGCAGGAAGTGCCATGCTAGATGGCAGCGTAGACAATGAGCCACGGCTGTTTCCCCGTCCTGTGCAGCCGTGCTCACATTGGATGCTGGTTGGATGTTGGGACGGATGGGTTCAGTGGTCAAGACTCAGAAAACCGAGATGAGGTTGTAACGGAAAGCGCACGACAAGACGAGACATCTTCGGACTCGACAGAAGCATTGATCTTCTTCAAAACGCAATGGACGGAGCCATTTCCGAGTCATAAATGCAGTTACCCGTAGTAGGATTGATCTGGGACGTTAAGATGTTCTGGGTGAGAGCGTTGAATAGGCTTGTTAGAGGGCACGGTTTGTCTGTTTCCACGACAACGTAAGCCAAAGAATCTCTAATATTGGATTGTGGGAAAACATGTCTGTTGAACATGACGTCGCGAATAAGACGTGCCAAACTCACTTGAACCCAGAATGTATCCCAGCCAAAAGCGACGGAAGGGTGATTCCAACAAAACGAACCACAGGACAAGGGAGCCAGGGAAGCGCGTTATCAGATGTCTGAGTTGCTGTTGCCGATTTGGTGACCGAAGACGATAGTTCGTAAGCTAAAGTGACGGAAAGTAGCCAGAACGAGTCGAGTAAACGCTGTTAGTGGTAATGCGGTCGCGGCATCGCCTGGTTTTCTGATGATTGGGAACACCGGACCACGCCACCACTATGGGGGTACTGTACTGGAGGGACGACAAGTGAATACGGCTTCAACTCGCGGCAGTGAGGGTCACTGGTCGGTCGCGTGAACCATAATAGACATGGCAGCAGCTCATGCTTCGGGTAAAAAAGCAGTTGAGGATAAAGAATATGACGAGATGGAACACGCCATTCTCTCTCTTCTCGACAGGTTCAAGAGGGGGGTAACCGGCGCCACGCTGACGAGACCACCGCTAGTGAATGTAAGTGCGAAACTCAACTCCAAGAAGCCTTAGAAAAGACACAGAAGACACAAAAATAATTAAGAGATGGCTCGAGTATCGTGCGCATCTCCTCCAGGGCTGATCCGATCATCGATGTTGATCTAACGACGAGGTTTGAGTCGTCCAACGCGCTCGAACAGAGTTCCGAGTGCCCGAAAGACGGCATCTCCATGATCGGTCGCCCAGACCGACTCAACCGAGGTTAGGAATGAGATGGCCCCAAATTTAGAAGCGGTCGTATGTCCCTTCGTCCTAGGGGCTCCGCGGTGGATGACTTTCACGCGTCTTCCACCCCCCTCCCCCGGCGTCCCCGGACCCCAGCCGCACAGCGGAGCCCCGCTTCCACCCCGTATTTCAACCCCAGACGAATACCCCCGGACCCCAGATCCCAGCATGGAACTTGCACCAAATAAACAAAGCAATGCAAAACAAGACATCTTTTTGTCATGTAACTTATCTCAAGGAGATTAAACCATTTTGCTTGTGTAGCGGCCAGCGCTAGGGAGATGGGAAAGGAAGGGCAGTGCGCCCACGTGGCCTAAAGCGTCTAAATTTTCCTCCTAACCGTTTCTTCGCAGAGCCCCGACGAGGCATTGCTTCGATTGGACGCCACTCGACGCCACGTCCGGAGGAACTATAACGTATCTGGAAGCAACGGGAAGCAATAAGCAGCAGAAACGGTCGCCGGTAGTCCGACTCGGCCAAATGAAAGGTGAGGGAAGAACAAATGCTTCGAAGCGTGTTTCGCCATAGTCGAGAGGGTTGGGTACCAAAGTGGTTGTGGTGGTGTAATTACATGTTGTGTGTGCGACTCATGCGCATGCAAGGGTCCATGGGGCACATCGTGAAACCACATGAGCATTCGAGCGATAGCGATATTTCAGCCCAGGGCTTGCTCAGGTTTGCTCGCACGTTGATTTCTGTTTTCCTTGTTGTGCGACTGTTATTTCCCATGTTGTACACGACAGAATCGGGCTGATGGGTAGTGCCACTATTCTCGAAGATGAGAGAACAGACGGGACAAACGGGTCGGATCCCGACGATTACGGGAGGGCGGCAGTTGCATTAGTGAAAGGTCTGATCGCCAAAACACATGGCAACTCGGACTCGTGCGCATTCGCTTGCATTGCGTTGTTCAAGGTCAACCTAGCGAAAAGAGCATTGCTCATGCTAGGTTGGAAAATCCATGCTGCGTATTCGTAATTTCGGGACTACTTCTCTTCGACTCTCTTTTTGGCTAGCGGGATGGGTCGTTTAAAGGGCCTCGTTGCCGTTTTGTTCAGTTGAGGCGTTGAAGCCAAGTAGGCACGCGATTCAGTCCCTACCCGTGCGGTAATTTACATATATTGACTGGAATGGCGGATAGACACAGAGACCGTCAGGAGTACCAAGGAGAGAAGTGGCCATGGTAAGTAGCTCGTCGGCTTACGTCATATTGCCCCGTCCTTCCAAGGTACAGACAGCTACTGAAAGTGAAGTCTGTGCCTAAGTACTGTGTACTTCGTATATCCGTTTGTCAATGTGACTGGAGGGACGATGACCTGATTGGTCAGATCACGAGCTTGGCATTAAGCTTAACACTATCCGTGGGTTAGTCCGTATCTAGTCTCGGCACTCGCTCCGGAAAAGTAACAAGTTTATTGCCCAAAGTTCCCACCAAGTATGAAGAACTTCGAAACTAGCAGCCAGAAGGGCGGGGGAGAAGATATCGCCGAACGTCTCTTATCCTAGGGAGTAGGGAGAAGAAGAACGAAGGATTGGGGGGATGCATACAAAACCCTCTTAACCCACTCATCCACCACCCAATAACAACAGCCAAAGCATGCTCGCTCGCTAACTGCCACCCTCTACAGTTAACGGCAAGCGAGGCTATATGTGGGATAATTATAACGGACCGTGTGTGAGATTTTGGATCAAATGAAGGCGATAACAAAGAGAAGACGGAGAGTTCTTCATCTTGGACTCTTGGACTTGGTAATTTACCTCTCCCGTTCAATGAACGCCTCAAGTGCCTTCGTATCCTTGTTTCCCTTCGACCGGCGCTAATACGCTTCTAGAAGTTCCCGACACGTGTCTCGCCGTCTTGGCACTGCGGCCTACGCCCGCGTACGAAGCGCCACAACAACGATATCGTGGGTGAGGCAGCGGGGCAGCCGGTGAGACACAAGCAGAAGACAGCTGCATTTTGAGGGGAAAAAAGCAAAAAGAGAAAAAAAAAAGGCAGAGGTTCTTGCGGCATTTCTAGTAAAGTATATATTGGAGAATTGGTGCTCTGTACCACACGCGTTCTCTCTATTTACGGATTCAGTACATGCAATGGGAGGGTTCGACGATGCAGAGAATGCCGGTGCCATTCAGGCATTCTGTCTGGCTCCCGGCACTCGTTCAAGAGGGGAAGCCAGCGATTGGAGGGTTCGGTGGCTGGGCCTGACAAGACTCGGCTTCTGGCTTCTGGGGCGATTTGGTGGCTTGCGTCTCTTCGGCGAAATGGCAGTTCGCGCACCCCTGCTAGCGTAATAAGCCACCATTCGGCTGTTCACTTCGGCATGGGTGTACCGTCCTTTCCGCGCACCCGCTCGAGGCAGGCCCAGGGTACCCTGGGCCAATGACAGCAGCAGGGTCGAGGGCAGGTTACAGAATTCTTCCATTCAGCCTGCTCTGTAAGTTGTAGGTTAAGGTAGTTCGCGTTCGGGGACCGAGATTCGTAGGATGACCGCCTATGTAGCGCACCGAAGATGGTGATTTGATGAATTGAATGGATTACATGCGTTCCGTACCCCATGCCGGCAAACAGGCGGGAGCGACATGGGTATGTAAGCCTGCGAATCAAAGTACAGATACAACGGACAAGCTTCGACATCCCTTGGACTGCGTATCCCGTAATTATCGTTTTATTCGACACGGTCGGGTCGCCCAGGCAGGGTTCTACGTTGTACAGCATATGGGCACGACGAAAAAGTCTGAATAGAGAGAGTTAGAGATGGTGAGACAAGGGCGCGAGAAGAGGGACGGAGGAGGAGAGGGGAACCGAGTAGATTCGTGTGGAGTCAGATGGGAGACCTATCGTGGAGGTCTCGGCCCAGCGACGCGAAGGCCAGATATGATTATAGGGTGAAAAGCAAAGCCTGGGGAAAACGGAGGGGAAGGGGTTAGACTCTGATAGTCATCACTGTGGAAATGCGAGCGATGGTGGAGAAGAACACTTGGGGAGTATGGGGCACGGAGGGTACGCTGTAACACTGGAATCAGTACACTAGTATTGAAGAGGCAGAGAAGAAAAGGGGGCAGAGAACAGTGGAAGAGAGTGAGATATTTCGAACCTAGGGGATGCCGCTTTCAGGACGTCGTCCCTCCGACGAGACAAAAGACAGCAACGGCTTCAGTTGTCGACAGTGGACGGCTGGCACGGCCGACGTGGTGGACGATGCCCTCAATTCAGCCAGGGCTCTCCTCCCACGGGGAAATGGGACGAGGAGACTAGGTTTATGCGGGGTGACGGTGAGGGGGAAAACGGGGGAGCAATGGCCAAAACGGGCCCCTTGGTTCGGCAGTGGGGGAGTAAAGAGTGGAGACACGATCGAAGTGGGGGGTCCGGGGGGACCTTCGATGCCAAACTGTTAAACATCCACCAATAAAAGGGGAATGATGTCGTAGACGATCCGAAGAAGAGGAGCACCGGGCAGAGGGAAGTTTTTGTGAAAGGCACGGCGTACGGTGTACTTGGCAGGGTGTGATAAACCAGGGGCGATAGGTGAATTACTCCGTGCATTCTTTCAGTATTGGAAAGGCAAATTTGTCGGGAAAACGGGCAAAGCAGCATATGCAGTCGCTGTATTAGACGCACAGACATTTTTGAATTTACTCCTTACAGACGGACCCGGTGTCATACCTAGACTATTTTCAGGTCGGACTCGAAAGTAAGGTAATTAAATTTGTTTTAACTTGGGTCTTGCGTCGGTCCTAGATTCTGATCTAACGCATAAGGTAGGGCACTGGCTGGCGGTTTACCGTAAGATCAATGATGTATCTGGGTACCTAGCTTACCTTGCGTGCTGAGTAGCCTGACCTGACGTCGTACTCAGATGCACAGTAGCGGGTACAGTACATAGGTAGCTTCGCGGGTCAGAAGCTGGTGCTCGACACGGAGTACAACGTACTTCAGAGCAGAAACTGCAAATGCGAGGCGGGTGCTGACCCACCCCAAGTGGGTATTTAGAGGTACACAGTACCTGTATTGTAACATACAATATTCAGGAGAGGTGGATGGATGGGGAAACGGATCTCCATTAGTTTCTTGGTCCCCAATCTAAGCACGAGCTACTATGTGCCGCCGACGTCGAGTATGAATGATATCTCTATCCCATGCATCCATATGCATCCATCTATCATCCATGGAGAACTCACACACCCACACGCCAAAGTCAATGAAGTCGGATCCCTGGCCTTGGAATGAGATACTCGAAATTGTGGATTCGAGTACTTGTACAACCAAGCTACGATAGAGGCGGTGGAAGTATCGCTCGTATGTAAGCTAGGTATACGTCAGTCCGAGTAGTGTACGTGCGACGTAGATGTATCATGTACAGAAGTGCCACTTTCATGTCACGTCGACGATCTTTGCAACGGAAGTACGAAGTACGAAGGAAGACTTCTTGTTCCAGGTTTCCCAATTCCCCATTCCCCATTCCCACTTCCCACTTCCCGTACCCCTGGTCGCTCCTCCCCCATTCGCATTTCATCATCCTCACCGGGGGGTCCTAGAGTCCTAGCTTCCTTACGAGCGAGAGAAGGTGCTGTGCAGGTCACACTCAAGAGTCAGGGTTCCAGCTGCATGGTCGCGGTCTTGTCTTAGGTTGTCCTGTCTTGGACCCGGGTCGTAGTTAGTAACTGCATTGCATGTCTTTCCTCCCCTCCAGAGGTCTTCATAAACCCTTTACATCCCCCCTCCCCACCGATCCTCTTCTCTGGATTCTCTCTCCCCCTCTGTCTCGCTTCCCAGTGTCCTCACAGGTCTTTCCTCTCCATCAGTCAAGCCTATCGGACAGCTCCTCTCTTTCTCCTTTTCAACTCCATAGTCCTGAGCTCTGAGTCCCGAGTCCTCTCGTAACTCACCCTCACTCATACTGTCGTCCATCTTTTGGAGCGAGCGTCTTACCCTGCCAGTGGCTTTATATCCCTTCTCCGTCGACTCTCCTTGAGATAGAGTAACATCACAGCGCTCATTTCCATTCGACATCAACAAAGGAGATCCGAGCCTTCAACCCATCAGGCGGCGACAATGGCGTCTAATAACGAGTTGCCATACACCCAGGAGGATGGGTTTAATGGCGAGAAGGACACGAAGCCCAAGGATTCCGACAACTCGTCCGGCAACATCGAGAACCTCGAGAATGGCCCCGCCGCCGATGCTGAGGCCGTCGACCTGGCCATCGAACGCGCCATCTTGCGCAAGCTCGATTATCGCATTGTACCTATGGTCATGTGGTGCTATCTCATGAACATGATGGATCGAGGTACGTCTCATCATTCGAGATGGCTTGTAGAGACTCGCTGACATTTACTTTCTAGTGAACATTGGTAACGCCCGGCTCTTCGACATGGAAGAGGACCTGGGCATGCAACAGGATGGCATGTTCCAGCTTGCCGTTTCTGTTCTCTTCATCACCTACTGCGTACGTCTCAACTGTCCAAAAATATTACCCCAAGAAAATGAGAAAGTAGAAGAGGAGAAGGTGAAGGGGGAAGGAAAAAAAAGAGAGGAAAACAAAACAAATGTCCTTGCAGTGCGCGACAGGGAGTGGATGATGCTAACTGAAGTCTAACAGCTCTTCGAAGCGCCCTCCAACATGATCATCAAGCGCCTTCAGCCTGCGCGCTATCTCGCCGGCCTGACCATCTGTTGGGGCTTAATCGCCACCTTCAGTGCCTTCGTTAACAACTTTGCCGCTCTTATCGCTTGCCGTCTGCTCCTCGGCCTTTTTGAGGCCGGCTTCTTCCCCGGTGTCGTCCTGTACCTGTCGATGTTCTACGGCCGCCGCAGTCTGGCCCTTCGCATCGCCTACTTCTACTCGACGGCCGCCCTTTCTGGCGTCGCCGGTGGTCTAGTCGCATACGGCATCAGCTTCATGCACGGCTACGCTGGCTGGTCCGCCTGGCGGTGGATTATCCTCATCAACGGTATCCCCACCGTCGTCACCGGCTGCATCATCCCGTTCGTGCTCCCCAACAGCCCGGAGACGGCCAAGTTCCTCACCGACGAAGATCGGGCCAACCTACAGCGCATCCACGAGGCCCAGGTCGGCAGGGCTAGGAACCTCAAGCATCTCGTCAAGGAAGACGTCTGGGACGCGGTCAAGGACTGGACCACCTGGGCCTACTGCTTCGCTCTGTTCCCCCAGCTGGCCATGCTGTACTCCTTTGTCGTTTTCCTGCCCACCATCATCCGCCAGATGGGCACCTGGAACAACGCCGAGACGCAGGCCATGACGGTGCCCGTTTATGCGGTTGGCGCCATCGTCTACATTACCTGCGCTCGTCTCTCGGATGTTACCCAGAGGAGAGGCTACTTCGTCATGGGTGGTCTCGTCTCGGCTCTCGTCGGCTACGGCATGCTCATTTCCAACCAAGGCCCCGCCGTCTCCTACGCCGGTACCTTCTTCGTGTCCATTGGTATCTTCACCACCGCCGGCATCTCCTTCGCCTGGGTACCCACCAACAACCCCCGTTACGGCAAGCGGGCGTTCTCTACCGGCATGCACCTCAGTATCGGCAACTCGTCCGGCGTGGCGTCTCCCTTCCTGTTCAGCAACGAACACGCCCCTGCGTTCACGCCTGGCTATGCGGGCAGCATGGGCATGCTGGGTGTCTCCCTCATCCTCAACGTCATCCTGCACCTCCACTTCAAGAGGCAAAACAAGCTGCGCGACGAGGGTAAGCAGGATTACCTGATGGAGGGCAAGACAGACATCGAGATTGAGGCTATGGGAGAGAAGAGCCCGAGATTCCGATTCGCTATCTAAGGGAAAGGCGACTATTTCTGCCTTTGCGAGCTTGCGTATCATGCCACACTAGAACGTAGGGCTCGGTTATGGGTCACATGTTGCGAGAGATGTTGAGCAAAGTCTCACTGATTTGAGATTGGATCATATGGCGGGAGGGCATACATGCTGTATCTATGTCACGTTAGATATTTAGAGCTTAAAGGCAGAGTGGATTCATGAGTGGATTGAATTAAGTGCTGTTTAGACGACATTTCTGCATGGCTGACACGAAGATGTTTGAACTCGGCGTGAAATGGCCGTTTAGGGGTAGTATCATTACCGAGGAGCGATCTCCCGGTCTTGAATGGTTCCTAGCCAGAGATGGGATAAACATTTTACACACTCGGTGGTAGTAGGTAGGTTGCTATTATACATTATACAGTATACTGAGTGCCATCGCCATCACTTGATCAGGCGGGTTTGTGTGTAAGAAGCTCGATCAGAGGTATCAGAGGCCAGGGGTTTGACAAGTCCTTGTTTTGAGAAGAAGTCCAAGGGACGCGAGGACTGAGAGACATCGGATGTGTGAGGCTACGGGTACAAGGGGGAGAGTACAGATACTTCGTACTTATGTCTTCGGTCTAATTGGGGTATCTATAGTATCCAGAAAAGCAGCACAACAAAACCAACCAGTTCCAACTTGCATGTCTTCAAAGAAACACAACAACAGCTGCCAACAACCCCCCGAGCGCCAGCGCCGACGCGACCAATCCGCCATTTCGTACTGTTTCGGCTCCAGAGCACGGGTCATTACGGTCATTACCCCGGTTGTTCCCATTCCCATTCCCATTCCCATTCCCATTCCTTCCTCCCCCTCCGGCTCCGGACCCTCCGGACGTGCGCCGGCAGTTGCGGTTATTATTCCCACTATTGCCTATCGGGTTCCTCGAGCCCCCTCCCCCTCCGCGGAGCTTCTCTTGTCCCGCCACGATGGTGACGGCCGTGAACCACGCGCTCGACTCGGCGCCGCCAAACACGGTAGGCGATGCTGTCGATTCGCCGTTTTGGGTGATGCTGCAGGTGGCCAATTCGCCGCGGTCGCAATCGAACGTGTCCGACCTGTGAGAGATGGCGTCGCAGCAGAGGTCAGCATACGTTGTTCCTCTTGGAAGAGAAGGGGTAGGTAGAAAGGGCAAAGCCATTCGCGACTCGCGCCTTCTCACTCACCGGAATCGGATGCGCATCGTCCCGTCGGCGTGCGTCAGCGTCACACCCGCAAAGTCGCCGCAGCTGGATGGATAGGGCGACGCGAACGACGAGATGCAGGCGAGCAGGTACTCGGTCGACTCGGGTGCCGCCGTGACGACGGATGCGTAGATGTCGCGGTTCCCTGCCGACGTCGCGCGGGATGGGAGCCAGAGGCTCGTTCTTGTGGTTTGGGTCCTGTCGCCCTGGGCCCAGGCGCCTTGGCTGAGTGCTGCCAGCAAAGCTGCTGCGATGAGAAGACGGATCGACATGTCGTAAAAAAAAAATTGTCCGTTGTGTTCTTCTCGACGTCGTTGGTTTTCCCTCTTGTTCCTTTTGGCTCGTGTGGTCAGGGTCCTCAGGGATAGTGTCGCAGACTCGCAGTTCCACGGGATCCTGAAATGTCGAGCGAGACTCACGTTCCCGACTCGGGGGAAAAAAAAAAGGGGGGGCACTGGGGGGGGAAAGGAAAGAAAAGAGCGGCCTCTTTGGTCTTTGGCAACCGCTTGCTGTAGGTACGACGCCTGGCGGCCTCTCGAATCGCAAGTTGCTATGCCCCGCATGCATGCATCGACTCCAAATGGATGACCTGGATTTGTCCTTCGTTATATTGTCGACCGAACCGAATCTTCTCTGTGCCACAAAGCTGCAGGATACAGATAGAGGACCAGTTAACCGGGGGGCAAGGGGTTTTTTTTCTTACTCTTTTCTTCTTATTTTTTCTTTTCTCTTTTCTTTTTTTATCCGCCCGAGCATAGACGGGAGCTTGCTGTAATTATAGGTCTCCACCCTTTCTTGGCACTTTGGTGTCCCGGAATCCTCTCCGTCCCTTGTCGGTACACAGCCACGCTAAATCCCACATGTTGTAATTACATGGAATGACGGGCAGCCAAGAAATGACAACGATACCGATAGCAAGGCGAGTGGTGTCTCATTCGGGGTGACTGACCGCAAATGTACGAGCATGAGTTTAGTCTTCGACCACATGCACATGCACGCTACTTGGCTCGGTCCCGTCCGTATCGGAGTTACGGAGTACACGGAGAACGGAGAGTACCGGTCTGCGGCCCGTTCCAGTTCCACTCTCCCAGGCTCCAACACCGGGCCGAGTGGGCGCCCGGGTAAGTGGGCCCGCTCCGAAGTACCACGTTCTCCGCCCCTCTGCCAACACAAATGTCGGAAATCCTCAACTGGTTCTCACATCATATCAACTTAAACACTTGGCTCTCCCATTCCTGCAGCCAGTCCAACTTTGCGTCATGAAGAACCACATACCCGACTCGTCTGTACAGTCCGTCGCCACCAGGATCTCGGACAACAACCAAGCATTCGACGAAGGTATGCGACTCCCCGCCCGGGTCGTCGCCCGCGTTCGTGCCAACCAAGACAGCCATGCACTCCTCCTCCGTCCAAGCACTCGCGTCTATTTCGAAGCCATCGGACGACGACGACGGATCATCAACATCCTCCCGCGCAGACGCCGTGCAGATGCTCAAGAGGAAATCCGTCCCCTCTTCGGCGGCGACGACGCTGTAGACATTGGTAATCCAGTCAACAGCCGGACTACTACTGCCGGCGGGTACGATGTGCTCGTCCGGGTGGAACGCCCCCAGCAACGGAAGCCGGCTGCCCGCGCCCCAGGGGACGACCTGCCTGCTGCGGACGAGCGGCTTCGCAGACGCCTCGATGACGATGTGGGCCGCCTCGACCTCGCCGTACGGATTGCGCCCGTTCCGAGGCGTCACGGCGTATTCCAGGAGCCGCATGTCCAGCGGGTTCGGCGGGCACCGGGCGCCCCGGAAGCAGACCGGCTGGTCCGTCACCGCCCAGGACCAGGACGGCGCCCGGTACGGTTCGACGTGCGGGCAGCCGTTCGTCTCGGCGTACCACAGGAGGCCGCTTTTGCTGTCGGCGCTCCAGATGCCGGCGAGGTAGTCGCCCCCTAGCTTGGGGTGGAGCCGCTGCGCCAGGCCGGAGAAGGCGGGGAGCTTGTCCGAGGGGAAGGTCAGTCGCCTGTGGCTGTACCCCTGCACCAAGTCGTAGTAGTCTGCCAGCACTGCGTTGGTGTCTTCGGCCTCCTTCTTCACGGGAGGGTTCCGGAGAACGTCCGAGTACAGCACGGTGGATATGTCGGCGTAGGATTCGGTCGGAAACACGTTCCCGTGAGGAAGACCGTCGGCCGACTGGAATCCACGTGGACATCGCCAATATATCTGGCGCGTGCCGTAGAAAAGGTGTCTCGGGGACAGCATGGATTCTTGAAGCGTCCAACCCCTGGAACTCAGCGGACTCGACATTTCCAAAAGGCGTAGGTCTTCCTCTTCGGCTTCTTTCATCTCCACTGTGACTTTGACAGTCTCGTGGCTCCCGTCGTCGTCGTCGTCCTCCTCCTCCTCCGGGTAGACCCTCAGGCGCACAGGTCGTGGCATGGGTGCCGAAGTCTTGGTGCTGTCCGGCACGGGGTTCAGAATACCCGTGCTGCTTCCCCTAGACGCCATTGCCGATATGGTCACCGTGGCATCCCTGTACGTACTGGCCATTTTCTTGGACTCCTCCTCCCAGTCCTCCTTCGAGTCCTGGAGGATGCACAGCGAGTCGATCCACAGATACCGTATCCCGAGCCGCCGGGTAATGGCAATGGCGTCGTGGAAATTAGCCGGCAACTCGTCCACCGGCAGCCCCCGCTGGAAGTCCGACTGCGTCTCCGTCGTCAGCAGCGTGGCGATCCTGCCGCCCCAGCAGTGGCTGAGCGCCACGTACTCCGCCTTCTTGCCGCCGGAGAGCAGAAGGCGAGGACGCTCTGGGGGAGATGATGATGACCCTAACCCAACGTCGATCACGCGGGTAGGAAGCGCGCGCACGTCGTTGACGAGGCAGTCCGGGTGGTTGTCCCGACAGTCGGCGAGCCACCGGTTCGCAATCTCAAAGTTGGATGCGGAGCCGAGGTCTGGGTCGAGCTGGAAGCGGCCGATGCGGAACTTGTCCACGAAGACCGCAGGATCTGGGTCAGGCGAGGAAGGGAAAGAAAGGTAAGCACAAGCTGACTCGACTAGGGTGGGTTGGTATTACTTGGCAAACGACAAAGAACATACCTCGAGGAACGCTGAACGACAATGTCAGCGTCGGGAACCCAACCTCCCGTCCCGTCTCCTCGTCTCTCGGGGTCTCCTCCCTCGGGCCGACTTGGACCAGAAGCAAGTCAAATACCTCGACCGCCTCCAGAGACGTCCAGGAGAAGACATGATTCGCGTTGATGGAAATCTTGACATCCGAGTTCTTGAGCCTCTTGGCGGCCGCGTACATCGACGTCTCCATGTTACAACTGGGTCCTTGTCCTTCCCAGCGTTCGGGCCATCTGATAGTATTATGTATGTTCGGGGAGCCCTTGAAGCAATCTATGATGAGTTGACAAAAGTCGCATCCATCGTTGGCTGATCGTTCGAGAGCATCGAAGGAGTCATGGTGGCGGTAGAACCCCTCCTCTGGGAATACGTGGCCGTTGAAATCGCGCTCCGTGAGGTGAACCAGGTGGCTGATGGTGAGCTCGGAGCAGGGCTGGCATCGGGATGCCATGATTAGAAGACGCACTGGGCGCCGGGCGGGTCAGACCAGAAGTTAAATAAAAGGTGAGTGCGTGGATCAATCATCAATCGTCAGACCACCAGAAGAGGCATTTTCAAGACACCCGGGGCCCGATTTGCTACACGATTATGCGACATGCGCTGTAACGGCTTTCCCCGAGCTAGCTAATCACGGACATGTCCATCACACATGGCGCATATATTAGAAGCCCCTTTGTCTTGGTACCTACCACCTGGCGAGAACCGGCATTTTGTTTGTTTTCTGACTTTTGTCTCCTCATCCCCAGTGTAAGTTTTTAATAAACTGCTTCCTCCACGGCCTAATTCTGTCCAATACCTCAGTCACGTCGGATTATCTATACTCGTAGGGCCCCTTGGCGTAAATTCAACGGTTCAGTCTTTCAGAGACTCTTCCAGAGACTAAGAGGAAACATAGCGACCTCTAAAACCCACGACTCCGCGCCCACGTCCGCATCTTCTCCGTCACGACCCTGGGCTCCGGGGCCGCCTGCTCCAACAGAATATCATCATGAATCGCATTATCCCCCACATCCAACCGCACCTCCACCCCAGGGTTCCGCCTCGACACCTCCCCCGCAAAAGCCACGATATCGTCGTGGAACACCTCGTGCCGCCCGGCCGTGACGTACACCGCCTGGACGACGTTCTCCCATCTGCCGAGCCACTCCAGGTCTCCGTCCAGGGGCGACACGAAGGCCAAATCAACGGCGTGCTCGTCCTCGCTGGTCCCCGGGTCCCTTTGGACAAAAACATCAGACAGGGCCTTCACGACGGGACCGGAGAGCATGTCGACGCGGTGGTTGTCGCGGTACGACCCCGCAGAGACCCGCTGCGTGACGAGCGGCGAGACGAGAAACGCACCCGCCAGGCGACGACCGCTGTTGTTGCCGCCCAGGAGATCCCCGAGCGGCGGGATGCGCGGGTGCGGGTCCACCGCATGGCGCAGCGCCTGCGCAGTGAGGTTCCCGCCCGCAGAGTCCCCTCCGATCAGTAGGTTCTCGGGCGCGATCCCGCCTTCTCGCAACAAGAAGCGCAGCGCCTCGACCGTCTCGCGGAGCTGTTCGGGCTGTCGCGCCGCCGGAGCAAGGGTGTATTGTAGCACGGCGATGGCGACGTCGGCTTTGGCTTCCCCATCGCGACCGTCGATAAAGGCTGTCCATGTCCACCCCAACATGCTGTCGCTCATGGGCATGACGAAGCCCCCGCCGTGGATGAAGAGGGCAAACTTGGTCGCCGTGCGGCGATTGCCTAGCCATAGGAGACGAGCGCCGGTGCCGGGAACCGGTTCGATGTCTTCGCGTAGACGAAGATCATCCGGGCCGCGCGGGGAAGTGCGCCGCTTGCTGGCGATCCAGGACCTGTACACTTGATCGTCCGACGGGAGAATGGTCTGGATATGCCGGCCAGGCAAGGCTTCGAAAATGGTGCGGGCGACGCATCCCACGAGGGCTGCCCGGAGGACTACACCGCGGAGGAGAGCCACGGGCAGATTAAGGACCACGTTTTTGGTGAGATACAATGGGGCTGTAGCGTGTTATGACGGTGAGTGGGACTGAGAGCCTGACGGTCACGGCCTTGAACAATGATGGAGCATGTGCGTACCAATAGTGAGGACTCGCAAGATCAAATTGGCCTTTTCGGCCACGGAAAGCGGCGGATCAACCATGATCAAATGATTGTTCGAATGTTGGTCGCGAATCGTAAGGTTGTTTGTGGGTGAATACAGGTACCTAAGGTAGGCGGCCTCCCATAAGGAATGTTCTGTTGTGGCGCGGTGACTTTGACCGACTTGGTCTTGACTGGTGAGGTTTCAGGTATCCAACCGAGGCACGACAGAGCGAACTGCATGTGGTTAGTCTTGGCCCTGTGCGCCTCTGATGCCCAGTTGCCAACCCCTTGGCACGGGTCCTCGCTGGGACGTGACCGCGAACTCAGCTCGTCTTCACAACCCTTCTTCACAACCCACGCCAAACGACACTTCCCACAGCCATCACCATGTCGAGATCAGGAGCGATCCTTAAAGAGTCCGTTACATCACTGCTATGATCCAGGCATATCTAGTCTAGTCCATTCTTTCTCAGTAGCTATTACTCACTTGCTCTCACTTGCTCTCCATTTCCCGCTCGGACGAGTCAACATTCCTGACGGTCCTGACCCGTTTTGCTCGATTAACCCGTCACCTTCTTCCTTTTGCCGTCCCTTTTGCCGTCCCCTCGCATCTCACACAAAATCCCCTGGCCTGGCCTGACTTTGGCTGCGAGGCCTTCCACCGAACATGGGACGGCGGTGAGATGCCGAGTCGGTACTTGGGCGATGGGCCGACGCTCCGGTGGCAGCGGCTCGGCTATCCGTTTGCCTGAGACTACTAGACTCTCCGCTGGTACGACCGATGTGCCCCATCCTTGTGTGTTCCCGAATGCTTTGCAGGCGAGATAGTTGCGGCGTGCGATCCGGCTTGCGGCTTTCGAAGACGTCCTGGAAGTCGGAGATGTTCGCGTCGATGACGGGAATTTGGCGCGCCGCTGGCTCGTTGTTGTTGGGTGGTCTCGAGCCGGGTGGGATGCCGGTGCTACCCGAGCGCAGAGGCGCCGTCGCCGGCGCGGCAGGGGCAGGGACCGGGGCCGGGGCCGGGGCCGGGGCGGGGGCGGGGTAGTTGCCGTCCGTTCGACCAGAGGCGTCGTAAGACGGAGGCGGCATCGCGGAAGCCCAGTGGACAGGGTAATCCCGCGAGCCACCGGGTTGGACCTGCCACGGTCCCTGCATGCCGAGAGCGCGAATCTCGGCCATGAGCTGAGCGACGAACTTGTTGTGCCTGGTCAAGCGCAGGAGCTCGTTTTGGTAATTCGACTTGTGGAAGAAGATGAAGTTCATGGTGAAGGACTGGACGTTGTTGAGGGTGCGGACTTCGGTGAGGACGCGGTGCTGGTAGTCGCGCTTGTTGGCGAGACAGTACTGGAGCATGCGGTCCTTGAGCATCTCGATGCTCTCGGGAGGGGTGGCGAAGCCGAGGTTCAGCTCGACGACGTCGGCCAGCCCGGCCGAGCGGCGCTGGTTGAGGATGAAGAGGTTGTTGAGGACCGAGTTCGGGGCCTGGACGATGTGGCCCTCCATCTTCTTGAACTCGGTATAGAGGAGAGAGATCTCGGTGACGTAGTAGTCGTCCCCCTGGAGCCCGACACCAGTGCTACCGTAGATGGTGACACGATCGCCGACGTCGAAGGGGTGCTTGACGAAGACGAAGATGATGGACTGCAGGAACTCCTGGGCGGTGGCCTGCAACACCCAGGCGAGACCGAGAACGGCGGAACCGGCGGAGGCGAGGCCGGCGGCGGCCGAGCCGGAGAGGATGGCGATGAAGACGATGATGGCGACGATAAAAATGATAAAAAGAAAGACCTTATCGAGCTTCTTGATGACCGAGTCGAGGTCCTTGAGCGAGGCGGCGATGGCCTTGCGCTCGAGATGGATTTCGTTGACGACAATCTCCATCTCCTCCATGCTGATGTCGCCGTTGTAGTCCTTGTCGAAAATGCTAAAGGCATGTTCGGCCTCTTCGACGGTGGCGAAGGCGGCTGCCAAGTCGTCCGGGTAGATGGTGTCGTGGTCGGCGTTCGCGAGGGAGCGGAAGATGAGGCGAGCGAGGGTGTGAGACGAGGAGGTGGTGCGGAGAAGTTCGGTGACGATGTTCTTGTCGTGGTTAAAGGTGGTCTTGCGGCCGATGAAGTCGTTGCCGACGCGGTTCGCGACGAGGCCGGCCTTGTTGAAGACCTGACGGACGGCTTGGAGGGCAGCCCTGGGGGTGCGGGTTTGGGCGGGGTCGATGGCGTTGTCGGTGGTGTCCCAGATGGGATCTTCGTGGGCGATGCGTTCCCTGGCGTAGGCGTAGAGGTGAACAAGGTGGTTGATGTTACTCTTGTTCATCTCAATGCGCTGGGCGTAGGTGCGCTGGTGGAAGGTGGTGGCAATCCGCTGGATGCCGATCTTCTCGGCGAAGTTTAGGGTGGCCAGGACGAACAGGGCAATGATGACCTTATTAACGATGTCCATCCACTGCACGAAGATGTCCGGGTCCCTACGGCCAATGTTGTTGATGGGTTGAAACGTGACGAGCACGATGAGCAACCAGATGAAGAGGCCGGTATGCAACTCGAGGTTCCGACCGACGTCTTTCCACTTCTTATGATTCGTGGAACCGAACAAAGTTGCAAAGGCGCCAAACGCGGAGGGCATCAAGCTCGTGAGCATGCGAGAACCCCAGAGGGTGCACCAGACGACCATCAGCCAGATGCCGAACCACATGAGGGCCACACCATCCCTGCCACCAACCAGCGGGGCATTATCGAAGTAGTGGCCCATGAGGATAGGGATGAGAAAGAGAGCGGCGCCGGGCAAGAGGTAGAGGAAGTAGCGGAAACTCCGGGGGAGCTTCTTTAACCAACGGCGGAAGAAGTATCCGACGAGGCCGGCCTTCTTTTCAGGACGCGGGCGTTCCTCTTCCTCGTCTGTCGGAACAACGGCCCCGGTGGCGAAGATGTCCTCCAGGTCATTTTGCTCGTGTCTCTTACTCCGCGAGTGGGACAGCTCATTCTCCGAGACGATCTGCTCAGCACGCAACAATTCGAGGTCGTCGTTCAAGCGGTGGGTCTCGATACGGGAGCTGCCAGGAGACCTGAGGGCATCCTCCGCGGGAGGCATGAGGTAATTGCTATCCGGGATAGTGACATTGTCAGTGTTGGTGTTGCGTCGGGGGCGCTTCTCGTTACTCGAATCCTGGAGGTCATTGGCAGCGGGGGGCTGAGTAGCGTCTTGGAGAGTATCAGCGGTATGGGAGGAGCGCTTCTCGTCGAGAAGCCCGTCGGGCGACCCAGACCCAGGGTTATTGGCATCGTTGGACGCAACCACCATCGTTCTCTGCCACGGCGTGTTGAAGTAAGGAGGTGAAAAGGCCCACCGTTCGGGAGAAGTTCGAAAGGGGGGGAAGAGGGCTGGAGATTCTAGGGTTAGGCCGAAGGAGGATGCATCGAGGTGATGTGGAGGATTCAAGAGTCAACTGTCGAATCCAGAGGAGAAGACCCAAGCAACTTCATGCGGTATCGATGAGCAGAGTAAGTGACGTTTTGACGGGTACTAAGCAAAACAAGTAAATGATACAGACTCCAACACCGAGTAGAGTAGTTGAAAAGGAGGTCGACGATGAGCAGAAAGGGGGCAAGTGACGTGGAAAGTCAGAAGTCGGACTTGGAAGTTGTGGCCGCTCGCAATAGTATGTTGAAGCGATTATTTTGGCGTCGATGCTGGCGGCGATATGCGAGCTTCCCAGAATATGGATGCTACTGGGGAGTCCTAGGGAGGGAAGACAGGAGGGAAGACAGGACGAAAGGGAGAAGGACAAGAGAAAACCATCGAGTTGGTAGAATTAAGGGTAGCGACAGATCTTCGAGAAAGGGGGGAAGGAGGAGGGGGAAAAAAGAAGAAAAAAGGAGAAGAAAAAAAGACACTCGGAAATGTGGAAAGATCCAAGGACACAGTCCCACTGCAATGCATCAGACCCTTGTGGATAAGGGTGGACCATGGGCTTTGGAAGGAGAAAATTGGAACGAGAACATTGGAAGGACCATCACTTATCGAAGGTCCTTTCCCATTTCGAGTCGCGACTTCCCAGAGAGCGGGACATAGGGGTAGCTAAATCCTACATGGCCAAGGAAGCAACGACCAACCCAACTGCCCAGTCTGCAGATAGGTAGTCGGACGACAGAATGTGCATACGAATACAATGTATTTCATGTTACGGGCCAAGAAATATAGGTAGGCTTGGTACCTTGGGTACGGAGCATCTACCTGCCTGAGAGAAGGGCATTCAAACGCTCGTCTTCATCTCGTTGTACGTGTACTGGTGCCAACGGCGACTTGCTCCGTAACACTGTACAGTATCTCCCGTCTTGCGACCGTCAGAACTGTTTCACAGGGGAAACACGGTCCCAAGACCGATGCGACGTCCAAGGCATCGGACAAAAAAAAAAGGGGTCCCGCCATCTGATACCGGTACACTAGTTGACCATTCATCAAGATGATTCGAGGTCCAATTGTACACAGCCAAGATCCCATCCATCCGATCATCGTTTTACCGGTACGTGTAAAACCCCGTCAAGGTCTTGCCGCGCACCCCTGACGTCATCAGGAACCTGCCCCGGTTAAACGTTCTCCACTGCCGCCCCTCCCACAGACATAAGTGACGTTAAATAAGTGGAGGAATGTCGTGGCTTTTCCTATCCTCACGCTCCAACCACCAACCAACCACCAAGCATCCACCTTGTCAATCTGCCGGCGACCGGATGCCAAGAAGGTCCCAAGACCCCTGAAAAACGTCGACACCGTCCCAATCCATTGTGAACTACTGTTTTCACTGCCGTCCACGGCCCGGCATAAGGACAGTCTGCTCTCCGGATGCCGGACTGTGGTCGTCTTTTCTCCCATTCATGCCCACAATTCATCTCATTTCCTTGCTTACGTTGTAACATTGGTCCACAGAATGCACGATAAGGTCCTTTGTCGAACGGTCGAGATCAAGGTGACCCATTATCTATGCTCTCTTCGACGAGGTTGCAGTTCGACTGACCACTAATTCCAGTTGGAGAAGCAGGGGAAAGAAAACAAACGAAAAGGGACAGAGAAGGAGGAAAAAAAAAAAAAAAAGAGTTCGACCCCCAACCTCAAACGGAACCTCGTCAATTCAGTGACAGTCATACCGGCTCGGGCCGATGCTCGATCGAGAAACCGATGGACGTTCCAGACCGGTTGCCCTCGAATCCCTCGTCTCCGGGTTGTGCGACACACTTGCTTCGGATCTTGACCTTGATTTCTTTGTCTAGTGCCTTGTCTACTCGCCCGAAGCATACCTAATCTTCGTTTCTGTCGGATGGACTGTCTTCCTTCTATGCAGCTGTCCATGCTATCTGTAGTACCTCACCATATGCTCTCGTTCCCAACGCCTTACAACCTCCGCGCGAAAGACCGCACCCAACACACACATATCCGTAGCGAAGCATAACGACAACCCCCGAGGTATCCCCGCTTAAATCGTCGGACACCAGCTTGCCGACAATTTTGGAAACGGGGCCTCACTTTACGCAAGCTTCACAGTCCAGTCCTCCCCAATGCGCGCCCCGACACGGCCAATCACCGCAAACGCCGCCCGTCCCTGCTCCGCAGCATAGTACTTGACAGGCGCCGTCCAAGTCTCCGCCCCAGACTGCACCGTCACCTCCGCCTTGTTCTTCCACGCCGCCGCAGGAGCACCGACCACGATGACCTTGTCGACGTGCACCGCATCCATCGCCTTCAGCCAGGCGCCCGGCTGGATGGCCTTCGTATCCCGGCCCTGGGCGTCCACGGAGGTGATGCTGCCGCCGTTGGCCGTGTCGAGCCGGAACGCGCGGTGGATGAACTGCCCGCCCTCGTAGTCGTACGAGTCGCCGTCGTCGACGTAGAGCTCGCCCTCGGCCGTGCCGGCCTTGTTGACCGCCACCACGAGCGTGTAGTCGTCGAACCGCATCAGCTGCGCCGACCGGCGGGGCGTGTCGCGGCGCGGCACGATGTGCCCGCCGCGCATGAGCAGTCCCGTCCTGTCCAGCGGCGCCGCCACGGTGACGCGCTTGCCCTTCGCCGTGGGGAGCAGCCGGTACGTGAAGTAGTCGTAGTAGACCTCGTCGTCGGGGATGAACATGTCCACCGACTCCGTGTCCTTCTCGACGACCGGCTTGTGGAGGAGGCCCGTCGAGCCCAGGAACAGCTGGTCGTCGACGGCGAAGCCGGCTTCTTCCGACGGGTGCGTCCAGAACATGGGCCGCACGATCGGGCTGCCGTCCCGGTGCGCGTGGAAGAAGGCCGTGTACCACGCCGGGAGCAGGCTGTAGCGCAGGCGCACCGCCGCCGTGACGATGCCGCGGTACGGCTCGCTCAGCAGGTACGGCTCGCGCCGGCGCGCGTCGATGTGGGCGTGGGCGCGGAAGAAGGGGAAGAAGGCGCCCGCCTGGTACCAGCGCGTGAGCAGCTCCGCCTCCGGGTTTCCGAAGAAGCCGCCGACGTCGGAGCCTCCAAAGGGGAAGCCGGCGATGCCCTGGTTGAGAATCATGGGCAGGGAGGCCGCCAGATGGCCCCAGTCGGCCTGGTTGTCGCCCGTCCACATGGCGCCAAACCGCTGCGAGCCGGCGTAGAAGGAACGAGTCAGGACAAACGGCCGCCGGAGCTCGTTCGCTTTACGGCTGAGAAGCGCCTGGAAGGTTGCGTTGTGGAAGGTCATGCCGTTGACGTTGTGCACGTCGCGATGCTCCCAGCCGCCGAAATGGAGATTGTCCTTGGGCATCGTCACCTCGGGCCCGTTAAACACGGACGGTTCGTTCATGTCGTTCCAGATGAACGTGTTCTCGAGGGTACCCTGGAACTTGTCATACTTGAACAACGTCGCCCACCATTCAATGGCCTTGGGGTTGAAGCAGTCGACCCAGTGGGACGAACCGGGCCAGCACCAGCCGTCGTACATGTTGTCGTCCTTGTTACGGACGGCGAGTTCGTTCGCCTTGAGTTCCGTGAAGACGCTGTAGCCCTCCTTATTCTTGATGTGAGGGTCGATGAGGACGACCAGCTGGCGTTTGCTCTCCTGTAGCTTCTCGCCCATGGCGATGGGGTCCTTGAACATGTGCGCGTCCCAGGTGAAAAACTTGCGGTCGTCGGTGTACTCGAGATCCAGCCAGATAACGTCGTAAGGGATCTGGTAACGGTCCATCCGGCGATCGACGTCTTTCACGTCGTCGTCGGAGATGTAATTCCAGCGGCACTGGTGGTAACCAATGGCGAACTCCTGGGGCATGGTCGTCGTGCCCGTGAGTTGGCTGTAGTCCTTGGTGATCTCGTGAGGCGTCGGCCCGAGGAAGACGAAGACGTCGAGGAGACCACTCTCGGACATCCAGTGGGTGTTGGTCGTCGTCTTGGAACCGATGGCCAACGGGTTGGAACTAGCCTTGGCTTTCGTGATGTCTACCCACGTCTCGGCGGCGTTCAGCCAGAAGACGCCGACGGAGGAATTCTTCTTGTGCGCCTGCATGAAAGGGATAGACCCGTACAGTGTCATGGGACTGTCGAGGACGTACTCGAAGACGTCCGCATTGTACAGGCGGTAGGGATCCGTATACTGGCCTTCCCCACCACGCGTTTCCTTCAGGGACAGCGAGCTGGCGTGCTCGGGAATGCCGTACACATGTTCGTAGCCGACGAAGGAGATGTCCAGGGCCACGCTCTCGGGACCCCGCGGCTTGGTGTCCGTGTTGCCACCAAAGAACTCGTCCCACCACGACGTTTCGTCCTCGCGCGTCTCTACAGGCGGCGGTTCGGCGTCGAGGGGCTGCTGCTGGTCATCGCCGTCCGGAGGGGGGTGCACGGGGGCCGCCGGTTCGACTTTCGGTCGCCAGTGCTCCACATTGAGCAAGCCACGGTCGTTCAGCTTGACATGGGTGGCGCCGTCTCGCTTGAATTCGATCCCAAAGGGCGACAGCTTGATCACCGCCTCGAAGGAAGACGAAGGGCCGTACTTGACGGTGATGTGGGACTTGTCCTGGTGGGCGAGCCGGGCGTTGCTGTCGAGCGTCAGGCCGCCGACAATGGCCAGCTTTTCGACTTCGTTGTAGCGCTCTTTTCTTGCCCGGCTGTTGTGGCGGAGCTCGATGTCCTTCTTCTGCCGTCTTTCTTCGTCGACTGTAACGCGCGCCGTGCCAGATTCGAGGAAGGAGACGGTGATGGGAAGGCGGACGGTCTCCTCCTGGTCGTTGATGGTCTTCAGTATGACGGCTTCAAGCTGCCCATCGCGGAAGGAGGCGGATTCTGGGATTATTTCGTAGGGGGAGATGAACGAGGAGCCTTGAGAGATGGCATTATCGGCGTACTTTCTGTTGCGATTGCAGAAGCCGGAGTGATCGCACTTTTTGAAGTCGGATTCCTTGACGGCGGCTGCAGGGGGGGTCATTAGCTCGGAACATGATACAATTAGAATACAGCGAAATCATACATACCCGCTGGTTGGAGAAGGCAGCCGAGGGACACGAGACCCAAGAGAGCTGTCCGTTTCCAGGACGGCTGACCTGACCTCGACGCCATGAGGTTCGAGGGTAGAAAGACGGAGACGAGATGAAGAAGCAGAGACAACGATGAGAGAGGGGAGATTTCTAAATAGATGTATGCATTGGGAAATTGAAGACGTCCTGTGAAGAGCCCGCTCTTGTGGTGTTCGTTCCGGTGGTGGTTTGAAGGTTGTCGTCTGGATTTGAGACAGTTGACAGTTTCCCAGTGATCGGAACCGAAGCTGGTACCTGGCTGAGACTACCTTAGGTAATTACTTCGTACCTTAGCTCTCCTGGAAGCTATTCCCGATCCAGCTAAGCGTTATAGGAGCATGAGATCGCTTACAGCAGTAAATGCTTTACATGCATTAAGGTTGGCTTAGTACGGCCCATGCGAGTCTCCGACTTCCGAACAGATTTTCGCATAGAAACGTTGTTAAAATTGAAGCTTGATCTGTTCTGTTGACCATACAAACATTTCCTTGTTTTGTTTTCGAAGCAAACCCAAAAGCCTAAGTCGTAAGGCTGGGGGCTGATACTGCACTGGATCCGGGCCCGGTAAATATTTAGTTAGTGCATTACTAAATATACCTTGATATCGGGGTCAGACACGGGCCAAGTGGCCTTTGAAGAAACAACCAAGAATCATGTTTGAATTCGTCTTTGAGGTTCAGCATAACCGAAGTGTAAAGAGAAGAAAAGAAACCTGGTATTTTCACATCAAAGAAACCAATACTACATTCGATTTACTCTCACCTCCCTCACCTGTTCAATCAATACCCTAATTAGCCGCCTAGGTGTCGTCTCCATGTCATACACGAGTTCCACCAATTCCGAGTCCAAGTCCAAGTGACAACGACAGTGACCACAGTACAAACATTACTTAATCATACGGACACTGTACGAGCCTTCAAAGGCCAGCTGCTACGTCGAACCAATCACAATGCCAGAGCCCCGCCATCGGGAGGCTTTGGGCCCCGCCCCCTCCACGGCCAAAAATTGGTTTGGGCACATTCTCTTCTCGCTCTCCGTCGCCCTTCTCCTCTTTATCGTCGTTTTTCCATACCAAGATCCGCAGCCTGAATCAACTGCCATCCCTACCGTTGCCGATATACAGAATACAGCTGTTCCTGTACCTACCACCGAAGCAAAAATGACCACCGAGCGGACGTAAGTGATGTACTCTTGTGTAGATTTTTTTTTTCTACCCCCACGAGTCTTCTCTTCCACTGCCGCGAGCAGAACGAACACTGTCAAACTGGTCAAGGCTAACGGGAAGACCAGGTTCATTGCTATCAAGCCTGATGGCGTTCAGGTAGGAATCGAAAAAAAGACAAAAAAAAAAAGAAACCCGCCTAGGAGCATGCAGCAGATTCTGACCAACACCAGCGCGGCCTTGTTGGCCCCATCATCTCCCGCTTCGAGGGCCGAGGGTGAGCCATCATCTTGACCCCATTGTCAAGGAGTCGATAAGCCAAAGATGCACCCGAACTAACGATTGTTTCTACCAGCTTCAAGCTCGTCGCCCTGAAGCTCGTCAGCCCCTCCAAGGACCACCTTGAGGCTCACTGTGCGTGTCGCCACCTCGGCTATACACCGCCATTTCAACGCGTCGTATCAGTGTTACTGACCGAAACTTGCTAGACGCCGACCTCAAGGAGAAGGCCTTCTTCCCCGGCCTGATCAGCTGTACGCCTTGGCGTTCCCAATTGGCTTGATATCGTACCCATTCTAACTCTTCGCTATAGACATGCTCAGCGGCCCCATCGTCGCCATGGTCTGGGAGGGCCGTGATGCCGTCAAGACCGGTCGCAGTACGTAACACACCTTTCTCTCCCTTTGTTGCATCCTGTCCCGCCTCGTAAAGCGTACCGCGTCCATATGGCTAACAATGCCGGTTTTTTCTTAGCCATCCTCGGCGCCACCAACCCCCTGGCCTCCGCCCCCGGCACCATTCGTGGTGACTACGCCATCGATGTTGGCCGCAACGTCTGCCACGGCTCCGACAGCGTCGAGAACGCCAACAAGGAAATCGCCCTGTGGTTCAAGGAGGAGGACCTCATCAGCTGGAAGTCCGCCCAGTTCGAGTGGATCTACGAGAAGGCTTAAATCCAAGCACCCCATATCTCGTCTCGGGCAACATCTGTAGTGCTGCGATCCAAAAGTCGTCTTTCTTTTCTGGTCACTCCGACCCGGATAGATTGGCCGGGGATTTAGGATAGGATAGAATAGACCATCCGCGTTCCTCGTCGCCAAGAGCTGTCGAGTCGTAGGCAATCGAGGAATAAGACAAGATTTGTTCTTTTGGCATCCAGAAGCAGCGCGTATAATCGTGGCATGACAATATCGGTAATACCCTGTGCAACTCCTGCTCTACCGTTTTCGTTTTCGGAGCGCATTCCGCGCCCGCAGCATCACGGCAGCGAACCAAGGCGTCCCCCAAACGCTGACGAGGACACGTGCGGGCAGCAGCGCCTTGGTGATAGCCCAGGCGAGCGCGACTTCAACAACGACCTTGTACCGGGCATCATCGCGGCGCCACTGCTCCAGCACGTCGCGTGTCTCTCTCGCCGCCTCGGCCTGTCCATCTTTCGCCCACCGCTTGCTGGCGACGTGCGTCTCGCCCGCGTGGGTTCCAGCAGCCCAGGCGCCCGACAATGTAGCAGTGGAAGCAGAAGCAGAAGCAGCCGCGCCACCGTTGTGTATTCCTCCCGTCGCCTGTCCCCCTACCGTCGGTCCTGCGTCGTCGTCGTCGTCGTGGTGGTCCTTGTGCCTGTCGTCGCGTCCGAAGCCGAACCAGCCCTTACGGGTAAAGTACCGCTCCGCCTTGGCGGCGCCGTCGCGGACGTGAGAGGCCCAGTGGTCGGTGACGTAGTCGAGGGGGGCAATCGCGGTATAGTGGAAGAGGGCGAAGAGGGCGAGGAGGGGCACGACGGCGGTGATTTCGTGGAGGACGAGGAAGGCGACTATGTGGGAGACGGGGGCGCTGCGGAGGGCGGTGGTGTATTTTTGCAGGCGGGGTGGAAGGCGGTTGAGGATTCGGGTTACGCGCTTGTTCTTCGCCTCGGTGGAGGAGCTCCGGGTGGTGGTTTGGGCTTGTGGTGATGAGCGAGGGGGGCGGAGACGGTCGCGGAGAAGGGGGCGCGCATTGGCAAGGGCGCGGCGTGAGAACATGTTGTTGCAAGAATTGGGGTTCTTTTAGACTCGATTTGGTGATTTGTCACGCCATTGTTCGGTGACGAAGCTGAAAAGTGGGAGTCTTTCCAATGTATTGATATTGGCAAAGTCGGTCGAACGATGTGTTATGAAGGGAGGCATGAAGACTCGGAGGTTAGCGAAGTCGGGACGACCGGGATCTCCAGCCAACTTGTCACAAATCTGCTTAGGTAAGCACTTCAATACATTCGTATGAGCGTACGGAGGGATCAAGTTGTACCTCATTCTCATCCTGGCGAGACCCCTGGACTCGAATCCAGATGCCCCGCACAGTAGGTAAGGTACCTACCTATGTATCCGCACATCAAATTCCCCTTTGTGCGTCTTGATCAGAACGTACGACCAACCACCGTGATTTCAACTGGACTAATACCTAGAATAGGCTGCTAAGCAGCGGGTGGCTCTGGCATGTACTGCGTCTCGAGCACCGTTCCCGTTGCTGTTGGGCTAGAGTGGCGTGGCGCAAGAACGTCCCGCTGCAGTCTATTGGGTACCTAAGGTACAACGTAGGTACATTAGGGCACGGGACGTTGGGCGTTCTTCTGTAAGGTATCTGTAGCTATTCTTAGTGAAGTCGTTCTGCGCTAACGGGAGAGTCGACCAACTAGGTCACAGCGGCTCAGCCTCACGAAGCTCTCACGGATCCCCAAAAGGCCCCGAAGGCGTGTCCCCTGTTCACTGTACACTAGTCTGAGCTTCATTTCGATCCTTCCCCCGCCTCCTTTGCAATTCGAAATTGATCACCATGACCCGGAAGAGACTGGGCCTAACCTCTTCCAGCCGATGTCAGGCTGTCCTCACTCCTCACTTCGGCCGCAAGAGTTCTTTGAGCCTTTTGTTTTTCGTCGCTAATATCGCAAGGCCTCACTCACTCCACGCTGAACGGCGAGGCATACTTGGCACCCAGTCTCAGGTCCCCACGGAGTGATCCGCATCTCCAGGGGGGAGAAAGTGTGGAGTCCAGGGTTATTCGGCTTGACAGGCTTGACCGCCTTCTATAGTCTGCACTTGCAGTTCTATGTGCCATCGCAACCAAGCCCCGACACCGCAACATCGCACCGGCCACCGGGACGCCCTACGTGTGATGGCTGTATGTTCGTTCTTTTTATTGATCTCCTTTTCGCATTTCACTTGCTCGTCTTCCCATCGGCCAGAATACGGCGAACGCTCGACACCTGACCTTCCTTTGCTGCGTCGCCAAATCTCCATGCTAATAAAATATGCCTGTTCAGTGCGAGGACTAGCCTTCTGTGTGTAAGGGCCCAACTCTTCGACAACTCACCATCACGAGGCTGCAGGAAACCATCTTCCGAATCCAGCCTCGCATAATAGAGATCCGGCTACACCGTCGCATCTGGTATCTTGCTGCTCTTGCACACACTCCCTCTCTATATCAACACAGCGCCTTCCCCACTACCGACTCCCCAGCCCCCCCCCCCTCTCAAACCATGACGGCCCTCCCCGAAGGCTGGGAGTTCGACTATGACGGTAGCCGATGGTTCTACCGCTATAAGGCCAACGGCCACGTCCAATTCCATTTCCCTGCCGACGGGGACGAGTTTCCTGACTTTGTCGCCTCCGATGGCCCCGCCGACCTTGCCCCGGAGGAGAAGCTAGTGAGCCAACAACAGATCAAGAGGAAGATCCCTCCCGGCGGAAATGAGCAAAGGCCCGGCGCCAAACCCGTCATGCGGGCGACCGCTGGTCCCATGGGCGATATAGAACATCTCGGCGCAGACGACGACCAAGACGATGGGGGTGGGTTTTACTATCAGCCCGAGAGCTTCATGTTTCTTGGCCCTGGCGCCTACCAGGACGTTAGTCCTATGGGCGAGGAAGAGGATCGTCCACCATTCGGGCAGCGAGCGGAGAAAGACAAGGATCAAAACCCAACAGAGGAAGAGAAGGCGGGCGAGAGTCGAGCAGATGTTCAGACGAGGGCCGAGGACCGGAAGGATACTGGCGATAAGTCCAAAGTGTCCCCTATCCACAGCGAAGCCACGACGCCTTCCGTCGTGAACAGCGAGATCGTCAGAGCAGCCCAGGTGGCGCCGGATTCGTCCGAGGCGGGGACTGAGGCTGAGGCTGAGGCTGAGGCTGAGGCTGAGACTCCCTCCGCCATCGCTCCCCTCCTCGATTCGCGCGAACTTCCCCACGAGCTTCCCCACGAGCTTCCCCACGAGCTTCCTGCCGAGCCATGCTGGAATCCAGTCGGAACCGTGGCTGAAATGCCGACCGACCAGACACCCTTATCCCGTAGCGAGACACACCCCGAACCTGTCGAGATAGGTGACAACTACTTTTTGGCACCCATAGAAACACTGGAAGTCGGTATTGCTGAGCTCCCCGAGCAGACCACCCCCGTGGATCGAAGGGATTTCAAGCCAGGCAACGACGACCTGCAGCAGACCAGCATGTCTGGCGACGTCCTTTACAAAGCCACCTTTGGCACCCAATCTAGGCCATCGTCAAATAGGAACACACCGCAACTGCCGTCGCAAGCCAAATTCGAACCACCTCCATATGAACCCCAGCGTGCTGCGACCCAGCCGCCAGAGGATAGGCAGGAGGAGCGATCTCGGAGCGAGTCGCCTTCGAAGACCGCCACCAAGGCCGCCAATACGAACACGCCCACTAATGCGCGCCCGCAAGCCGGCGCATACCAGCCTTTTGTGCCCGGTGCTACTCCCGGCGCCGCCACTGGCAGGGCCCCTGCTCATCCCTCCAAGACGCATCGTAACTCCCTCGTACGGGAGGCATCGTTGATGATATCTTCGAGCGCGCCGCCGAACCTTGACCGTCACAGCATTCCAGCCGCACTTCAACCGCCTCAGCTACCCCGAAAGAAATCCAGCGGTCCTCCATCATCCGCACCGGGCCATGCTCCCCAAATACAGCAAGCCGAGGAATCGAATCGACTGCTGCCCGGGACTGACTCCGATCAGGAGAGCCACGACAATGCCAGCCAGAGCCCGTTAACCCATGTTCCTTCGGTGCTCAAACCAGCCCGAGGTCGCATGCCCGATTCTGCTCAACAGGTAAACCATCGTCATCCCCACCAACAGGCCCCTCACCAGCAGACCAAGTTTGTTGCGCCGCCACGGCTATACCACGATGCCTCTCGCCAACTGCAGAGAAAGGAGCCCCAGCACCCCGGCCACCCAGGACAACCCCTTACGAGGGCGCAAACCGACTTCCCTTCGAGCGGGCAACCGTACACCGCGTCGCATTCGGCCCAGCCGGCCCTGGGATCCCGGCCGGGTGTTCAAAGAGTTCAGACAGAACCTCCTCAACGTCCTGCCACCACCCAAACGCCAGGGGTGGTGAGCTCGCCACATACCTCGATGACCTCGCATACTCGAGATCAACACCCGAGACCCGTGCAGTCCCAGCGGTCTCGGTCTGACACGGCTCAGAGCGCGTCTTCTGTTGCATCACTGCCTAACCCAGAGCTGTCGAGACAGGTATCCTTCGCAGCCAGCGACGTTTCCTCTCTCGGGCCGGTTAGTAGTAAATCCTCCAGCCAGCCTCTGCGGACACCGTCCCCGCTTGAATCGCCGCCAACCTTCCCCAACCTGAACGCTTCTGTCCGAGACCCCACTCCCCGTCGATATTCTATGCCTACCGAACATTTGATAGATCAAGCCAAACAACATATTGTTCCTTCTGCCCAGCAGGACTCTGAGCAGCCTGCCGAGGAGTCTAATGGGGCTCATGGTCAGGCAGGAGGTCAGGCAGGAGGTCAGGCCGCGAGGCAAGACGCCGGTCAACAGAATGAGACATCGGGTGGAATGCCTGGACCGCCGCAACGACCCGTCGCGACACCACCCACGGAACAAGCCCGCCGAGCTAGTATTTCCGCACCGCCCGCAGCAGCGGGGCATCTCCTTCACCCCATCCAGGAAGACCCGGAAGGCGATTATACACCTCGGCAATCTCCACATTCCGGACCACCCGGTGTGCAGCCGCAATCGTCTCTCAATCCGCCTCGGCCTGGACAGCTTGGTCGCGCCACGACCGTATCTTCAGACATGCGGCAGCACCAGTATTCCTCTCAAGGGGGACCCGGCGCTCCAGCTGGCATGGCGCCGCCTGGACACATGCTTGGGGGAGGGGTGCCGGTCCAGGCTCCGGTCCGGGCTCCCACGCATCCGCAGCAGAAATTCCAATCGATTGCGCAGGAAGGTCCCGGCGCAGAGAAAGAGAAGAAGGAGAAAGGCGGTTGGTTCTCCAAGCTTAAGAAGTCTTCTAGTAAGACGGGCGTTTTGCAGAAGCAATCTCCGACGCCAGTGCAGCAGCAGCAGCAGCCGCAGCCGCAGCAACATCAGCCTGCACCATCGGGGTGGTCTCAGTACCCGCAACATCCCCAGCAACCTCAACATCCCCAGCATCCCCAGCATCCCCAGCATCCCCAGCATCCCCAGTACCTACAACACCTGCAGTACGCACAGCATCCGCAACATCCGTATCCCGTACCGTTTCCTGCACCAGCAAGCCAGCAGCAGTGGAGGCTGTCACCTCAACCCCAGATTCCTGCTGGCGTGCAGGCTCAAGGAGTCCCTCCCCAGACTGTGCATCCCGGAGTACCTCGGACCATTGCTGCGGAGACCCCGATGCCACAGCTAGCAGCACCAACACAGGGGCCGACGCAGGGACCGACATATTCCGTAACCGAAACCTCTTCCCTCCCTCTCCGCTCTTCGTCCTCGGCCGGACCAGGTTTCAACCCAGACAAGCCTAATGGGAAACAAGCCGGTTTGCCAGAAGCCGAGCCCCCAGCCGCGCCTCACACAACAGAGCTGAACCGTCAAGCATCGACAGCATCTACGTACGCCGCCTCGGTCATGACTGTGGAACTTTCCGAAGCCCGCGCCCGGCCCGTTCTGCGACCGCAGCTCGTCACTATTGTTCACAGAGCAGGTGGTCCCGCTGCCGCTCCGTCGGCCTCTGCCGCCGCCTCTACTGCAACCCCCGCTGCTCCTCCCGGCACGGCTTCGACGGCTGCCGCTCCACAAAATCTCAGGTCGCCCATGGACGAGGAGGTTATGGTTCCCCCGCTCTTCTCGTCGAGGCAGAGACCTGCCCAGAGCGCGGAGTCGTCGGCGCGAGCTTCCATGGAGAATAGGCCGCCGTCGAGGGAGCAGGCTGTCCCTATGAGCGACCCCAGCATTAACAAATGGGCGAAGCGGCCGGCGGCGGACTACTCGGGCGGGGGCTGGGGTGATGATGAGTGGGGGGAGTACCGCTGACGAAATCCGAATTTCTTGCATCTTGAGTTCATGCACATCTAGCGATTTTTTTTCTGCACTACACTGGCGATGGCTTTGTTTCTTTTGCGTATTTTATATACCATGGCGCGTCTCTCGTCTTTGTCGATAATACCATTCTGCTCGGACGGTTCGTTAGGAAATACATGATCCAATCAAGAGTTTTAAGGACCCGTTGCGATTCCTGACGAGCAAAGGAGGATGGTGATGCCCTCGGTTGCTGATGTTGTAAACTTCGCGCCCCTCTTGATGATGTCTCCCCAAGGTGTCCTCCGCTAGGTAGATACGAGAGCATCCGAATTGCTCGTCGGTATGGCGCGGTAACTTGGGAAGGGCAACGACACAAGGTAGATTGACTGCATCGGGGCATGCATGCATGAATACAGTAATAATAATGCGGGCGAGACGGTCGCCTTCGCTTATCCATTATTCCGTGTATGATCCATCTCCCCAGCACACTCAAGTAGCCGACGCGACGTCCGAAGTAGTAGGGGTATCAGCGACGACCAGAGCATCGTGCCGTCTATCCCTCCGATCCTGCTTCTCCTTCTTCCTGTGTTTCTTGCTAGCCAGCATCTCCCGCTTCTCGCGCTTCCTGGTCTCCTTGTCCAGGTCGCCCACGACGGCCCTCTCCATTCCGCAGGGCCATCTCGCCAGCGCGGCCTCCTCGTCGGCTTCAGTCCACTCGCGCGGCAGCGTGGCGAAGACGAGGTACGAGGTGTGTGTTTTGATCTCCGACTCGGACCGGTGTACCAGGCGGCCTTGCTTCCACGGCTTCCTAGCGTGCCTCCCCTGCTTCTCGGCATCATCGTCGTCGCCTTCGGCATCGGGATCGACATCGCCACTGCCGCCTGTGGTTGTCTCGTCGACTGCCGTACCGTCCTCGTCGTTCGCGGTGTCAAGGTCCATCGGGTTTCCCTGGGCCGGCGAGTCGGCGGCTGTCGCCGAGCCCGATTTCCCGGGGGTCTGCAGCGCGTTGTATTCGCGTGAACGCTTTTCAATCTCGCGCTGCCTCCCCACGGCCTCTTCGACGTTGGTGGGTTCGGGGGGCGCCTTTTTGCCCGGTTGGCTGTTCAGGGTGAGGCCGTCGCGCACGACGCTGAGGAATTTCTGGGAGACCTCGATCATGTCGATCTCCACCCACCCTAGCTGTCTCATGGCGCGGATGGTGCGCTGGACCTGCTCGATGCAGGGAGAAAAGGTGCAGATGTAGGCCGCCGTCTTGGGGTTCAAGGGTGATACCCATTCTCCTTCCATGTCCTTGAACTTGTCTTCGAAATCTTTGCCTGTGGGTCTCGAGCGCGAAAGATGCGGCAGAGCTTCCCAGGGAGCGGGAAGATCGAGGAACACGGCGTCGGCCTCGGGGCTCTTCCCGTCGACTAGGAATCCACCGCTGTAAGCGTCGCGATGGGTGAGCTGAACCAGCCCCTCCAGGCGATGGGCCTTGATTTCCTCCTTCATCTGCAGATAACGGGCCTCGTTGAACTCGTAGGAATACACCTTCCCTCGGCGATCGTCGTCGGTTTCGGGATAGCCGTTGTACACGGCGCGAACAGAAGCATGGGTGAAGCTACCGCTTCCCGCACCTGCTTCGATCAGCCGGCTGCCGGGTCTCGCTCGGATCCGTTGCAAAATGTAGCTGTAGTCGGGAGTATAGACGACCTGGGTTCGGTGCGGCAGGCTGCGGGTCCAGAGCTCGGGGGTCGGCGGTAGGATGTGGACGAAGCCGCTGGCGGCCACGACGGCCTTCTTCGCCGGGGCGGGGTTGGAGGTCGAGTCCTGGTCGTCGGCAGCGGCAGCGGCAGCGGCAGGTGTCGAGACTTTGCTATCATCGTCGTCCTCCTTCCTCTTACGTTTCCTCCCACGGGAACCCGTATCCACCTTCGAGGCACGGATCTGGGAGCCCCAAGGAACGCCGACCATGGTCGAGTGCGGGAACGACCCATAGCGGGTGTTTAGAACGGCTCCTTCTGCGTAGCCATCGACGGCGGATTCCGATTCGTGTAGTATCAGAGGCACGAGATTATCGCGCGACAGCTGAACGATCGCCAGAGAATCGTGAGACGTCAGGTGGCCCGGGTCGAGGAAAGCTGACGTCTTAGCCGTCCCCATTGTGTGAAGTATGTGTGTAATTCGTAGCGAGAAGGAAAAACGATACCGAGGTGCTCTATGCGTATATAAAGCGATTCCAGAAGCAATTGGCGTGCAATAACGTTCCTCTATACGCTACGTGGTGTGGATGTTGATGTTCGGGGAAGAGCGACTTCTGCAAAAAAGTCGTAGAACTGCAAAGTAAAATGCGCAAGGCTGAAGAGGTAGCTGTTGGCCTGGCATGTGGCTAGTGCATTGAATCGCGGGGTAACTGTGGCGCTGCTCTGTTATAGGCCAATGAAACAAGACGCGGCTGACGACGTTGTCAGATTAGGGAATTTCCTCCCTGCGGGGAACACGCGCCGTTACTTCTTGCCTCCTCGACCGAGTACATTGTACAAGTAATTAGTACCTAAATAAGGTAATGCTCTTGATCACCCCTCGAGCACGGCACCACCTCCACCACCTCGACGACCTCCCTTTAGTGTGACTCAACCCGACCTAACCCCTTCTCTTCCTTCCGCACCTCATCCCCTCCCTGTTACCCATTACCTCTTACCTCCCCTCCCTCCACCGAGGCCCGCTTTACCCTTTTCTGTGGTCGTCCCGGAGACTGGATGAATCGCCTCTTCCGTATCAGAACTATCAGGCTTTCCCTCTCCACTCAGTCTACGCTCTTTCGCTTCACTCGCACCTTCGCCTCGATCTCGACGATGGAGTCGCTGAAGGTGCACAATTCTTTGTCGCCCGGCCAGCCCGTGCCTTTCGAACCCGTCGAGAAAGGGAAAATTACCTGGTACGCCTGCGGGCCCACAGTCTACGATAAGAGCCATCTCGGTCACGCCCGCAACTATGTGTCGACAGACATTATTCGGCGCATTCTCATGCACTACTTTGGTGCGGATCTCAAGTTTGTCATGAACATCACCGACGTCGATGACAAGGTATGTTCTCCTTCCTCCTACCTTTTATCTCCTACCTCTTACCCGGCACATGGTCGGGAGACACCAACCTAATCGGCACATGTCCAGATCATCATCAAAGCCAGGAGACAACGACTCCTCGACCTCGAGAAGAAGAAGACGTATACAGAAGAAGAACTCAACAAACTCGCCCTCGCAGCGTTCCGTGCCTATGCCGAGAAAAGTCTCCCCCTGCTAGTCGCGGCCGACGGCCAGGAGGAGCTCGACGAGAAGAACTACTTTGCACGGCGGGACAAGTGCTACGGATCAGTGTTGGCAGGCGGAACCCTGTCCGGGGAGGGCAAGCCCGGGGACGACGAGGCCAAGGCCAGGATGCACATCAGCAACATGGACTCGGCGGCATTTGCCATTCAAGACAACAAAATCTTCCCGGGGGCCGACGAAGTGCTGCTGCCCTATCTCGACTCGCTGTACAAGGAGACGATCGACACGAGCGACCAGACCATCTTCACGGACCTCACGCAAAGCATGGAGCGCCTCTTCTTCGAGGACATGGACGCCCTGAACGTCCTCCGTCCCGACGTGATCACGCGCGTCACCGAGTACGTCCCCCAAATCGCCCAATTCGTCGAGCGCATCGTCGACAAGGGCTTCGCGTACGAGTCGGACGGGTCTGTCTACTTTGACATCTCGGCGTTCGAGAAGGCCGGGAATACGTACGCGCGACTACGTCCGGGGAACAGGAACGACAAGGCCCTGCAAGAGGACGGGGAGGGTGCGTTGTCCAAGAACCTAGGCGAGAAGAAGAACGAGGGCGACTTTGCGCTGTGGAAGAAGTCCAAGAAGGGAGAGCCGTATTGGCCGAGCCCTTGGGGCGACGGCCGACCGGGATGGCACATTGAGTGCTCGGTCATGGCGTCGGACATTCTGGGCGCGCAGATGGACATCCACTCCGGAGGCATTGACTTGGCGTTCCCTCATCACGATAATGAGCTGGCGCAAAGCGAAGCCTACTTTTGCGAACCGGGCAAGGGGGAGCACTCTTGGGTCAGGCACTTCCTGCACATGGGTCACCTGTCGATATCCGGATCCAAGATGTCCAAGTCTCTCAAGAATTTCCAGACCATCCAGGACGCCCTCGCTACCACGTATACATCGAGGAGCATGCGGGTGGTCTTCTTGCTGGGCAAGTGGAATGACGGCGTGGAAATTTCGCCGGATATGAGGGCCCAAGGCGCCAGCTGGGAAAGCACGCTCACGGTAAGCGGGCCCCCTATATACCAACCCACTCGGCAATAATGGGTTCCCATTTGTTCAGGCTGCTAACAACAAAGCGCGATAGAATTTCTTTTCCAACGTCAAGGCGCTCCTCCGGGACTCCGAGTCTCTGGAAAACGGTGTGAGGTCACTGTCAGTCGCCGGAGAGGGTCCCAAAGAGGGGCTGGCTGCGGACCTCGAGAAGGCACAGAGCGAAATGCATACGGCGCTTTCGAATTCCTTCGACACTCCCCAGGCGATGCGCATTATCCAGGAGCTCGTGGGTACGGCAAACAACTACCTGACATCCGAGGCCAGTCTTCCTGCGCTGGAAGCCGTTGCTCGGTGGATTACGAAAATGGTGGGCATCTTCGGTCTCGATGAGAATGCGCAGGTACCTTACGATGGCCTGGGCTGGGCTTCCAAGCCTCAAGACGCCAGCGTCGACCTCAAGGAGGCCGCCTCCTTGCCATCCCACGCCAGTGCTTACCAGACCGTGGTGGCCGATGTCAAGGCGTTGGACCTGGCTTCAGATTCGCTCTCGGCGCTCGTCAACGAGCAAGACCCCGACGCGGAATTCGCGGCGGCAGTAGAACGCGGCGTCCGTGACGTGGAGGAACTGGCGCTGCCGTACGCAAGAGCAGTCTCCAAGCTGCGCGACGAGCTGCGGAGGGCAGTGTCGTCTGCATCGCCGGACGTGAAGAAGGCGGTTCTGTCGCTGACGGACCGCATCCGTGACGAGGATCTGACGAACCTCGGCATCTACCTCGACGACAGGCCCGAGGGCAAAGCGGCGCTCATCAAGTTCGTGCCGGCGAGCGAACTGATCGCCATGCGCAACGAGAAGCTAGCGAAAGAGGCGGAGAAGGCACGGGCGAAGGAGGAGGCTAAGCGGGCACGCGAACAGGCCGAGAGGGAGAAGTGGGAGAAGGCCAAGGTGTCCCCGACGGAGATGTTCAAGTCGGACGACAAGTATGCCGAGTGGGATGCGGAGGGTTTGCCCACCAAACTCAAGGATGGCAGCGAGTTGCCGAAGAGCCAAGCCAAGAAGCTACAAAAAGAGTGGCAGAGACAGAAGAAAGCGCACGAAGAATACTTGACCAAGTTTGGAGGACGGAAAGCTTGAGAGCGTTTTGATAGACAGGAAAAAAAAAGGGGGGCACAGCTCGGGCGCTCCATGACTCGATAAACTTGGAACCGTCGGTTTGGGGAAGATACGGGACTCCAAATGTTCAAACCACGTCTCTTTTCTTTTTTTCGTTGCCATATTCATTGGGGTAATCACTTCGTCTGATGGAGTAACGCATTTTAGGCTCCATCTCCCGGGTGAATGGTCTAGACAACCGGTCAAGGTTCGATTGTCGAGATGTCAGAGGGGAGAGTCTTCTCCGATGTCTCAGGCACCAATACGTACCTCTACCTTGTATCCGTACCTAAGGTATTCGTACGTTATACGTCATTAAGCTTTACCACTTTGACAGCTGAAACTCGGAGGCCTTGAACGGTTTCGCCAATAACGGCCTGTCCTCCGTACCCCCTAAATGTACTACCCTGTGTACCTCCAAAGGCTGTCAAGTGTCGCCCTCAGGGGGTACTGCAGCGGGATGGTACCCACACTGTACTTCCTCTTGTGTCTGGCTGTACCTGAGAACACCCCTTCGGGCCCCTCCTTACCCCTCCACTGATCTGCAAGATCATGACATCACTGATTCTTCACTGGTCCATAACAAACATCCACAAGCCGTCAGGAGCGTTACACCGATCTGAATAAGTGTGTTGAGCTTGGACCATGTCGGTCATTACACGTGTACGTGTAGAAGCAAGACAATTCCGCAAGCTGCCGTTTTCCCTTTGGACTATTTTATCATGAACATACGTATCCCATCACCCACCCGGAGGCTCTCCGTCTCATCGAACAGACGTCATCTTCTTCCCCTTTTGTCTTCTTCTTCTCTTCCGAGGCTGGTCTCAGGCTTGCTTGTCACCGCGATATGGCCCCTGTCAGAGCCTCACCCACTTCGTCTTCTAATACCTACGGCCTCCCCTTGGCCTAGACGTAGGTTACGAGGTTTACGAAGTGTGATGAGAGCTTCACTTTGCCCTTTAAATGTTCTACTTCCCATCTCACCTGCAGATTATTAATATTATTATTAATATTATTAAGTCTTTCGAGCAGAGGATCACCGGCCTTCCATCGGCCTCCCTCTTCTATTGCAGTTGCATCTACTTACTATAATACCCTGCCTTACTCTTACCTACAGCTCAAACCACCATGGATCCTATCCGTCTTCCTACCATTACCCTCGATACGACCCTGTCAGACCTTTACCGCCAGGCATGTCCCAAAATTGCTCATAGGCAGGTCTCCCAGGTGCTATGCGGTGCAAACTCGGCCCTCGAGTTCTCCTCCCACTTCCCCCGGAACAGCAAGTATCTTTATCAAGATAGCAGCTTCAATACGGTCGGTGATGATGCCCCTACTACGCCCCACGCCAGCGCCCTGCTTCAGCACGACCTCGCCATGAAGCACCTGTCGCTCGTCCCCCAGCGAGATGCCTTCATCAGCGGCAACACCTCCGTCGTTCTCTTCCATCTTAACGACACCCCGACCCAGGGCTCCCACGACCGTGCCCAAGCGGCTGCCACCATGGACGTCCTCGCCGCCGACCAGCGTCCGCGCCTCGTCTTCTGCCAAGGCCCCTACCACATCCCGGCCCGGGAGGCCGGCATCGATCTCATCGCCTACAAGCTGGTCCTCGACGGGCTCGAATCAGGCGACCACGACCTCCTCGTCGACACCGACACCCAGTGGCGTCTGAACAGCAAAGAGGCCCTCGCCACCTCCGGCCTGCCCACGCCGCGCTGCGAAGTCCTCGCCGTCGAAGGCCACGCCGAGGACGCCCGCCTCTGCTGCGGCCGGTGCCGGTGCCGCTCGCTCGCCGATACCAACTCCGACAACAACAACCCCTGGGTGACGTCGTTTGTGATTCCCGAAGACTGCCAGGGCTCCCGGGGCATCTGGTTCCGGAAGCAGAGCAACCGCATCTACGACGCCCTGTCGAGCCGGCCCCTCCCCTTCGTCCTGAAGAACCAGCAGACCTTCGGCGGGGCGGGGACCTACCTCGTCCGCACCGAGGAGGAGCGCACGCGCCTGCTCGCCGATCTCCGCAGCGGGATTCTTCGTCGCCTGCTCTCGTGCGTGACGGCCGAGAACGCCTACCTCCGCCCCGCGTCGCTTTTGCTCTCCGACCTCGTCGCCGACCCTATCGGGGACTACGGCGTGACCTTCTTCGTCACGGACGGGGAGGACGGGGATCCCATCTTCCTGGCGGCGTCGGAGCAGATGATTGAGAACGGCAAGGCGTGGGTGGGGAGTACGATCGATTACACGAAGCAGGACAAGCTCAGGGCCAAGTTTGGGAAGTTGGTTGATCGGGTCGCGAAGTGGCTTCGGTCGCAGGGGTATGTTGGTCCTGCTGGCGCGGACGTCCTGGAGACGAGGCCCGGACACGCGCCGAGGGGATATGCGAATGGGCAGACCAATGGACAGACCAATGGGCATACGAATGGACGCATGAATGGACATACGAATGGTACCGCCGCCGTACATGGCGAAGCTCCGGCAAATGGACATACGGACGGGGCTACTCCAGATGGCGACGATCTGACCAACGGTTTCACAAACGGAATCCAAAAGCCCTCGAATGGTACTGCCGACACCAAGGACGACGGGGACTCAGACCAGGACCTCTCGTGTTTCCACATTGTCGACCTCAACGTCAGGACCTCCGGATCCCTCGCGCTGCCGCTGTTGCGAACCCACTTCACCTCTCGGGGTCTGAACAACGCGTCGTCGTTCACCATCAGCGTGCGCCGGAAACGGGAGGACTTTTTGCGTATGTTCCGCGAGGAGTTTGAGTCGGGGAGGATGTGCATCATCAGCTGGTACGAGGATCCCGACTCGGATATTAGTCTCGGGGATGTTGCTGTCGGCGGTGAGGACGGGGAGGGGCTGGCCAGGGCGGTGCAGCGGGTCAGGGATGCTACGGATGGGATTACCTTTTAGACGGGGTTAGAGCGGGGGTTCAATGGCGTGCGAGTTGGGTGTTCATTGCGAGGGGTGGGTTTACGGTCCTAGGTTATGGCGTATTTGTCGGGGTACTATGTAAGGTAGACAAAGCCCTCTCTTCCGTCTCCCCTTTTGTTCAATTTTTTTTTGTCCTTTTACCTCTTTATTACTGTTTGTCTTTCGATAGCACATCATGACGAATCCGACGCGATCATATCCGCAGGTTGCATGCCCTTCCCTTCCACCAAGACCCCAGCCTTTCGGAGAATGTCAACGCACCCCTGCACAACCTCGGTCTTGACCCCCTCCACCCCCTTGGTGAACTTGACCGTATCCAACCACGCCCTCGCATCCGCCTCGGAATAGTCCAAGTTGTCCGTAATCCACCGCAACGCCCCCTCCGGGTCGCGCTCGAACCGCTCCACCCCACGATCAATCTTGGCGAACATATCCCTGACGCGGGGATCCGGCTTGCCTTTTCCCCCGACAAGCCTCGTCGAAGCAACGATCTTCCAGCTGCTCCAGGGCGTGTAGATCTCCCCGACGCGGCGGATCTCGCCGGAATCGTGGTACTTCTTGGACGTGAAGGTCTCCCACATGAAGAAGTCGGCCTTGCCGCTGTTGACGCCGTCGCGGAGGGTCTTGAAGTCGTTCAGGACCACGGTGTCGGAGAAGGGGGGCGCCGCCGAAGAGGAGGAGGTGGGGGAGAGCAGCCAGGATTGTTGGTCGGCGAGGACGAAGCCCATGACGTAGCTTCCGGAGCCGATGCGGGAGACGCCGATTTTGGAGTTTTGGAGGGATGCGACGGAGGAGATTTCGGGGCGGGAGGCGCCGGTGGATATGGCCCAGCCTTTTTCTTCTGTTAGTGCAAGTTGCTTTTTTGTCTTGTTCCTTGGGCGAAGGTGGAAGGACGGCAGGGGGAAAGAGAAAGACATACAGAGAGGCGTGTCGACGTAGGTACCGACGAGACGGTAGCCTCCGTCTCCCTCGACGCCTTCCTTGCCGAGCCCCGCGATCCAGCCTTCGGTCAGGCCTACGGCGACGTCGATTTCGTTGGAGCGGAGGGCGGTGATCATGTGTCCCGTGCCCGAGGGGAAGGGGACCAGGTCGGCATGGAGGCCGTAGTGGTCCCGCGCGAAATGGAGCGGGGCGGAAAAGTGCTCGGGGACGAAGCCGATGCGAAGCGGTTGGTCTGTCATAATGGGAGGGGTTGTCTTCGTCTTTGGAGTGAATTGGTGGAAGGGGTAGATCTTTCTGGCGGTTATGGTCTGGTGACGGTTCTTTTGACGTAGGAAGTAGGGAGGGGAGCTTATTACCTAGGTAGTGTAAGTGCTGAGTAGAACTCCTCGGCGGGTTGATGCAATGCGGGGCGCGGGGTCAGATCAGGGGGCAGAGCAGGGGGGTACCTAGGTACTTAAGCTCGGTACCTACATGATCGTATCTTATCTCGGTGAAAGGTACGTATTTGCACATCATCTCGGTGAAGGGATATACACGGCAGAACGATATCTCGAATATCTCGAATATCCACTCACCGCTTCCCTTCTAGTTCTCCTCCCCTGCCGACTGATATCCCAACCCGTCAATACCCCCCTCTCCTCCCACATCCACCTGCGGCTTGGGTTTCCTCGGCTCCCGCACAAGCATCATGGTACCCAACGCAGCAGCACACAAAAAGGAGAGGTAAAACCAAGGCAGCCCCTTCATCAACCCACCACGCTCCATCCCCCTAGTGAAGAACCACGCCAGCGCGGGACCCCCAATGAGCGCGCCGCCCGCCATATCCACGATGCTCAGCATGGCATACAACCTCGACGTGACAGACGGGTCGACAAACTCGGTCACCACGGCCCTAGCCAGCGTCCCCGCCGCGGACCCAAACGTCCCAATGACCATGCCGCACAGGAAAACGCCCACCGACCCGCTCAAGGCCTGCACCAGGGCGCCGACGGCGAGGAAGGCGTAGGAGACGCGCGTGAGGAGCAGGTCCTTGGCGAACGTGGAGAGGGGACGACGGCGGTCCTTGTCGACGAGGCGGGCGGAGAGCCGGGGGAGCAGGACGGCGAGGAGGACGAGGTGGAGGATGCCGAGCGGGGAGAGGAGGTAGGTTGTCTGGGCGAGGGTCCAGCCGAAGTATTTCGAGACGTATTGCGGGAGGGTGGAGGAGCTGGCGACCCAGAGGGGCTGGGTGGCGAGGAAGCACATGAGGCAGAGGAGGATGTTGCGGTCGCGGAGGACTTTGAAGCCTACTGCTAGGTCGGCGAGGCCGGAACGGAGGTGGTGGCGTATGATGGTCGGGAGGGAGCGTTGCTGGTTAGGTTGGCCGTCGCGAGGGCTGTAGTTGTCGTAGTCATCGTGGGTCGCAGTCGCAGCCTCAGTTTCAACCTCGCTCCCGGCCCAAATGCGCAGAGTCTCGGGGAGGGAAAGCATGGCGGCGAAGATAAAGGGTCCCAATGCAAAGACGACGCCAATGGGGACCCACGGGCTGAACTTCTCCATGAGGACACCAGACAAGACGGGCGCGATGAGACCGGCGGCGACGCTACCAAACGAGAGGTAGAGAAAGTTGGAGGCGCGGTCGGACTCGGACCCGCTGCCCACATCGGAGGCCATGGAAAACATGACGTTGATGGTGGTGGGGATGCCGCCGCCAATGAGAAAAAACAGGGAGCCGAGGAGCATGAGGTAGACGTTGGGCTGGGCGGAGAACCACAGGATGGCGGGACCCCAGCCGAAGCCGAGCATGACGCCGACCCAGGACAGGAGGAGGGCGGGCTTGCGACCCACCTTGTCGGCGAGGATGCTGTAGGGGAAGGTGCTGACGAGGGTGACGACGGAGGCGATGACGGCGGCGATGCCGCCGAGGTAGGCCAGGCGCGACTGGACCTCGTCGACTTTACACTCCTTCTCTGGGATGGGCTCGGCGAGGTCCTTGCCGTAGTGCTGGTGGCAAAAGGCGTCCTCGAGGAGGCGGAACATGGGCATCATGACGAGGAGGCCGCTGCCGAGGATGACGAACTTGAGGAAGGAGAGGGTGAAGATTACGGCGCGGGGAGATTGTGGTTGGGGGAGGTGGAAGGCGGATCGGCCGGAGGTCGAGTCGTGTCGCCGCCAGCTGGCCCATCGGGGTCGCCATTGCGGGCCGTGCCGGAGCCGGTGCCGGTGCCAGGGGACGGAAGAAGAGGAGGAAGAGGAGGAAGGGCCTTGAATGAAAGGTTCAGTTTCGATTTCTGCTGCGGTCTCGTTCTCGGCATCGGAGAAGCTGCCAAAGTCACGATCATGAGAGCCACCATTGGGCCCCTGGTTGCCGTTGTAATCGTCGCCGTCGAAGAGAGCTGAAGCCTCAATCGAGCTGGAACGGTCGTTCATGGTTGTCCAGCTACGGCTCATGACATTGGTTTCCTTAGGTTGATGGTGTACAGAGACGGTGACCAGATACACCAGGCCATGAGGGGTGAAGGGAAGTTTTCTTTCTTAATCTGACTTCGCGTGAGATTCGAAGTTCTGTTTTGAAGGACAGGGGGGGGGGAGAGAGACGTTGAGGCGTCCAATTGAGGGATGGAATGCGAGACATGCACAGACGCTTTCCCCCTGTAACGCGTCGACGTAAACGCATAGGTACTCCGTACTCAGTACTACCATATTTTTGGGGGGCAAACCCCGTACCCCGTACCCCTTCCAGTCTGGAACCAGGGGTGGGGCTTTTCCGATGTCGGGCAGGCAGCAGCAATAAATGTCATGAGTCTCGGGATTGATTGATTGGGAAACTTCCTCCAACAAATGAACAAAATTCGGAGATTCAGACTTGAGAATATGAACGGACCCAATTTAAGACGCAGTGCAACCTCGACGAAAATGCTTCGGCAACAGGACACCGTGGATGGGGCTGTGTTTGACCACGACGATGACGGACATCTATGATTATCACCACCCCCTGCGGTCCTTCGCTTCTTACATGGCTATGAGGGGAAAAAAAGAAGAAAAGAAGAAGAATAGAAGAAGAATAGAAGAAAAAAAGAAGAAAAGAAGAAAAGAAGAAAAAAGAAGAAGAAAAAAGAAGAACCCCCCCGTAAGGGAAAGCAAGTGGGACCGTTGACATACTGCATGCATCATATATTAGGGCGGTATATTGGCATCAATCCTGCCGATTGTTACTCCTCGACCGAACCCCTCCATTCGGTGATGGGACACCACTACGCACAGCCGAGAGCTTCTGAGTACGAGGCTTGTCATACTCGACGACGCTCATATCCATGCGAACCAGAAACTTATTCCCCCTCCAGTTCACCGTGGCGCCCAAAAGGACGGCCCAGGTCCAGATCGGCAGGGCCAGGACTTCCCTCCCGACCCACGCGGGAATCCACTCCAGGAAGAACGACCTGCCGGGAGCCCCCCCGCGGTTCGACGTGCCCCTGGCAAACCCCGGCGTCCTCTCATCCACCTCGGTGCTGTGGCCAGCGTGGAGACGTCTGTACGTGAACCAATCCCCCATCACCCACAGCGCCACCGTCGCGAGCCATATCCACCCCATGGCGGCCCAGGTCTGCGGAACCCCCCACCTCTCGTGGAACCAGGGGATCGTAGTGAGTGCGAAGGCGCAGTAGGCGCAGCAAAGCAGCGACTCGACGCCCGGCTCGACCAAGGTGGCCGTGATGACGGTCCACTTCCTCGCGCGGAGCCACCGCACCCGGCGGCCGATGTAGGACGCCACCGACATGCCGGCCGTGGGCTGGACGGCCAGGTCGCCGAACACGAGGCCGTGGTTCTTCAGGCCGGGCAGCTTGGACCGGAACAGCAGGTCGCCGATCAGGTGGTCCTCGCAGATGTAGTTGGAGAAGTAGTCGATTCCCGTCGGGTGCGGCGTTTTGTGCGCTGGCAGGGACGGGTTCTGGGCCGGGTCCGTGAGCGTGTCGAGGTGGGATTTGCGGAACATGTTGGATTTCCCCACGATGCAGGGCGCGATGCCGACCGTGTTGATGGCGCTGTAGAACTTGGCGTGCGTTGTTGCCATGAACATCTCGTCTAGTCTGCCGCCGCCGTGGTTCCTGATCCGCGCGAGGAGGGTGTTGTCGTTTCGGCTGAGGTAGGTCGGCAGGCCACCCTCGGAGGTCGGGGATGAGGATGACAATAGAGTCTCGTTTTCACTCTGAGGCGACGGGCTCCCCCACAGCGAAACCGTGTCGACGACGAGAGGCAGCATGTGGACAAACTTGTACGGCTGCCCCTGTTTCCCGTCGTGGCGCAGCCCCAGGAGCTTGTCGACCATGCGACCGGCCGTGCCCTTGCCTACCCAGATGTTGCAGTCGATCATCCAGATGATATCACCCTTCGCCTCACGATACGCGCGACTGACGTTCCTGATCTTCGGGTTGGGGCCCAGATTGTCGACGTGACCGGCGCTTCCATGAAGTAACGGGTCGTCGTGCTCGACAAAGACACGAACATCGAACTGGCGGTAGTCTTGTGCGAGCTTGAGCAGGACGGGATATGCCGGGTCGGTCTTTTCCGACACGCAAAGGTAAACCGTCAGCTTGTCGAGAGGATAGTCCAGGTGGAAGGTAGACGCGAGGCAGTGGTACAGTTCGGGCTCGAGACCCTTGACCGGTCGTATGATGGTGACATGGGGTACTTGATCTTTCGGCAGCGACGGAGTGACTGGTGGTCGGGGACGATAAGAGCAGGAGGCGAAACTTTTTAATAAAAAGGTTAGTGCCTGGCGGAAGACGGGGGATTCGATGCCGCGAGTTCTCGCCCGAGCAACTCACATCCGACTGATGCCGATGGACTGGACGATGAAGACAAAAAAGCTCCAAATAGCGCAGATGTAGGCGGCGGCTTCGACGAGAAGCGACAGGTCAGTCATGATTGGCGTTCTCTGTTGAGCTGGCAAAAAGAAGAAAGTAAATAAAAAAAGGAAGAAAAAAATTCCAAAGGCGGTTCAGATACGACGCACGATCGGGAAACTGGAGGATCCAAACGCCATAGATGGAGGTGCGTCGCAAAATCGTCGACCAAGCGATTTATCGTATGGAAGAGACCGTAGCCAGACTCTCCCACCCGTGAAAAAAATATGAAGGTATTAAAAAGAGACTAAAAATAAAAGAGAGAAAGGGGGTGAGGAGTTGGGCCAGACCAAGTCGGCCGTCAGCAAGATGTTCGGAAGGAGCGGCAAGACACGATATCGACAGGCACGCATGCATCGTGAGATTACGATGTCTAAGGTACGAAGTAAGGTACCTTAGGTAGAGTTCCACACAGTGTCAGGACGGAACATGGGTTTTCGATGTACGGACCGCTCAAGTGCTTATTAAGGTAATTACCTTACCTTAGGCAGGTACACAATAAGGGTACCTTAACGATTTGAGAAGCAGTGGAGACCTGAGGCAGAAACCGGCAGCCAATCACCGAAGCTTAGCCGTAGACCCTGCAAAGAAGAAAACTCGGAACGGGAGGGGCAAAGAGAATCTCTGCTCCTTCTCTTCAACCTCTTCTTCCAAGCTCCAAATCGAGTTCTCTTCTCATCCAACCACAACCCCCAATGGCTGCAAAACAGCCTCCTTGAAGCCTTCGGCACTGAGCTATTTGGATATCAAGGTAGCTCTTGCACGTATGCTTCTTATTGATCTCGTCCGAACAAGCAGTGGACGAGCATCTCCTTCATATGTGAGTTTCTCAACTTTCTTTTTTTCTTCTTTTTTTTGGTCTTGGAGAGACCGATCATCACGCATCGGCTCTCGATCTTGCGCTTGAATTACGAAGTTCCCTGTTTGCTATGATGACACCAATTTCCAATTGTGCTAAAAGCGTCTTCATTGACCTTGATGACTGCCACAAATATAGACTACAACGGTATCTGATGCGAACTGGTCTTTTGTCTTTTGTCTTGATTTGTCTCTTTGACTCGGTCTTTGGGGGATTCGTGGCTAATGCTCCACCAGAATAAAATGAAGTAAAATTATCATGGCTGAAGTTCTTTCCTCAACCTCAGCCCCAAATGGGGGAAACGTCCCGGTGACGGCCTCGTCGGCCAGTCGGCCGCCCAAGCCTAACCAACCAAGACCACCACCACTCCATGAACTATACGCCCTTCCGGCGCCCATCCGCACACTTCCTCTCCCTACCTTCTACCCCAATAATCCATTGTCTCTGATCCAGCTTGTCTGGGCATGGACCCGACAAGTCCTGTCCCCACCGCCCGCCGAACCATCCGTCGTATGGGAAGGTGTCTGGTCACCCGAGTCCGGATCCGTCAACGTGTTTGACGAGAAGGCCATGCGTGCCTTGTGGGAACAAGGCTTTTATGGGAAGGGGAACCTAAGTCGTAGCGAGCCCAACTGGCTGAAGCGGGAGAAAGTACGGCGCGGTGTTTTGCAGGCCCACGTAAGTGAAGAACTGACTGAGAGTCGAAGAGCCGAGAGATTCCGGATGAAGTGGGAGCGGGCCAAGGCCGAACAAGAGGCCATTCGCCGGATACGGATGGAAGAAGTCCGCGAGGCCATCTTGGCGCGTCCTAGAGCCCAGGAGGTGGTCTCCGACATCTCCCTGTCGGAGTCCCGTACATGGAGCGCGCCTGTTGGGCCGGCAGAGTTGCTCTCCCTTCCCAATTCTCCGGTAGAGCTGAAGGCTTCCGCTGTGTCTCCACCACAGCCGTCCACACCGGCCATGGTAGTATTGGAGGGGCAAAATGGGGATCAAAGTAGCCCGGCGGCTGGGCCGAACGGGTCAGTCAATGGCGAACAAGCTGTCGCAGATCCACCGCCATCCATCCTTTCTCCCGAGACAAGGTCTCCAAACGGCATGCCCAAGACACCAAACAACACAACTAAAGGACAGACTCTAAAGCGCAAGAAGAGTGTTCGCTTCTCGCCGCGCGTTGAGTCTACGATATACCAACTACTTGATCCGCCAAGCCTGCACCACGCGGCTTTGAATGACCGTGCGAACGGTTCCGTGGATGAGCCCTCACCCCTCGACCGGGAACTCGCCGCACTTCCCGGCTCTGGTGTCACTTACAGTGCGCAGAATGGGAAAGAGAAAGACGTCGAAGCCTCGTCGTCTGCCCTCCCGCACTCAGAAGAAGAGGGAGAGGAAATCAAGGAGGACATGGAGCACCTGCAGCTCGTAGCGGAAGAAGCCTTCTTCCTCGTATTCGGGCTCGGAGCCCTGAAGGTCCTGGACCCCGCTACCCGCTCACCCATGGATGTCCCAGCCTTATTCCAGGCATTCCGGCGGAACTCCAAGTTCCCACCCTTATCCCTGGATGAACTGCGACCGGATGACGGCTTCTTGGTCCACTACGCGGTGTACCACCATTTCCGCTCCCTCGGATGGGTCCCCCGCCCCGGCATCAAGTTCGGCATGGACTGGATGCTGTACGCCAGGGGTCCCGTCTTCGACCACGCCGAGTTCGGCATCCGCGTCATGCCGTCTTACACGCATCCGTGGTGGAAGGCGAGCGGGCAGGAGATGCCGTCCAAGTCGTGGCCGTGGCTCCACGCCATGGTCCGCGTCCTCGCCCACGTGCAGAAGAGCTTGGTGCTCGTGTATGTCGATATCCCGCCGCCGCCTGCGTTCGAGGAAGCCATGTCGAAGGGCCCGGCGGAGGTGTTCAAACTGTATAAGATTCGAGAGGTCATGATCAAGCGATGGTCGGGCAATCGCAACAGGTAGAGCGACTTGGCGCTTTGCTGGATGGGGAGTTGTTGGCGTTGGGACTAATGGTATAGGACTCGGGAGATTTGGCTTCTTTATTTTGGCATTTGTCTATAAGGCAGTGGTCTTCGCGACGGGATAGTGATCATGAAAAAGTAATGAATGGCAAGAGAGATGTGAAGAGCCAGATGATTGAGGCGCGTCCGACAGTTCAAGTCCAGAGTGAATGAACCGAACACATGACAGTATCTACTCTGTAATTTGTACTGTACTACCAACGGTAAGTACCTTAGGTACCTTACGTAACTTTGGGTCCTTCCCTACGAATTCGCGGACTTGATCTCATTGGTCAATTCAGGGCCTAGAACAGGTACAGCCGTACAGTGTCAGATTCTATCATGTACGCAGTACGATGGCCCCTCATCGGGTTCTGCCTCGGCCTAATACTGTGTACTCAATACTTCTTCTTTATCGTCCCATCCACTCCTTCATCACCATCACCATCTTCTTCTTGTTCTTCTTCTCTTCCTCTCTCTTTAACTTCTGCTCTGCTTCACCTACTAGACTCGCAATTTGCATACTTCCCGGATCTCCTTCGCGTCATTCCTTGCGGCTGAGATGCCTCCACGACTGCTTTCCCCGCGCTTCCTCAAGGCGCGTGCCCTTCAGGGCCTCCAGGGACAGACCAGCTGCGCTGCCGATTTCCCCCGTGTCGCACCCTTTCACACGACGACATCCCGCCGTAACATTGAATTATGGGAGGAAGCCTCTCGGCCTGACGTCGTCAAGTGTAAATACCATGACAAGTACTACACCTTGCCAGCCCTTTGGCTCCGCGACAACTGTCCCCAGAGCAGAAGCCCCTCCTCGGGAAACAAGAGCTTCGCCACGGCCGAAATCCCACCCGACCTCCGAATCAAGTCGGTCCGGAAAACCAGCGACGGGAACTGGCAATTCGAGTGGCGCAACGACATCCCCCGCTTCGCAGAGCGGGGCCACGTCTCCGTCTTCACGCCACAACAGCTTGAGGAACTCGTCTCTCGGCCGAGCGCCGGTCGCGCCGGTTATCTAATGCAAGACGTCCGACGTCAGCTGCCGCGTGAAGTAGCCCCTCCGATTTTCTGGGACAAGCGCATCCTACTCAACCGGCGTCTCCGCGAGATCGACTACAAGGACTGGATGCAACGAGGCGACGAATTCCACCGCGCCGTGCTCGAGCTGGCCCTCACCGGCCTCGTCTTCATCCAGAACGTGCCCCAGACAAAGCAAGCCGTCGTGGACATGGGCCTGCAGTTCGGCGCCCTCCAGGAGACCTTCTACGGGCGCACCTGGGACGTGGTGTCGAAGCCGCAGGCCGAGAACGTGGCCTACACGAGCGAGTACCTCGGCCTGCACTCCGACATGCTCTACCTCCCGCAGCCGCCCAAGCTGCAGTTCCTTCACTGCCTCGAGAACGACGCCACGGGCGGCGAATCCCTCTTCAGCGACGCCTGGCGCGCCGCCTACGAATTCGTCCACTTCCGCCCCGCCGACGCCCACCCGCTCGCCTGGCACTCGATCGGCTTCCACTACGACGCCAACGGCTTCTCCTACTACCAGTACCGCCCCGTGCTGACCTTCGACTCCCCGCGGCGCGCGCTGCGCGGCCACCCCTCCGAATTCGCCGGCCGCTCCTCCAGCCCCGCGAACCTCGGCGACCTCACCTCGGTGTCCTGGTCGCCTCCCTTCCAGATGCCCTTCGCCGCGCCCGACTCCCCGTCCGCCGACCGCGCGTTCCGCCGCTGGCACGCATCCGCCGCCAAGTTCCAGGCGCTCCTCGAGGACGAGCGGAACATGGTCCGCCGCCGCCTGCGGCCCGGCGAGTGCGTCGTCTTCGATAACCGCCGCGTGCTGCACGGCCGGACCGCCTTCGATCCGGCGTCCGGCCGCCGCCACCTGCACGGCGCCTACGTCGCGATGGAGGACTGGAACAGCACCTTCCACCGCGTGCCCACCCATATTCTCGACGAGACCAGGGAGCTGCCTGAGCCGGCGCCGAGGTCGAGGACACAGCTTGCTGAGTATCTGATCGCACGGATGGGGGAGAACGCAGTAGGGAAGAATGGGAAGCCGACAAAACCCTCATCGGTGAGTTGACCTAATGTGAAGAGAGGAGTGCGGTTGTAGAAAAGATTTGTGGGAGAAGAGAACACCGAACTGTAGAGTAAGATGATATTTGGTGACTACGTAGACCCTTTTGCGATGCATCGAGAGCAAGTTTACCTATCTATGCGTCTGGTGAACTGGATAGACCTATGGCACCTTCCCCAGAGACGACGTCTCCTTTCGGTACTAAGGAAATGCATCCTGATTCCCCCTATTATTTTTTCCATCCCCTCCTTTGCGTCCCAATGGGGATACTGCGTCATGCAGGCACTGAACGGAGCCCAATGCAACAGACAAAAAGGAAGCAAGCCCATGTGGTATGTAAACCATGCAAAACCACGCCAACGCCAGAGACAAGATCACCAGAAAAAAATGAAAAAAATCCTGCGCTTCCGAATTCGCAACCCAGGGCTCATGCCATACCATGCCATGTCAAACTTTCGCATCTGTAAAGCCAGACCCTGTGGCAAACTGGCCTGCCCTAAGAGACGCCATTCCTTACTCCTCCCACTTCCTGACTTCGACACCCTCGGGAGGCACCGTCTCAACCTTCTTCTCCTTGACGTCGTCCCAGTTCGTGCTGAGGCTCGTACCGTTACTCTCGGTAAAGGACTTGATCATCGCGCGCCTCTGCTCGTCCGTGGCGCCGGCGTACAGGGACTTGAAGAAGTCGTTAACCCCTTCCTTCTCGTAGTCGACGTCCTCCTCGTCCTCCGAGAGGAGCTTTTCCCAGTTCTTCGGGCCCTTGCGGGACGACGTGGGGTAGGCGGGCAGGCTGGCGGCCGGTGCCGGTGCCGATGCCGATGCCGATGCGTTGGTAGGGGCGGCGGCGGCGGGGGTAGGAGCGGCGCCGGAAGCCTCCGAATCTCTGTTCCGGCGCAGGGTGGGCCATTTGATCGACTCGGTTTTGCGGAGGTTGAGCTCGACTTTGTTGGGGGTGACGGCGCATTTGGACTGGGCGGGGTCGACGTGGCCGAAAAGGAAGATCTCGTAGAACCCTTCGTGTCCCGGGATATGGGATAGACGGACCTGGTTGAACAACACAAGTTAGTCTTGACATTCAAGAAACGTGCTGTCGTGGGGTGGAGACGAAACAAGGAAAAGAGAAGAAAAAGGGCAAGGGCATTACCTTGTCGCTCGTAATTTCATATTGGAAAAGGTCCTTGGGCACACTCTTCACAAACACGGAAACCGTGACGTTGGTGTTAGTCTGGAAAAAATCAACCCGGACAGGCTTCGGCGGCTGCGCCGGCTGCGGCTGCGGCTTCTGCGCCTCCTCCTCCACCTGGATTTTCTCCGCCACGGCCTGCCGCAGCAGCTCATCCTCCTCGGCATCAGGATCCTCAGGGTCCACCTCGGGCGGTTCAAACTTGACCGTGATCTTGCGAGCCTCATCCTCGGGGCCCAGCTGATCCAGCTTCGCGATGGTCTGGGTGCGCAGCGTGGCAGCCGTCTTCCAGAGGGGCCCGAACGGCTCCTTGGGCATCTGGCTCCGGTCCACGGGCATCATGACGTCGCGCAGCCGCTTCTGAACGGCGTCGCGGTCGGGCCGCCAAAACCCGTCTTGGAGGTCCTCGGGCGCGGCCTCGTCGGTGAAGATGGGGTCGCCGATGGGGACGCCCTCGGCGAGTTTCATGGACCAGTACGCGCACATGTCGGCGTCGGCGGTGCGGCCGAGGCGGAAGAGGGCGACGGTTCGACGGTATTGGGCTTCGGTCATGAGGGGTCGCGACCCGCGGGAGGTGGCCGAGCGGTAGGCGGCTTCCGCATCTCGGAGGGCGGCGGGGTACTGGCGGAGGCCGATGTGGCACTTGGACCGAGCGAGGAGCCAGGTGGGGGAGGAAGACGACTTGAGAGCTTCGTTCAGTTTGGGGAGGGCAGCGGCAAAATCTTTTGCTTCGGCGAGGGCTACTCCCTGTTGGCCGGCCGTACTTGTCATGGTGGATGGCGCGGAAGAGGTGACTGTTGGAGGTGGGTGCGTGCGTTGCTCGGATGGAAGTGATTTGAAGCGATGTGCTAGGTCCTGGCCCAGTATAAATAATGTCAATAGTTTGCTACAGAAACAAAACAGAAATAATTACCTTTTGTCGGAGCTTCTGAATCAAGTGGTGATGTTGTCTGTTGGTTGTTGGGTTGTTGGGAGGAAGATGAGAAGGAGAGAGAAGAGAGGGAGAGGCTTCTGGAAGCTATGGTGGGGCAAGAAGCAGCTGCCACAGTGCCACTTGCTTTCTGCCACTTCTGCCACCTATATTGTCACCGCTTTCCCCTTCCCTTCACCGTGTTCGTGTCCGTATCACACACCGAGCCACCACTGACTGGTACAAACTTGACTACATCGTCCGTCCCCTTCATAGGTACCTGTACAGGAACAACAGGTTAGGATCTACCATCGGATTTGTTGATTCAATGCCATGACATTACTATTGACTATTATTACGAGAATTTCGTATGATCATATTCGCTGCGTTCCAGGCAACACCATATCCATATTGCATTTCATCTCCTTCATGGGCTGATCAGCTCATCCGGATATTTCCGCGCAAACATGCCCAAGGCCTTGATGGGAAAAGTGAACTTGTAGTTGGGATACGTGATCATGCAGCTCTTGTTGAACACCCCCTCAATGGACTCGGAAAGCCATTCGCCGTTGGCTTGCTGCCTCTTCATGATGAGCCGGATGCCCTTCTTGATGGGCTCGACGTGGGGGTACTCGGCCTCCATCAGCGCGATGACCGCCCATGCCGTCTGCACCACCAGCGAGCCGCTCGGGTGTTCCACCCACTGCATTGTCTCGCATGCCTGTGTCGGACCAGTCAGTAAATCGTGCTTCATCTTAGAAAGAAAGAAGAAATACCTTGTAGCTCTCCGACCAGCCACCGTCCGCTCGCTGCTTCGAAAGCAGGTAATCGCATCCCTTCTTAGCATGCTCGCTCGTCTCGTACACCTCGCCCACGAGCGACAAGCTCTCCAGCGCAAACATGGCCGCATACGTGAAGCAGACGCCCCAGCTGCCGTACCACGCTCCGTTCTCCCACTGGTTCGTCTTGATCCAGCTGACGGCGCGGGTGACGAAGCGCCGAATGTCGTCGGCTCGGTAATCGGGCCAGTGCTTCTGGAAGATGGAAAGCGCCGTCACGCACGCCGTCGTGCACTCCGGGTAATCGTACTCGACCATGATGTTGCCAAACACCTCCGCCGCGTTGAGGACCTCCATCCACTTCCCGCCGCGCCGCTTCTCGTACGACCCCACGCCGCCCGTGTCCTCGTTCTGGTACGTGAGGATCGTGTCGACGGCGTCGAACACGCGCCGGTCGTCGAGCAGCTGCGGGTACCCGTCCGTCTTCTGCAGCAGGACCACCGACTTGAGCGCCTCGGAGATGCAGTCGCTGACGGCGTACCCCTGCGTCTTGTTGCTGAACGGCCACCCGCCCTTGCGCGGGTGCCGGTAGCACTTCGCCTGGTCCTTGCAGTCCTCGCGGATCTGCTGCCGGTCCAGGAACGCCAGGGCCTTGACCAGCATGGGCCGCCACCGCTCGTCCCCCTCCAGCCCCGCCGCGACGGCGGCCTGGATGCTGAACGCCGTGTCCCAGCACTGCACGCCGTTGGTGCCGTTGCACAGCATGCCCTCGACGTTCACCCACAGGGAGTCCTCCAGGCGCTCGATGTGCCGCCGCACGGTGTACGAGCCGGGCCCGTCGCGGATGTAGCACATGACGGTGGTCATCGGGGCGCTGACGGGGGCCAGGCAGGCGTAGTCGGTGTTGGCGTCCTCCATGTCGACGAGCTCGCTGGTCCAGGCCTCGGCGCGCTCCTTGATCCAGCTGGACCGCAGGTACGGGTCCCAGACGTTGACGAGGAACCAGTTGGCCGTGTTCAGGACCCACGTCTTGGGGTGGTAGTTGTCGGCGGGGGCGATGTCGTTGCGGTGCGCCTTCCAGCGGATCGAGCCCCAGGGCTGGACGAAGAGCTCCTCCCGCAGCGCCCGCGTAAGGTCCGTCTCCTCACAGCTCCACCTGCGGGAGGCGACGTGGGACATGGGCACGTAGACCTGGCGGATGTGCGGCCACCACCGCCAGGGCGCGAAGGGGACCCAGTCGGGCACGAGCCAGAGCTCGGGCGGGACCGGGTTGACCACGTCCCAGTCGGCGACGCCGAGGACGGCGAGCCACCACTTGGCCCAGTGCGGGCTGCTGGTGGCGCCGCCCAGCGCGTGGAGGCGGGCGCGCGCCTTCAGCATGACGGGGTGGTCGGGTTCGACGCCCAGGATGCGCAGGGCCGTGTAGTTCAGGGTGCAGCCGAACACGGTGCTCTCGCCTTCGACGTGGAGGCCCCAACCGCCCAGCGTCGGGTGGGCGCGGGCGAAGAGGTAGTTCTTCATCTCGGTGGCGTAGGCCGACGAGATGGGCGTCTTGGTGACGTACCATGTGATGATGATGCCGGGAAGGAGGAACATGGGGCCGCCGTACTCGCAGCCCCATTCGCCGGGGGGGAGCTGGAGTTTCTCGTAGAAGGTCAAACCGTTCCGTGCGGCGTCGAGAGGACTCTGGGGCGGGGGGAGGTCGCGGAGGTCCTGAAGGGCGCAAAGGGGGGTCGTTAGACAATAATGTATCGCGGAGGCGGAGGAGCGCGTCTTGGCATGGAGGGCTTTTGAAAATAGGATCAAACCATGCGGAGGAAAACTAAAACTCACGAGAGGCAAGCCGAGATAGTACTTGTCGGCATGGCTTTGGGGCCACTGCTTCGCGGCTTCTTCGTCCTCGAGATAGGTCCAGCGATGACGGCCATCTTGGTCGTCCAGCCTCCACCTCGAACCATCTGTCTTCTCTGCAAGCTTGGGTCTCTTGGGCCATTCCTGCTCTGCAATGGCCTCGGCCACCCGCTTCCGGGAGAGAGCTGTGGACTCGCCAGGGCCAGCCATGATGCACGGTTCTGCGTTGAAACGGCGCAATTCGGGGACGTGGCTTGATAAATCGTCGAGGGTAATCGATAATAAGACGAGTCGCGGAGCCCGGAGACAAGGTCAACAGGAATAGAACGGCTTATATGTTTGGATAGTGCAACTTTGGAAGCCGCGGGTTCCTGGTCACATAAATTCCAATGGAGGTTTGGCCGCGTTTTCGTTTTCGAGGCCCCTTTATCCTTTTATCGCCCTTATCACCGATACGATACGTACCTACGGTACCTACCTTATTCCAGCTGTTTCACGTGAAAGACAATACAGTGGCCCGTGCTCAGGGGCATACCTGTACAACGTACGGAGTACATACAGTGTCCAAGACTGTACGGAGCCTCTTATTGGTCAATGTACGGAGTATCCCCCCATTCAAGCTCCCTCCGTATAACAACACAGGATCGAGCAGATACTGAGACACATGCTTCGTACAACGAACACATACTTGATACTTCTAGGAACACCGTATCTCTGATGCGGCTCCCAAAAGTCATGGGTATCTTAGTTTTAACCTCAAGACTCAGACCCCGGGGCCCCAATTCTTAGACGGGTCAAGGGTTGACTCGGTACTTGTACGGCGTGTCTAAACTCTCCAAGTCACACGGCTCTTCTGAGTCCTCTCGTCGTTTTTGTCCGAGTTGAATAGACTGCAGTGACGTCATGTCATGTTACGCAACTCACTGTCTTTACGTGTACCTTAGACTCGTACAGAGTAGGTACCTTACCAACTGAGGTGTACATCATTCTCATACCCCTTGGAGTACACTACGTATCTAAGGTAAGGCACGTTAGGGCAAACAATGGACGGATTATACTCCGGTACCAATGTGCCTCTACCGTGCACTGTCTCTTGCTCAAAGTCTAGTTACTAATCTCACTTCCACTTCCACTTCCTCATTCGAAATCTTCAGACTTCTCCCTTCTCCACCACCCCAGTGACCCCCAGTGCACGCAGCACGCCCCGTAACTCAACCCAAATGTCGTCGACAGATATCGTCGAGGTGGGCGAGGCACGGGCTACCGAAGGGAATCGGCTAGTTGTCATCGCCGTAATCGAAGACATCCTCAGCAAAGTCGTGGACGACATCTCTCACGACCGACAACCGTCTATCCCCTATCGATGTCGACCCAGAGGCGCCCGTCCGGGCCGTCCCTCGACCTCCGTCACCTCCCGCACGGCTGTCCGCTTCCCCGGAAACTCGCAAGATGAAAGCCTCGCCTTCTGTTCGTAGACAAACTCCCATGTTCTCATGATTCGTCTGGACTCTGGTGACTGACCTGGGCCAGCCCGCGCCCTCGAGGCTCTCTGCTCGGCGAGGACTGCGTTGTTGACCGGGACGCTACTCACCAAACGGTGCGTCCACCTGTATCCCTACTCCGCATCGCCGCATACCAAGTACTGAAGTCTGAGAGTTTCATTTCTTAGGAGTCTCTACTATGACAATGTGGACCTCTAGAAGAGCCAGGCTGTCGTGGACCGTGTGGTGGACGACTTGGCCTACACGCTAGGGTTTGGCCGCATGGACCTGAATATTGTGTGTCATGCTGATTTCTATGACGCCCCGCCGTCCTGTTGCTCTTTTTTACTCTTACTGACTTTTATTGACAGGTTGCTGCTGGCAAGGGACTGATATCCGGACCCATCATGATTCAGCTGCGTCGTGAGTCTGGCGTCCTCAGCGCGTCCTCCGGTTCCAATGTATGATTCCATGGACCATCCCTACCAAGTCTTGCGTAACCATATCTAAGAAAGAGCCTAACAAATGGGGAAAAAAGGGAGTACTGGTGCCCTTGCCTAGCGACGTGGAAAAGCTTGACCTTGGTGCTGCGAGGTGGCTCCTCGTCATCGAAAAGGAAGCCGTCTACCGCCGCCTATCTGCCGTCCAATACTGGCGCAATTCAGCCGCTGGACCTGGGATATTGGTGACGGTGTGTACTGCACAAAACGAAGGAGCGGGTACCATGCTGCACAGAGTGGCTAACGTCGTCTTGGACTTGACACAATTTCCCAGGGCAAAGGGTTTCCGGATCTCGTGACGCGAGGGTTCCTCCACCTTGTTCAGTCGGTTCGGCCACAGTTGCCCATCTACTGCCTCACGGACTTTGACCCTGACGGCGTCGGGATCATGCGCTGCTACAAACATGGCTCGCGGAGCCTCGACCATGAAACCCATGTCGTCGTCCCTCGTCTACGATGGCTCGGCTTCAAGAGCTCGGACTTGAGTCACCACTTGACTGCCCTCGACGAGTCGCGTCGACCGTCCGTGACGTCTCCGATGTCAGTTCGAAATAGGACACGTGCAGCGAAACTACTTGCTACGATGGACGAAGAAAGTCACGACTGGGAGGAACTCGAGTGCCAGCGAGAACTGCAAGTCATGATGTTTCTCGGCGTCAAGGCCGAGATTCAGGGGGTGGATGGAATTGGCGATGTGGGGGACTGGCTGGACGCAAAGTTGGGACAGGCGTGATGGCCCATGGGCACGTCTATTAAATGAATGGACAGCTTTCTCAAAGTAGAAGACACAAAAACGACCAAGGTTGTTGGGTTACCCCTGAATGACACAGTGCGGACATATCCACATGTCACAGTTGAACACTGTACCCCCCCGCCTTGGACTTCAACGTCGAAAAATTTCATCGGCGTCTTTCTCTCAGTCTCACTCACAGCCCAAGTTGACTCTCATCAATCTACTCATAATAATACACCCCCCTCGCACTTCCCTGCGATAATAACAACCGACACCATGGCGCCAACACTTACCGAAGACGAAATTGACGACCTCATCTATTTCGCCCGCGCCGGCGACTTGGCCGACCTGCAGGAATCCATCTCCACCCTCGCGACTCGGGAAAGTGTCTCGCCCGCCGAACTACTCCTCGCCGCAAGGGACGAGGGCAAGTCGAGTCCTCTTCATATGGCAGCCGGGAATGGAAACCTAGGTGCGTTCTGTGTTCTTGTGGCGACTGTCCTTCATTGCCTGCCTCGCCTGTCTTTGAGCTCTCCCTCTCTCACACACCCCCCCAGACGTCGTAACCTCCCTCCTCTCCCACTTCCCCCCCGCCCCCGAAGACCCCCAAAGGAAAACCTTCCTCGACCTCCCCAACGAATACGGCAACACCGCCCTCCACTGGGCCAGCCTCCGCGGCCACCTCCCCGTCGTCAAGCTCCTGATGGAAGCCGGCGCCAACCCGGCCGCCGCGAACGACAAGGACCAGATCCCGCTGGACCTGGCCCTGTTCGAGGACCGCAGGGACATCGTCGACCACTTCATGTCGCTTTCCCGGGGGTTGGAGGGGGAGAACGGCCAGGAGGGGGGGTTGCAGCAGGCTGTGCGGGATGTTGAGGTCGCGGGCGGGGAGGAGGAGGTGGAAAACGAGACGCGGGGGAAGGATGGGGAGGAACCGGCGAAGGGTGCGAAGAAGGATTCACCATCAAAAGACATCGCCAACGTCGAGGATCACGTCTGAATGACTGAAACGGAATGGGATATGGGATAGAAATGGAGTCACCATGAAAATGAGAAGAAGAAAAAAGGCATCTATATCACCGAAGACCCAAGTAAACAACCATCTGTCCATCCGTCGCGCCAGTACGCCCCAATGCAGAATCAGATATTCCACACCCGTCTTAAGAGGCACCACAAGTATCCGTATCCTTCATGTGGGTATAGCAACGTGCCCGCTCCATCCTTGAAATCCCTTGCCGTAAGCGCCATGAACCTATCCCACTCGGGGGACGAAGAAGAAACAGGAAAACAAGGAAGAAATACAACACAACGCATCACAAGCAGTCCTTTCACCGTGAGCTATGCCCGTCCACCAGCAACTCGCGACACACCTCCAACCGCTCCCGCGCCTCCCGCAGCAGCTCGAAATGCGTCCCCTCCAGACTCTCCTGCAACATCTGCAGCAAATCCGGCAACCCATCTCCCAAAGTCCGAGCCATCTCCTCCGTCAGCGCAGGCAGCCTTGCCACCCGAGACAGGTACGTCACGGTCCGAACATACGGTTCCCGCGAGGAAGCAGAAGCAGCAGAAGCAGCAGAAGCAGCAGAAGCAGAAGCAGCAGAAGCAGAAGCAGCAGCAGTGCCTCGGCGGGCATCCCTCGCACCTGCCCCGAAACCGCCATTCCCGCCAACAACACCAGGCACCTTGTTCCCCAGCGCCCGGACGAAGGAGCAGATACTCAACGCCGCGTAGTACAGGACCCAAGGACGGTGCGGATCCGGCTCGGTGTGGCACGAATAGTACGCTTCGAGCCGCGGGGTCTGGGCCAGGGTTGCGAACCCCCCGTTCGATCTCCTCCGTATCGCGTCCGGGTCGGCCCCGGCGCCGCCGACGACGAGCACCCGGTGCAGCAGCTTGAAGGCGTGCAGGACGGCGTGGCGGGTCAGGGCCGTGGCAGCCCAGCTTTTCATCCTCGACTTCGCGTTGGCGTAGTCGCGCGTCGACACCTTGCGGCCCACGAGGCGCTTCGCGCCCATGTACACCTGGCAGTCAATGATATTCACGTGCAGGCTGATGTGCGCTAGGTGGTACAGCACGGCGGCCGAGTGGATGGGCCCGTTCGCGCTGCTGCCGCCCCCTCCGCCCCCTCCGCCCCCTCCTCCGTCGCCAGGGTCCCCGATCCCAATGTCGGCGTCGAAACTGTCCTTCCACACGTCAAACGCCCGCAGGAGCGTCTTGCGCCACGTCTCGTGCTCCGGGTTGCGGTGGTGGCCGTGACCGTGGCCCGTCCCGCCCAGCCACTTGACCTGGCTGTCGCGGTGGTTGAGATGCCACCCGACGCTGAGCAGGCCCGACATGATGATCATGCGGCCAAACGCGTGCGTCTTGACGGGGTTGCAGTGTAGGGCCGTCTTGAGGCCCTCCAGGAAGGAGATCTGCTTGATGCCGTACATGCGGTACGTGCTGTCGACGGCCCGGAAACTTTCCGGGTTCGGCGCCGTCCAGAGGCCGTCGTCGCAGGGCAGCGGCAGGCGGATCTCGTCGGGCGCCATGTCGGCGAGGTGGCCGAACATGGCGGCGTGGGTAATGTCCAGCATGAAGGCGCCCAAGACGACGCGCTGCATCGACTCGGTCTCGGCCCAGCGGATCCACCACGTTCGCGATCCGTCGCCGTCGCTCGCCTGAGCCACTTGCTCTTCGGGCGGAGACTCGCTCCCGGCCCGGCCGATGAGGGGACTGCCGCGGCGCAAGAGGGTCAGGGTCGCCGTGTGGTAGATGTGGGCGCGTTCGTGGAATTTGCGCGACGAGTAGAGCTTCTCGTAGAACTCGACCAGTACGAGGGCCTGGGCCACCCAGAGGGCCACGGGCGGGGAGGCGTCCTCGGCGGTGACGATTTCCCACCGGACGCTGACGATGACGAGGTCCGCAAAGCCGCCGTACTCGGTCAAGGTGCCGGTGGTATCGCGGGCGCGCAGAGAGGCGCCGCCCAGGGCCATCATCACCATGAGCAGGAAGATCGGGCAGCGGTCGCAGGAGAAGGAGGGCTTGTGTACGATGGGGAGACGGGGCGACACGGCCGACCAGAACTCGTGGAGGCAACGGTGCAACATGTCGAGGCTCAGGCCCGGCAGGTCGCCACCGCCGCCCTCCTGGCCCACGTTGGCGATGGCTGATTCATACTGGGGTTGCTTCGCCCGGAAGATGCGAAACCAATGCAGTATCTCCTGACGGCGATGGTCGCTGACAAGCTCGTCGCTCAGCTCAACAATGTGGGGCGGGGTGGGTTCGGGCTGGGAGCGACTGGTGAGGCTCTCATAGTCGTAGTGGATGTTGTTATTGAAAGTGGATTCCAGGCCGCCTTCGAGGAAGGGAATGTTGGCGACGGCGTTGAGGTCGTTGCTACCGGCCTGGGCATCGAAGAGCCAGACGGCGAAGTTCTCGGACAACTGGCCGTCGGGCGTGAAGCCGACATTGTTAAATGGCAGCATGGACGGAGGCTCGGGTACGGGAGCCGAGGGTTCGCTAGGATAGTACGGGGCGGGTTTGGGGCGCATCATGTCGACAGCTAGGTCGTCCATCATGGGCTGACTGGGCCAGGCGTTGGAGGGCGGATGCTGAGGCATACGAGGAGGCCCCTGCGCCTGCCCCTGCGCCTGCCCCTGCCCCTGGGTATGGCTGGGCCGAGGATGGTGTAGACTGGTCGGTGTGTGTTCTGTATTCGAGTCGGGGGTCAACAGGATCGCAGCGTCGTGCGGTCCAGCCGTCCTCGGGGCTGTAGTCACGACATGGGAGGAGTACTGGCTCGGCCGATGAGGCTGCTGAGGTTGGGAAGGTCGAGGGAGAGAAGGGCCTCCAACGGGAGCAGAGAGAGGCAGGGCGGGAAGAGGAGGGATCGTCGTAGGGGTCATCGTGGACGCAGCTGCAGTCGCTGGAGGGCGGAACATGTGATGAGAAGACGTGATAGATGCGGCGGCGGAGGCGCTCTCTGGGCTGGTGCTACTGCTCGCCTGCTGCAAAGTAGCAGGCGTGAAGCTCGGGGCGCGATTACGCGGCACATAATTGGGGGAATGACGCTTCTTATGTCGGGCTAAAAGGTCGGCGCGGACGAATTTCTGTTCACAGCCAGGAATGTCGCACTTGAAGATCTCCTTGGGGGCATCTAGGAGGGGACCGAGGGGTCAGCGATGCATAGAGGATAAAATAGTAAAGGATAACAAGGTTAACACGTGCAGTTTACAAATCATCGAGTATGGGAAAGAACAGGGTGGCATGCGGCAAATACCCGCAAAGTACGTACGATTCAGCTGATGTCTCTGGAGATGTTCAGCCCGCGAATAGACCTTGTCGCAACCGGGGTAGGGGCAAGTGAACTTGCGAGGTGCACCCTTGCGACTGGCACGACGATAGGACGAGGCCCTGGTTGCTGACCCAGGGGACGCTCCCGACGGACCATCAGAAGGCGTCGCGCCTCGACGCTGGGTTTGCTGGATCGTCATGGACGGCGGATTAACCGCGCATCTCGTCTTCCTTTGGGGGGACCGGAGTTGGTTTATGCTCGTGAGTCGTGAGTCGTGAGTCGTGAGTCGTGAGTCGTGAGTCGTCGTGGATTTCGTGGAAAGGGTCGTGATGCGTGGGGCAAGGGTACACGGGTTGACAGCGGTGGAGGTTGAGCACACCGAGGAAGGCGGCCGTTCAATTTGACAGTGAGTTGTTTTGGTAGTTGACGCTTTCGTTGGCGATCCTTCGCAGTATCGCAGGACAGGGGGTAAACCGTAAAACAGATGGAAGTGGGACGGATCTAATGTGTCGGCAGGTCGTACAGTCTGTCGCAGAATACCAGTAGACCAAATACAGCCTATACAGGTGATCCGAGGTTTGATGGGTGGGTGGTGAGTGGGAGGTGGGAGTTGAGTGGGAGAGAAGAAAAGAGGGAGAAAGTTGAGGTTGGCCGTTGACTTGGTCACCTGGGTGAGGTGAGGTACTTCCCCCGAGTTCGTATTAGTAAAGGCATCGGAGTCTCCCCGCAAATTTGGCTGGAAGTGGCGCCCAGAAAGAAGCTGGGGCGTATCCGCACCTGCTAACAGAACCGGTAAATGCGGGGTTTCCAGGCGGATACAGGGTGGAAAGCCCCCACTTGATGAGGAGGAAAGTGGAGGGAGGACATCTTATCCACTAGCCTCAGTCGCGGACCCCGTATTGGCACTGTCCAAAGACCTCAAATTGCTGGTCGTTGTCAGCCAGAAAGTGGGTTAAGCACAGTCCCACCTTGACGACAAGGTTACTATGCAGTGAAAACGGCTCATGTTGATTGGCTTGTCTTGTGGAACCACGAACCCCCACGCCGCCGGCGTTTTCTTTCTCCACGGAAAAATTCTCAGCTTCGTACGTGGGGGTACTAGCTTGTTGAGCTTATTGTTGCGACTCACCTAGCTGTCACGAATTATAGGGATTTAATTTGTTCTTTGTTCTTTTTCACTTTTGTTCTGATGAAAAAGAGAAGAAAAAATGGGGAAATGCTAGGTACTCCTTGATACATATTATACTCCATACTCCGCTCTTTTCCGTCGGACGTGTGGTTCCCGGTAGACCTCTTCGAGTAAGGTATTCTTCACACCTTGAAGTCCTCTCAACTTTATAGTCTAGTGAGGTCTTCTCAGCCAAGTTGGTCAACACGAAAGAGAGCGCAGAAGAAGAGAAACGCCTGAAAGAAATCTAATAGAAGAAAACTTAGCTAGCATAACCAAGGAATAGTACCTGGCTGTCATTCTTCCAAGTTCTCTGCAGAGTCCAAAGTACGTTGTACCCCCAGGGAGATCGGCTGTCCGTTTCTCGTGCGGAGAAGTGGGTCCCTATCCGGTCCACGTCCCGATTGCGGGTCGCCAGGCCGGCCCGTTACTCTGGCGGCGGTCCGGTGCTTGTGTGGGGAAGACTGTGCTTCTATACCATCATTTAACCTTATTCCGTACTTCCATGTTTGCTTTGGCGGATATCGTCCTGGCATATGAATCCGCTTTAAGTAGCCAAGAATCAGCGCATCCTGCGCAGGAGCATTCTGTAAACTCCTCGAGTCTTCGCCCTACACAGACTGCCCCTATGGGCTTTGATTTTCCCGACATCGTCCGTCTTACTTCGGACGGGTGCTTCAAAACACTTAACAAGTCCATGCAACTTTCATAGTCAGCTCTCAAGAGCCCATCAGAAGTAATAATATCATAGTTACCCTTCATATCGGTAACCGTCCAGCATGGTCGGTGGAATTCCGCTTATCCCAGCTCCACAGTGGGCGCTCCAACGTTTCCGCACAAATGGGGGTCCAGCATGACCGGTCTGCAATTGGCGATGGCTTCCGACTGGTGCGCATGCCGCCCCAAAAGAAAAGATCACCATGGAGCCTGGAGGCAACCGGTTACCGGTCCGTTCCTGTTGATCCTGGGGAAAACCTGGTTCGCTTCAACTGCCGACCGTGCAAAATCGCCGGGAAGAACTTAAGAAGTGAACTATATATTAAATGTTGGCGAATCGCGACGTCACGAGCTTTGATCGAACGATGGCGGGATCGGATATATAAGTAGGGTGGAACGAAGGGCAGCATACCAAGACTTCCCAGAACAACCAGAACCCATTACCCACGTACAGCGTACTTCAGTGCAGAAGACCAAGTCCTATCTGCACCTTATTGATTGAGCTGTTCTGATCCCTGAAAGGCTGAACCGAACGGGGCAGTCAACACCATGAGGTCCCAACTCTTTCCCACCCTCTTCGCCGCCGGGGCTGCGATTGCCCAAGCCCAGGGGAGCCAGGGGACGTTCAACAACCCGATTCTATGGTACGACCTCGCCGACATCGACATCTTCCGGGTCGACGACGCCTTCTACTACTCGGCCTCGACCATGCACTATTCGCCCGGCGCACCGATCCTCAAATCGTACGACCTGGTCAACTGGGAGTTCATCGGCCACTCGGTCCCCTCTCTGGACTTTGGAGACAAGTACAACCTCGACGGTAGCGGTACGGCGTACGTTAACGGTATCTGGGCCAGCGGCATGCGCTACCGTGAGACCAATGGGTTGTGGTACTGGTTTGGCTGCATCGACTTTGACAAGACGCACGTCTTCACCGCGACGGATCCGGCTGGCCAATGGACGCAGCATGAACCGCTTGACAAGTGCTATTACGATCTCGGCGTCTTGATTGACGAGGATGATACTATGTATCTCGCCTATGGAAGCTATAACATCGCCGTGGTGCAGTTGACGGAGGATGGCCTCGGTGTGGTGAGGGAAGAAGTAAGCGGAATTTCGGAATTTCCCCCTGGAAGATGATTCAAGTTGAATGCTCATCAGCCTCGCCGTCCCAGGAAGTCTGGACAGATAGCGAACGCTACCTTGAAGGGGCCCGGTTCTACACCATCAACGGCTCCTACTACCTCTGGCTCACCAAGCCCGCGGACGAGCAGCATGTCCTCAAGGCCGACAACCCCTGGGGCCCCTACGAGGAGCACCCCATTCTCGTCCGAGCGGAGGCTCCCATCCCCTACTCCGGCGTCCCGCATCAGGGCGGAATCGTCGACACCCCCAACGGCGACTGGTACTACATGGGCTTCCTCGACGCCTACCCCCTAGGTCGCATTCCCGTCCTGGCCCCCCTCATCTTCGACGAAGAAGGCTGGCCCTCCCTCGTGACCGACGAAAACGGCGGCTGGGGTCTCACCTACCCGATGCCTCTGCAGACGACGCGATGCAACCAGACCGTCAACCCCGCCGGCCCTTACACCGACACCTTCGACGGCCCCGCCCTGGGTCACGAGTGGGAATGGAACCACAACCCGGACAACGCGGCCTGGCGTCTGGGGCCTGGCGCCGGCCTGGTGCTCAACACCACCAGCGTGACGGACGACCTGCACCACGCCCGCAACACGCTGACGCACCGCATCCACGGCCCGCGCAGCAGCGGCACCTTCCGGCTCAACGTGGGCGGCATGGCCGACGGGGACGTCGCGGGCGTGGCGGTCCTGCGCGACGAGTCGTCGTTCCTCGCGGTGCAGAAGCGCGGCTCCGAACTCGTGCTGGGGGAGGTGCATGGCGCGCTGTTGCAGCAGACGGGCGAGAACCGCTGGACGAGCACTTCGAACGGGACGGTCGTGGCCGAGGCGGACCCGGTGGATTTGGAATCTGTCGCGGCGGGGGAGACGGACTTGTGGCTGCGCGTTGAGGCCGATGTGACGCCCAACTTCCAGAACCCGAGTGGCGAGAACACGGCGTGGTTCTCGTACAGCCTGGACGGGGAGAACTTTGAGGCGCTCATTTCGGAGGGCTGGGCGTTGCATAACCGGTGGGAGTTCTTCATGGCTTTTCGCTTTGCCGTGTTTAACTACGCGACAGCGGAGCTGGGTGGTTCGATCAGAGTCAAGGAGTTTGACTTGCAGCTAGTCGAGTAAAGGAGGCTGAGGGCCGAGTCGCCGACATGGCTGCGACGTGGTCGGTGTCTGACTGTCTGTGTAAGGCATAGTCTGCTACCCTGCTGCTCTTTTATCTTGCAACGATGCTACTACAGCAGCCAGTTGCAGCGACATTCGGATAATCTCCTGCGACTCATGGGAAGAAGTCGAGTCGACATGAAGCCAAGAAGAATGCGCACGAGTGTGCGGGGGTGTTTTAGTGTAAAGTGGTGTCCGAAATAGGGGTGTGTCCCAAAAGGTGGTATGGGGACTTAATGCTTTAACCTACCTAACCTACCTACCGAACCTATTAACCTTTATAAATAACTATAGATTAACAGGTTAATCGACCCTACAGTCTAGGGCCGCCTCTTACGAGCTACGATACTCTCGAATAAGCCGATAACGCTTTACGATCTTACGCCTTCTCTAATAGTTATAGCCTTATTATCTATAAGAGCTATCTAAACGCCCGTAATCCCGTATCGGTAACGTATCGATATAGGAAAGGTTAAGCCGCCGTATCGTTAACGACTTCTTTAGAGACTCACGAATCTAAAAGGCGCTAAATAGCCTCGTAGATAACTAATTACCCCTTCTGTATAAGCGTTAAGCTTCGGGATAATCGGTGGATTATTAGAGGCGATTATACTAATACCTATAACTATAAGTTTATACAGGTAATTACTTTCCCTTCCTTTCGCACCGCTTAACTTACTACACGCGAAGATAAGATTATTACTATATAGAATAGCGGTTTACGGCCTCGTTAAATTATAACCCGACTTTATAACCCTAAAAGTAATAGCGGTAAGGTTCCCGCGCCGCTTATTAGTATTATAGCTCGAGATATAACGAACATCCTCGCTACCTATTATCGGAAAAAGCTTACTAATCGTATACCACTTTAGTGGCTTTACGATATAAGTTACGCCTCCTACTAATACTACTTTATATACTAACTTATTAGTAACTTAATAATCCTTTAACGGAGGAGCACCGACTCCTCCCCGCCGGATAGATAGGTAATCGTAGATACCGCGACACGATAGTAGCGGTTAGGGCTATTATAAAGGGAGTATACGCCGCGTAGGAGCGCGGCGGGGCCGTAGCGTAATTAAAGCTCGATATCTAGGGCGCCTTCGATATAGTACTATACTAAAAACTTCTTAAAGTCCTCGCCTAGTACGGCTTCCCGGACTAGGTTATAAATAGACCTAGTTATACCTTATAGCGCGCACGGCGCGCCTACGCTTCGATAGCGATACGGCGTACTAGGTAGAAATCTAGGCGGGAGTCCCCTAGGGATCCCCCCTCTCCCCGATCCTCTTTATACTATTTATTAGGACGCTTTACTAGGAATTAATCCGGATACCGCGGGTCGCGGTAGTCGGCTTTACCGATAACACGAATATCGTGGCCTTTAGACGTAACGAGGCTATACTACGGGCGTACCTTAAACGGGTATAATAAGTCTACCAGAGTTAGTCACGGAGGAGCGGACTACGATTCGAGCCACGGAAGTGCGAGCTCCTTTACTTTACGAGAAAACGAGAACCGCCACCGCTCCTACTACGCCTTAAGGGCGTACCGACGCCGTAAGTTAGAGAAATAGAGGTCTTAGGGGTTATCCTCGACCAGAAGCTTATATTCTGTCCCTATATTAGGAAACTTAAAGCTAAACTCCTTACCTAGAAATACGCCCTTATATGCCTCGTAGCGTTAGTATAGGGCTACCGTATCGGGGACGCGTGTAAACTATACTAAATAATAGTCCGGAGCGCTATACTATACGCGGCCCCGGCCTTCTACACGATAACGAGAAAAGGGGAGAAGCCGAGCGGAGTTCTTAAAGGACTAGCTAGTAAGCAGGCGTAATACCTATATATCGTTACCAGCGCGTATCGGGCTACTATAACCGCGCAGATACGGCTTTAGAGTGGTTTAGTAGGCGGTTATATAACCCCCTTTTTAAGGCTACGGGATCCACCTCTTATATATATATTAAAGGACAGGCGCCGGATATCCCTATTGGGGGACTAGGATATAATTATTATCCTCGTTTATAATTACTTATTCTACGTTTAAGGTATCTTTCTAGTTTAACTTACGTTACCCTAATCAGAATAGTGACTACCGATTTACTTCTTCGCTAAAGGTTATAGCGGTGTTAGTTATATTTTAGTTATATATTATACTTTCGCTAGACTAACCTCTTTATCTAATCTTTATCTTAACGATCTAGTGCCACTACGTCTTTATCCAGTTATAATATAATACTCGGAGGCGGATTTATTTAGCGTCCCTAAAGTGTTCTAACCCTAATTAGAGTAATAGAGGCGCTTAAGAGAGGTTCCGGCCCTCCTAAACGGACTATTAGTTAATAACCCTAAGAAGAATATAAAGATAACGATTAAGGAAGGATTTAACGCTTTAAGACCGAGGGGAGATTAGCCCTAATAAGATTAGGAAAAGAAATAACTACTTAGGTAAGAGTTAAAGAACTATTAACACTTTTGATTATAAGACCCGCCGCTACGGAGGTAGTAATTATAGCGGAAGAAACCGATTAGATCGTAATAGAGTTAGATTCCGGATATAGAATAGACTTAATAAGGGGCTTATAACCCCTACTACTAACTAAGATAAACCCTCGCACAACGGCGAAGAAAAGATAAGACCGCTAAGAGCAGCTTACCCGGATTAGGGTAACTAAACTAATATGTCTGACTGGCAAATCCCTGGCCAGCCAGTACTATAGGACCTGTAAGCCAGGCTTTTTCTCGAGAGGTGACCTTTAGGTATAGAAAATACGGTGTAATAAAGATATCTTCTCTAAGCTAAGGGGGCGCGCGCCCCCGGGACTTAAGTATCTACGGGGAAACCCCGTGGAATCCTCGGCTTCTACGTATAGGAGCCCGGGGGATTCCCCGGTATTCACTAATTATACCCTAAGGAAGCTATAGTATACCCTAAAGGTGCCTATAGTGTACCCCGTGGGTGCTATAGCATAAGCTATAGTACCGCTAGGGTACCCCGTGGTACGCCTTAGTATTCCCGGTGGAATCTAGGGCGTATTCAATACCCCGGGTAATAAAGCCCTGCGTCCCGCGGGCTTTCCCCGGTTACTACGATAGCCTTACTTAAGGCGCGTTACGGTTATACTAATAAACCGCGGTATAGTTAGGGAGAATAGAAAGAAAATATTATTACGCGGCGGTGCCCTAATAGCGACCGCCGCCGTTACTATCTACTACCTAACCGAGCGAAGAAAAGAGAAAAAAAGAAAATAAATATACCGACGCCGTGGCCTCCGTTACTTAGTAGTAGTATTTAGCATTTAATTCCTCTAAGCGATTAGTATATACGCGGGCGTATCCTGACTAAAGCTAAGGCGAAAGCTAATACACGGATAAGAGAAAAAAAAGAGAATATACTAAACCCTTTATCGTATCTTACCGTGTTCCCTAGTAAAGCTCCTTCAGTCTTAGTGCCTATACACTCTAACCTTATAGTTAGTCTAGTATAGTAATTCTATTATCGTCGTTAACGGGTTAAGGTCTAGCTATCGGAATACCCTATTAGTCTAGCGGCGTATTTAGGGCCAGAGCGGCCTTATCTATAGTAATCCCCGCGGCGCGGGCCTTAAGCTTAGCCCTATCGCCGGTATAGGTTTCCTTTAGGCGGGAGGTTACACGATTAGCCTACGCAGCTTATAACGTAACGTAGTGGCGGATAATAGTGATTACTTTCTCGGCGTCGGAGGTTAGTAAGTTTACTAGTATATCCCGGCGCGCGTTAGTAGGCTAGCCGTTATCGGTAAGGGGGGCGATAGTTATTATACATTCTATACGCTATAGCGTTAGGATTAACGGTTAATCCGCGGTATTCTACGCGTTATTCTCGGCGGCTCCGTCTCTAAGCGAAGCGAGTATAAACTTAGCCGTTAGAATAAGCAGAGCGACGGCGTAATCGCGCTAACGGATAATACTAATAGTCTAATCATTCTTAGAGACCGATTCTTCCGCGGGCTCTAAGCCCGCGATACGAAAACGGCTAGCTATATTCTTAACGATATCTAGTACAGCCCTTTCTATATCTATAGAACTAATCACGCGTTTAGCTAGCTATTTATCCGTATCTAATAGCGCCGCGCGTTTAGTGGATAGCGTAAACGACGGTTCTTCCCTAATACGAGCTATAACGAGGAACTCTTAGACGGTAGGTATAATATAGGCGGGTTCCTTAGCCTTTTCCGTGGGTAGCCTATAAATAAATTTACGGATAAGCTTATTTATCACGTTAGCTTACTTTATATACTAGCCTATATTAATCTTAAGATCTATATATACTATAATTCCTTAGGCTTTTATAGTAACTATATCGTATACGGCCTTAGACAGGTATATATAGTCCTGTATATACTAGAGTATAAAGCCTAGGACTATTAAGCTTACTAGCTTCTTTAGGGTCTTACCCCGGGGAGTATTAGCGGATAACGCTATAGCGTTTATAGCCTTAGCCTCGGATTCTAGGTCGATAAATATAGTTATTTATTAGCTAAACCTAATAGCGGGGGAGTCTATATTAGTAAAGCGGGTTAATTACGGCGTTTTAATATATTTTCCCGTATAGTTACGGGGGGCGTCGGGGTCTTATACTCTAATATATTCCTTAAATAACCCGTCCGGCTATTCCCACGAATTAAGGTCCTTATTAATCTCGAGCACGTACTCGGGCTACGGGATATACCGGGCGATTTTACGCGCTTCCTCTTTAGTGACTACGAGGTTTAGCTTCGGGTAATCGTGGGGGATAAATAAGACACGGTTAAGGTCTCGCGTGTCCGGTTCGTCGTAACCTTATACCTCCGCGTATCTACGGAATTCCTTAATCTTAGCCGGATAGGATTCTTTCTAGGCGGCGAAATATACCCCGAGAAAGGGCAGCTTATTCTCTAGGCGTTCTTCCCCTCCGTAAAGGGTAACCGTATAAAAGTATCCTTCTTTAGTAAAGCCCTAACCCGGCTTCTTAGCGTTCCTAAAGGCTCTATTAAAGGTGTTACGATATACCGAGTCCTTAGATAGTTAGTATAACGTGGGAGCTTATACCACGAAGTACGTAGGATATCGCGGTGGTATAAGGAAGGTAAGATAGGTTAAATAGGGTATATATACTAAGATAATAAGAATAGTGAATAGGAT